AGTCGCCGAGCACCACTGCGGCATCCACCGGCCTTTGCTTGGGATGCACATTCCTTATGCCATTAGCATTCGCCGGTACCGCTGTCTCGTTGCTTTTGTAGTATCTTACTGACCGACGCTGGTGGTGGGGCGCCTCTAAACAGCTGAGGAATATGAATATGATTGAAGGACCCTCATCTTGGAAATCAGAGTGTCCCGCGGGAAACGAGCAGCACGGCGCCATCTACGGGCCGGGGGGGGGGGGGGTTACCCCGAACGGCGACATTCCAGATCGTGTCGCCGAGGACAGACTGGCCGTGCACAGGATACCGGAAGACTGGACCCGCACGAGTCGGAGGGTTCTGGAGGGTGTTGCCGCGCATATGCCGGGTTAACCTGGACCAAATGAAACGCAAAAACTCATGCATTAACGTATTCAAGGACACCAGGTGCTAGAGTGCTTTTCTTTACCCGTCTCGAAGCAGCATCTGGCCTGACGCGCACAGGTATGGTATGCAGGACAGAGTGGGTTGCAATTGTCCAGGCAGCAAAAAAAGCCCGTGGCGCCACCCCGCAGGAAACTAGGAAACAAGAATAATCAGGGGACGATCCCCCACAGAACCCGGGACATGATATCAGGAGTCATGCACAGAGACAGTGGCGGTGCGGGGTAAGGGAGCTTGGCACAGGCTGGGTGTTGATGAACATGTGCAGGGAGGCTCATCGTGTCACCTGTGGCCGGGCTGTGGAGGCGTTGAGCGCGTGTCTGTCGCGGACGCGGGGCAGACGTTGGGGTGGCACCGCAGCATAGCTGGTGGACCGCAAATGAAGGGCAGCCAAAGGGGTGTCATTGTGGGGTGCATCTTCCTACACTGCAGACCGCGTCTGGACATGCGCAGCGGGCACACAAAAGGTAGCTGTTCAAACAAGCAAGCAGGGGAGAGGGAGCGGTGCACACTCTCGTCGAGACTAGGTCGCGACAGTGCCACACGCAGTTTTGCATCTCCACCCACCCATAGCCAGCGATTACCTGTGGCACCCGCGCATAGCCGCGATCGACGTCGCGAGCCGCTGTTTTCCCGTCCCAAGCAGACAATGCCAAGCGCGCAAATCTGGATGGACACGTCGCCAGAGCAGCCACCGGCGCGTACCACGTACACTTCTCCGCGTCTTACCCCGGAGCGCCGCTGGCGCCGCCACACCCACCGGCCAGAGGCCCTCTACCTGCCGGGAGAGATGCCGAGGGCCATTGTAGCACCCCTCTAACACCCATCATTGCATGGCCTGCACGTCGCTCTCTGTGCTGGAATAACTGGTGTTTAAAAATTCAAGGGACGGCCAACCGCATTGGGGGATTCTGCGCGCGGCGGTGGGTGGTGGTGTTAGGGGTTGACGCCACAGTGTGACTCGTTATTGCTATTCATTGAGATCGCTGGATTCCGCCCCCCCCCCATAAAATGCAAACCCCGCAGTCGCGCCGCCTCGTCGTCATCGACCAGCAGCCACAGAACACGTCGATGGATATGGCCAAAACGAGCCTCAAGAGGGCAAGAGGGCCCGTGCAGATCAGCTGAACAGGCATATGAGGCAGGTTGTGCTTCCGGGCGTCGGATGCAATGTGACAGCTTCGTTTGTGGCTCAACACATAGTGCCAAGACGGGACCGAGCTGCTGCCACAACAGGCAGAAGACGCCGGGGCAGTCATATCATGGTCCCTAACCCCCCCTGCACTTGTAACCCAGATTGCTCACGACACAATGCAAATGCCAGCCTACTGTGGCATTCAAAACGAACCCATCTGGCGGCACCGGTGGCCGGTGGCCAGTGGCCACCACCACCACCACCACCACCACCGCAAAAGGTACCCGGAGCCGCACTGCTTGCCGCTGTGCGGGGCGTCGTTTTGTGAGGAACGATCTTGGAACGTGTGGTGCCTTCCCCCAAGCCGCACCTACTACCGCACCACTGGTGCAGCCCTTGATGCGATTGCGATAGGTTCCATAACGTTGGTGTTTGGCCTTAATGAACTGCCTGGGCTTGTTCGTTTCCAAAGAGGTCGGAGCGTGTGCGTTTCACGACACGACTCGGTCCTCGTCCACTCGTTTGTGCCTCCATCTCCATGTCCCTTCCCCCACTCTCTGGATTAATCCCCCCACTCTGCTCCCACTCTGCACCGAACCAACCGCTTGTCGTGACACTACTTTGCGCTTGCTTCACAGGGCATGGCCCATCAAGTGGTCCTGATGCGGGAAGAGGACCAAAGGTGCGTGCGGTGGGTTGGATGCGGAGGTGCCTGACATGCCCGGTTTGGCGGCGGACATGTGTGCGGATGCAATACCACCACTGATTGAGAGGCATGTATCACCTGTTGGTTCAATGGGCACCACACGTCTCCACGCAGACATTGTGTCACTGCTGCAAGCGGGACAGACCAATTTGTGCTGGTTAAACGGGCCATTTACGCGCATTTATGCGCTGCGGACGTCGACGGGACTGGCAAGTGGACGCTGCTGGACCTACACAAGAGACTGTTTCGAGTGCCTGTAACGGCGGCCGCTGCATAGTCTGGTGCGCCATGCACACGGTACAGAGTGGTACACGGAATCTGCGGTGGCATGCGGCGGAGCACACGGGTAGGCGGCTCGCTGTGCGGTGCACACTGTGCCACTTTGCTCCACTACTGATTGCAGGACCATGGTACCGTCGTGGCATGTGGCAGAGACCCAACCATGGCCAGGATGTGTCCGACGGCCGGACTCGGTGGCACCGATGGCGGTGGGTGACAACCCCATGTGCCATTCCAAACGATGCATGCGAGGGACAAGCGTATGTACATACAGTGTCCAGCCAGAGGCAAGCGAGGGACGAAAAAGAACATCAGAGGCAACAATCGCGGCAGCGTTACTGGGTTACAGGCACTCTGTCGCGAGCATAATCTTGGACTGGAATGAAGCCTGTTCCTCGCCCTCGTTTGGTTCCTCGACAATAACGAACATGCAAGCTGTGGTTTTCATCTCCGCTGCCGTCACCTCGGATCCTGTGGTGATGGTTGGCTGCGCAGTTACTCGGCCATCATCATCCAGTCGGTCACATTGCCACCGGACATCCACACCATCCCCAGTTTGTGTCCCTTGGTTGCTGCATAAACCTTGTCGCATCTGGAACCCGACGGGTTCTGGCTAGATCCGAACCGGTGCGGCAGTCGCGTCTAGACCGACCTTTTTTTTTGCGTTTCGCTCACCGCAGCAGAGGCAGGTGCACTGCATCACGCGAGTGCTAAAAAAACAAAAAAAATAAAAAAGAGGTGATCACAGGCAAGGGAAAGAGACCGACTAGTTGCTAGTCACAGGAACCCGCGGGTCGGCTTTCTCTCTTCGGTGTGCTGTATGCCAAGCTCTACTGCACGCATAGCCTCGCAGTGGGTGCCGCTGTGGGTGGGCGGACTGGGACAGCTGTACCAGCACAGGATCCACTTTCTTTACCCGTCGGTAGCCACCTATTGCCCTAGGCATGTATGGTATGACGATGAGTGTGTGAGCCACGCACGTCGATGGTTCCCCGTTCATAGCCTGCGGTGAGGCCCGCCAGACGTGGGCCATGGGATCGACAGTGGCGATGGGACCGAGATGCGCTCTGTTGCTCCGCTCCTACCAACGGCATGTGCTGCCTTGCAAAATTGGTACTACTACTGCGAAGCTACTGCAACTACTACGAGAGCTGGGTCCCCATGTACACCCAACTCCTTTGTTGCTTATGCTCTGAGACTCCCGTGTTTCGGCCAAACGCTGACAGATCTGGATCTGTGGGATGAGAGAGAGCACCCGGGACCGTGAGGTGTCGGAGTGGGAGTGCCCATGCAGGGAGCGAGAGGGGAGGGGGGGGGGGGAGGAGAATCTATTCAAGCCCAAGTTCCGCGGGTCGACCATTGGGCGGAGCCAGCAAGGATATAGCAAAGGGCCTCGTTGCATGCGGTCGTGTAGAGTGAGTAGTGTCTCTGGAGCGGGTGCGCGTCATGCTGCTGCTGCGACGACGACGACCAAATGATGCGAGAAACGCCACCACTGCGTCCCGCGTCTCGATGGTGGCTATACCAAGATTGATCAAGAGGACAGAGCCGTTCCCTTTCTTTCCCTTTGGCTCGATGGCTCGATGGCCTCTCCGCCGTCCCGCAAACGGGTGGCGCAAATGCTGGGATGAGGTTTGTCCTGTGTGCGCGTGCGCCCGCGCGCGCACCCTTTGGCCCTTTTGCAACGACGACCGATGAGCCACCACACCACGCACACCCTAAAGGGCTGTGGGGCAGCGGAAGAGCAGCGCCAGCGGCCAGAGCAGCTTTTTTGGCTCTTGGGAGAGCCACCAGGTGCACAAGGTGGCTGTGATGATGAATGGGCTCTCGCCCACAGGGTCCAACTGGCATATCCACCATAGAATGAGGAAAAACCCTTTTGGTGCGGGTGGGCCGTCGTCGTACCCGCTGGGCAGCCCCCATCCGGCCCAGGCACCCCACACTGGCTCAACCTTCGCATGCCTTTGTTGCGTCGTCCTCTGCGCTGGCGGCCTGCTTGCGGCTGGTGCCCGGCACCCCTCTCTCCCCCTCTGCCCAGCCGCACGCAGCAAATGTGCGCGTTCTGGGCGCCTGGGGGGCGCCGCCCGCTGTCGGTGCGCGCGCGGGAGTGCAGGCAGAGACACACCTCGTTGATATAATATCCCAACCCGCCCGCCGCTGTGGGCTCGATCAAGAACACACCCATATACGCCAGCTCACTCCGATCATCTCCATCCCTCCTCCTCATCTACCATCTACTACTACTTGAACGCATCGACTGTCCTGGCGACATCCTTCGCGCGTTTCCCCCCCACACACCATCCATCTCTCTCCCCCCATTGCACATTAATAGATAATACCGGCGCACATCAACAACAAACACAGCCACACCGCGCGACACACACACCACTCACCAGCAGTGGCACCGCCGATCCCTCCTCCCCCCCCTCCCCCCCGCCACAAACACCACTTCACCATGGCTCGTCGCGATCCCACCCACCCAGCATCGCTCATGCCGCTCTCACTGCACGACCCCGCAGTAGTGCACTCGCTCAAGAACAAGGTGCAGCCCGAGTTCTATGGTAAGTCTCCCCCCCGCAGTCACCCCCACCCCCGCTCGCTTCAGCCACACAGGTTGCTGATCATCCCGCACAGACTTTGTCGCCCACAAGTGCGAGACTGTCATCCGCATCGAGGATGAGCTCCCATCGCCACCAAGCTCGCCTCTTGCGGGCGCGTCAACATCGTCCACGTCCCGCTGGTGGGAGACTCCACTGCCCGCCAAGGCCAACGGCGAGTACGACGAGCTGCCATCCCTCGCAGACTTTATCCGTGGTCTCGTCGCCCAGTCCAACGTGCAGATGCCCACACTTGCAGTCGTCCTCGTCTACCTCGCTCGCCTCAAGGAGCGTCTGCCACCAGTCGCTCACGGCATGAAGTGCACCCGCCACCGTGTCTTCCTCGCTGTCCTCATCTGCGCCGCAAAGTACCTCAACGACTCGTCGCCCAAGAACATGCACTGGCAGCGCTACGGTCGCTTCTTCTCCCTCGCAGAGGTCAACCTCATGGAGAAGCAGCTCCTGTACATTCTCGACTTTGACCTTCGCGTCGAAGAGGTCGCCCTCGCTACCCACCTGCAGCCCTTCTGGATTGCCCAGCAGAACCGCATGGTCGCTGCCCGCGCTGCCATGGCCTACTCGCCCGGCTGCATGTCGCCTCCCCCGACCCCACCAAACCAGGCCACCACCACTCGTCTCCCATCATCATCCCGCGTCCCCGTCCCTCCTCGTGCATACTCCAGCGACACCCTCCGCCGCCCCCTCCCTGCCATCACCCCTGCTCCATCAAAAGCTCTCCCTGCCACGCCCGTCTCGGACAGGTCACCATCAGGCGACTACTTTTCCATCCAGCACCACAACCAGGTCCTGCACGCCCACCACCTCGCACAACACCAGGCCCATGCCCCTTCCCCGCTCCACTCGTTCTCTCGTCTGCACATTGACGAGGCCACCCCGGGCCTCCTTCGCCGCGACTCGGGTGCCAGTACCTGCTCGTCGTGCTCGTCGTGCTCTACCATTGAGAACGGCGGCACCCCGGAGATCTGGCGCGTCGACGAGAACCAGCAGCAGCAGCATCAGCAGCAGCAGCAGCAGGTGAACGCCACGCACCAGCAGGTTGCCTCGAAGGGATACGCCGACGAGATGATCGCCATCGCTACCCCTCCTCCTTCTGGGCCTTCACCAGACTGGAGGAAGCTTGGCCTCCGACAGGCACATCTTGTCGGGCGGAGGACAGCATTCTAAACACACGACAGACCACCGCGACGACCACACCACACATCACACACACACACACACATTTTTTCGACTTGATACGGACAAACGATGACGAGCGACTTTCTGGCAAAGGCTTCTCTGGATGACTTGGACAGTGCACCACCCCACCACCCCACCCCACCCACACAAGCACGGGCATGTTATGGGAAACCATGTTGTTGTAGACACTGCATATTAGAGCACCCCCCACCAACCACCACCAACCACCACCCCTGTTCCCCAACGCGTCTTGCCAACCACACCATAGCACACGTAGATGCCATGCTAGGAAACACGATCATGACATGCACGATTTACCAACCCCAGCCCACAGCAGCAGCAGCATGGCAGCAAGGAGTCTTGGCCTTAAGGGTTTCTCGCCCGCAGTCAGCCACTTGGCCACTTGGGGGCTCGAGAGACGCGCGCAGGTACAGGGGCCAATACAATGCACATTTTTGGATTGAGAGGCGGGACCGCAGGTTCTATTCAGTCGGGGACCGCGCCGGGACGCCATGCATTCAGTCAGTGCGAGGCTGTATCGGGTAGACGGCGACATGCACCACCACCTGGGCAGCACCGTGTGTCGTGAGCGGACTGGTGCTTGCAGCGCCGCCGCCGTGGGGGAGCCACAAAAGGCACCCACCCAGCCGCCCACAGCCCTCGTGCGGCTACCCACGGCGTCGGAGCGGCCCAGGCGGCGCGGCCAGGAGCATCTCGACCCGCGCGCCGTTCGGTCGCATTCAACTCATTCTCTTGTCCATCCATCTCGTCCTTGATCATGAACCGGTACGTCACACCGTTACCCATTCACCTCAGCCAGCCCCGCGGCGCACGCCGCCGCCGCCGCGCTGCAGCATCGCGTCGCCGAGCACTCTGTTTGTCCCATTTTGCATGTCCCTAACGCAGTAGCATTCCCGTTGTGCTCGTGTGTACCCCCGCCGTCCATGTCCCTTCCCGCTCTGGCTGACCAGCCTCAAGTCTATTGACGAGCTCGAGTGAGTGCCACATTGCCCACTCTGTGATCTGTGACGGGCGAGCCGCGGGGCAAACATGCTGACGCGATGCGCAGATACCTCCTCGATCAGCTCGTGAGTAGAGTAGCGTGTCGTCGCCGTCTTTGGTGTGTCACCACCGTCTTGGCGTTAGCAGCATATATGCAAGGCTGGGCCGTGCCGTGCCCGCGACCATCCATGCCCGAGCAACGTGTCACTGTGAGCAATGAGCGAGCACAGCGCACAGCTCGGGCGTGCGATAGCTCGGTGAGGCTGGCGGAGGCGTGACCGCAAGCAGCTGGCGTGCTCTGGCGGCGCGGGTGCTAGTGACGATGGTTACACCTCGCACGCATGGGCCCACTGGCCACGGGCGGCGGCGGCCACTCGACATCTGTGCCCAGAAATGCCAGAACGAAAAGTGCAGCCTCTGCGCTCACTAGCGTGGCGTGGGCCCCACCCATGGCCCATGCGTGGTGGCGGGACAGGACGTCGATCATACGGGACGCGAGGTTTGGTTCCCGGAGTCATCGCATGGCTCCCACCACTGATCCATTCGAGGTCGTATGGCTGGGCACGCGGCGGCGTGCACGCCGAACGACTGCGCTAGCGCAGGCATGTGCTTTGCGTCAACGTTCGGCGGCATCATCGTCTGGTGGACGTCGCCGCGCATTCCTGTCTGCTGACCACTTGGTCGGGCATTGCTGTGGGATGCCAGCGTGCATGCACATGGCAACTCGGGCATTCGAGCTCAGGAGAGGAGTGGTACCCCGCTGCCCGTTTGCCCGTTGCCCGTCATGCCATCCGCTTCTCGGCGTTCCAAGTCATGGGAACTGCACCTGTTGGCCTTGCGCTCGTCATGGGTTGCTGCGGGCCGCCTCAGTCTGGACTGGGAAATGGGAAAATGGCAACGTGTACTGATTGATGCACAGCCGCCGCCTTCACGAGACGAAGACGCTGTCACTGCCAAAGTGCGCATGCGTCTGACAGAAGCACTTGTAGAGGTGCGAAAGGGCGCCGAGTAATTGAAGCACTGCCACGATCCCACGACACGCTAGTCGCGTGGTTGCGCCACAGACCGCCTGTCTGATGGGATGGCGACTGGAGGCTTGTTTGCTTAAAAGACATTTAGACCTTTGGTAATAGCAGGCACACATGAAGATGGGCACTCGCTTGCCACGGCCTTTGCTCTGACTGTATACTACAGTGTACATACCTCATGGTCCAACTGTGCAATGTGTGCGCGGCGAGCCAAGACCATCATCCCGCAGAGACCGCCGGGTTCAGCCGCGTCTGGACCGTCTCGGTGGCACTTGCTGCCTCCCGGTGTTGTCCCTTTGCTACACAGCTGCGTACATCACATCCCCGACGTCATGTTCAAAGCGGCCATGCACCGCCAATTGTTTTCTACACTTGTTGGAGAGGGTCTGTTCAACCTCGAACCATGCCTTTGGGCGTGACAGCAAAGACATTGTCTTCGAGTCCGTTCTCCCCGCCCAGCCACAAGACATACGTTCCACCCCAGTTCCTCAGACGTCGGATTAGCCCTGGTACTCACTGTGGCTGTCGATACCTACGTCTTGCACTAAGGCTAGAGGCTCGGCTCGGAACGTGTCCAGTCCGGCATGCTCCACAACTGTATCGTCCGCGACGACCAGCCACGAGCTTGCTGCTACCCGCCGTATGCCGCCGCAGGACGGCTCGCTCGTCATGAATGACGGCGCCGGCGCACGGGCGGACCTGGCGGGCTGGCATTGATATGAAAGGGTCGCCGCGGACGGACGACGGTGTAAGTCAATACAGGAGCATGTTTGTGATCGAGAGGATCAGGTGTTGTGAATTACAGTGCGCACTATACCACTACTGGAATCCCGTTCTGTTGCTTCTCGTGTGTTCGGCCCTGCCTGCGATCACCCTCAATGCCGCTGCCGTCGGGTCCCGATATCTGCGGTTCCGTCCACTGGACCGGTGCCTATTTAATGCAAGTGACGCGCGCATGTCAGGTTTGTCACATGTACTGTTGTAAGTACAGCACGACGTGCTGTCTTGCGGCGGGCGGCGGACAGTTGAAGGCGGGTAAAGCTTGTTGAGCAGGAATTCGTCGTAGAGGTCGTGGTGCTCAAACGCAGTCGGTCACCTGGGACCCCACGGTTCAGCGAGTGTCCTTGCCCCGAGGACGGTTGGAGTGCGCTTGGCGGTGATGGGGGTAGCGAAAGAACGCCGACGAAGTATGTATCCGCACACCCGTCACGCTGTTAGGCTTTGGGCCTGTCCTTTTCGTTAAAAATCGGTCAATAACAGTGCAAACGCGACGAGCAGACACCAAGAAAGAAGACGCCGCAGAAATCAAATAGTGTTTAGGAAAGTTAAAAGAGGAGTCGTGTGTGGTCCCAAAGAGGCTCGTCTTGTGGCTCCCGGCGAAAGCTTGTTGTTCCCTTGATCCACCTTTAAGCTCCAGCTTTTGGCTCCCGTGCCCATATCTCCGGCCTTTACGTACTCACAGCCAAAAGCACAACGTGTACGCAACCTTTTCAGAGTCCACAGAGCAACGTAAAGGTGAGGCAGAGGGGTTCCAGCACAATGTCACTGTCTTCGGCATGGCCGGCCCCGACGACAGTATCCGTCTGCTGGAAGACGGGGCACACTGCCTTAGGTGCGTTTATGTAAAGAAATAAAAAAGAACTACCCCCACCAGCGCCAAAACCTTGGTACGGTCAGCCGCCCATCACGCAGTGCCGTAACAGTGACATGCTGGTGACTGCCAGCTGCGTGAATAAATATGATGCGTCCGTCACATTGCACAGCCACGGTCGAAGCGTTGTTGCTGTCTCCGCCCTCTAATTTATTCCGTCTCTCCGCCCATTTCATAGGTATGTGCGCCATAGTCCAGTACAGCCGACGGGCGATGGGTTTGTTTTCTTTGCCCACTGGGTTACAAATGCACGACTGCAATATACATTTCGATAATGCCCATGTCCTACCCTCCACCGAACATGCGTGGCTTGGCTGCGCCGTCCGTTTTCCGACGACGACGCCGGTAAATCTTACTTACTTTGGCGTGGGGCTGTAGGCCAAGCCGACTTGGTTTTTCGTCTCTCCTTGGGCTGAAGGTTTGCCTCTATATAGCTAGCTACATTTTCAATCCCGCACATCGCTCCGTTTGCAGTGCTGTTCTTCATGTTATAGCGTATACTGGCTAGCGGATGACAAAGCGTTCACAACGTTGCTCCAGCACATACGCTTGAGCTCCTACGCAAGCATCTAGTCTCTACCATCGATGCCAAGGAGGGAGTGGAAGCGATGCCGAGCAGGCAGACTTCGGCATGGAGTCCAGGATCAACACCTTTCCGTCCGTGCACAGTGGATTGGCACCCGAACACTGGGAGCCGAGTAACCAGTACGGCGTCTGAAAGTGCAGGAATACAGGGTCGATTTCTCACTAGGTGCTCCGCATACCGACGTACGTGTGTATGGGTAGATGAAAGGCGAGAGGGTCCAGTGGCACCGATTAAGGCAGAGAGTGTGAGTTGAGAACGTAGCGATATGTGGCGGAAAGTGGATGAAGGTGTGTGGCAATTGTTACTGCAACTGAAAACCATTCTAAAGAGACCATAATATGTACACACCTCCAGATGTTCCTGTTAAATCATCTTGATTGTGTCCAGTGACTGACGCGATGGCGTTCTGTTTCGCTGGCAGGTTCAGTGACTGCGTTATCGTCATCACGTTTGAATAGGACATGCTACCGAAAGGACCAACCATAGACCATGGCCCAAATCTCGGCTGAACCATACAGCTGACAATACCCATGCCCCTCGATCGAAAGTGGTAAGCATCAAGCTTAATCTGTTTATTTCCTTCGCACCATTATCTGAACGGCCTGGGCTTCACCTACTCTCACCACAAACCGTTAGACCTAGCAAGTTTTTACAGTCCCGTATACTGTTAGGGCCACATCCCCGCAGTGTGACAATGCCGCAATGTTGTGTTCCCAATTGGGTTGTGGCAAGTCAAAGTCTTTGACAGGTTCCAGTCCAACCCTCTGCAGAACATGTAACGCATGCGGCCATCCGGGATGCGGTTCACCAGTCTGGACATTAATCAAAAGCGGGGAACACCACGGTCTACGGTTGAGAAGGCGCTAAACACCAAAAGTACATTAGCTTGTTGCGGGATTGTGAGTGACGGCAAAAACGTCATGCGGTCACTCACGACAGAAAATGTACTTTGCATGGCGTGTGGCATCGGCGTAACCATTCAAGCCGGATAGCACTGTTACCTCAGTGGAGATGTACCGGCGCTACTCCATTCCGGCGCTGGACTACAATGTCTAGCCCTCCATTCGTAGTTGTACAACAAATGACAACAGAAATCGTCATCTCCTGATGCCAAATAGCCTCCCACACAAGGCACAGCGGTACCACAAGAGATGTAGATGGATCTATGGGATCTATTTAGCGTCCAGGTTCCTGTCAGCAACAGGTCACGTGGACCCGGCGCGTTCCCCTGTTCCAACAGTTCGCCGTCCGAAGAACAGCGCCGATACTGTCCAAGTATGCCCTGTACCTAGATCTTCTGGACTTTCACACAGACAGGATGTGTTCCCTTCGCCGACGTCCATGGCACTTTGCTGGGCAAACAGCGCAGCAACAACAGTAAAGGCCAAGGCACACTAACGAGCTATGTAAGCTTGGCCCGAGCCAAGACTACCTAGAGCCGGTTCTTGCCAGGTACTTGGAACACGACCGGCGTGACTAGTGCCATCGGGAGCTTGGGAGTTGTGTGTATGGAATATCAGCCACAACTCGCACACTGCATGAGCAGCGGCAAAACCCTCAACGTGACCGTCGCCAGAACACTTTGGAGAGGCAAAAGCGGCGAAAGTCGTCGTTCGAGGTGACCGCCGGATCCGGATAAAGCAACGAGATTGCTCTATGAGAAAAGGCAGCCAGTCAAGCCTCAGATCAGTGCCAATGTTATGCGTGTGCTACTCCCAAACCACTTGTCAAGGAACTCCAGGGTGACTGACCAACACGGCGGCCGTAATCTCAATCAGATGCATCACCCATTTCCCCCCTTTTCGTGTCCTAATGACCATTAACATCGCCCGTCTTAACACTGCTGCACTGTTTGCTCTACGTAATTGGCAAGACCCACTGTCTTTAGAGTCGGGCATGCCACCAGATCACCGGCCACCGGACCGGCAAAAGTATCCACGCCGAGCCCATGAGCGCGAGCATGAGATCCAGTCCGAGAATGTACGGCACACTCGACCTCTGGAGTCACTAGTGCAGGTCGCGTGGTCCCACTGCCATGGAGGCAGCACGAGGGCAGTTTGTGTTGAGGGGGGCCATGGAGGGAAGTCGACTGCCGCGCACGGTCACTGGACTGTCTTCAGACTTCACAAACGTGGGACCCAAACACGCCAAACGTAAGGATCTGTGACAGCGAGGTTGCTGTTAATTACATGTTGGCGTGTGGTCCAGACCCATGGTCTCGGGCAGGGTGTACTGTAGAGCATTAGTAGATTCGCGTTGAAACACAGGAATTGGCACACACAGGGGCGACAGCATTCGGGACGTCCAGTTAGCAGTTTCGACCGCTGCCCGTATGCTGTCCCGGCGTGCCTTGGTCATACCTCACGTTGACAATGGCGCTTTGATCAATGAGTCACCGATCAAGATCGTTATGCACCATGTCGGCGGGGGTCTAAAATCATGACACGACCCAGTAAGTGCGTACTGAGCCTGGTGAAATGGGTCCAGCTTCCTGCCGTTTCCAAGCTGCAAGTCACGGGTTGTGGCGGTGAGGCGGGTGGTCTACCCAGCACTTTCCGACACGCCCAGACACCGCCATGCCGTCAACACGGTGCAATCGTCGGGTGTATTCAGCGCACCATTCTCCGATTCCAATCTGGCGATAGCGTCGGCCCTCGCCGCCTGAACACATACCACGGGCGTAGGCGTCGTCCGAGCTCTAAGTCGTTTCCTAGTGCAAGGATACAAGACCGTAGGCGAGTTTGGTTCGCCAGATGCGACGTTGCAGCTGGCAAAAGGTAAGACGACTAGAGTCTCAAGTCTGTGACTGAAGTGTCTGGATCCACGCTAGGTGCGGTCCTCGATTTTCCGGGTCAAGGTGCCGTGTTCTACACCCCAGAGATTTCAGAGACTAACGGCATTACGAGCATATAGTGGTTAATCCGTGGGTCATTCGTCGCCTCAGCTGTCCACAGTGGCGGACGCACCTAAGCATGAACGACAGAGCGAACGACGAACATATGCAGGGGGTGCGTCACTGTCGTGTGAGGCTTACAACAACGCCGCCAAATCGGCGCAATCAAGTGCTAGACTTGTCAGAGTACTAGTGTTGGAGGTTGCGATGAGTATGCCGGGGGGCACCATGGCCTCACACCAGCTCAACATGTAATCAGAACTGAGCAGAGAGTTGGTCAAGTGAGCTCACCTATCTCTCCTACTGGCCGTCGCGAAGAAGGGTCCAAATGGTTAGGTGGTTAGGCCGCATGTCCATTAGGAAGTGTAATAAACAGTCTTGTTGACAGTGGCCACGACACCCACCAGCCAGCTGCCAGCGTGCTCGACCGTCAGTGTCATCTGGAGGTACCTGGTGCTTGTCTGACAAACCGAGGAGGTGCAGCGCATCTCCGAGGGGCTCAGCTAGTATCACCTTACTGTACTCCCATTGCTCTTCACCAGATGATATGCCATGAGATCTACGTCTATGATGAGCCATTGAAGGCTGCCCACCTGCAAACGATTGTCAGCACTCGTGAGTTCACAGTTACACAACTGCCACTTACGCCTCGTTCAACGTCCCAAATGCGCCATTCGCCAGCATTCTCTGCTCAACGGTCGTGTCGCTTGTCTTGAGCTTGTCGGGATGCAACCTGGCAATGACCTTCATGTACTTGATCTTGACCTGCTTCTCGGTAATGAGCTCGTGCATGCCGACCTTGAGGCCGCCAGCGAGAATACCGTCCCACAGGACGGTGTCAAGCGAAGCCACCAGGGCGCGCAGGTTGGTCTCTTTACCACCACGCCAGGCGTTGAGACGCGCGTCCACGCTGTCCTTGAGCTGCATGCGTTCCTCGTCCTCCCCTGCAGCTTGGGCGGCGGCCTTGCGCAGCTCGCCGACAGCGGCGGATCGGCCGACGTCGACGGGTCGCGAGGGCTTGGGGGTGGTGGGTTTGGAGACAGGTTTAGGGCGGGCGCTCGGCGTTGCACCGGCGCTGCTGGGGCCAGCACTGGGCGAAGGAGACAGCATGGCCTTGGCGCGACGAGTGCCGTCGCTCGCGAGCGTCTTGACACTGCCCGCACCGGCGGCCGCACCAAGCATACCGGCATCGAAACCGAGTACCTTTTGCCAGTCCTCCAGAGCCTGGGTCCACTTCTCGGCCATCTCCCATGCCTGTGCGCGTTTTGTCGTAGCCTTGACAAGCGCATCGGCGAGCTTAACGTCGGCAACACTTGCCGGAAGGGGAGCTTCCTTGGATGGGTGGTAACCAGGTCCGATGATGTCTAAAGCGGCCGTACAGTCTGCAGCTGCCCCAGCACCTTCACCCAGTTTGAGGCGTGTAGCTGCACGGTTGTTGTGCAGTGTCACGAGGTGAATGTGGCCAGACGGGAGAGCCCCAATGGCTAAAGTGTATGCCGCGTCGGCCTCGGCGAACCGACCAAGCTTAAAGTGCTCGTTACCCTTGAGCTTGTGTTGAGCTGCGGTTGCTGTCTGCGCCGGTGTGGCAGGCACGAGCTGACGTTGCACGAGCGGAGTGGCGGGTCGCCTCGGTGTTGCCTGGGCGGGGGCAGGAGTGGCAGCGGGCGTGCCACGGCCTGTGATGTGACGGTTCTTGGAGACGTAGCGCTTTGGCTCCTCGGCGAAGAGCAGGTCGGCGCGCTCCTTGACGCTTAGGTTCGACTTTGGCTGGTCGCGAGTAGGTTGAGGGGCAGTGGGCTTGGCGGTCGGCTTCGTAGGGCGAGGTGGGAGGACATCATCGTGGTGATCGTCATCAAAGTCGTCACGGAAGCCTCCGGCAGCACTGTCGGCGAACCCGCCGCCATTCTGGGTGGGACCAGCACCGTTACCACGACGCGGGCCGTCGCCTGTGGCACGCTGCTCACCGCGCTCAGCAGCCTCGGCCTCCTCAGCCTCGACCATCCATCGCGGTCGGCCGTCGGTGACAGGCTGCCTGCGTTTACCAGCAGTCTGCGCCTGCTGCTGCTCGTACGCACGCTTCTGCTCCTCATAGACCTTGAGAGCCTTCTCCTTGCCCGAGTTCCAGAAACTCGTCGCCTTCGAGAGGACAGATGCGCCAATCTCAGATGCCTGCGCCATGACCTGGTCGACCTGTTTGCCAATATCGTCGTCGTCTTCGCCATCGTGGCCCTGCTGTTGTGGGCGCTCACGCTCAGGACGCGCACGCACGCTGTCCCGACTCGGACCTGCGCGGCGAGCGGCATGCCTCGCCACTCGCTCGTGCGCTTCCCGATCCTCGCGAGCTTGCATGGCGCGCGCAATAGCCTCGTCGTCAATCTCGAGGTCTTCGTCATCGCCTGCCGCGGCGCCTTGCGCTTGGAGGAGACTGTCGAGAGCAGCCTGTACGTCCAACCCCGTTGGCGTAGCGGCGAGTGCCGTGCGTGCTTGCGCAGGCGAGAAACCCATCTCGACAATCTGGCCCACTACGTGTGGTGGGGGAGAGAGTGCACGGCGCGACGAGGTGCTCGTGTCGTTCCGTGCCGGCGTCTGCTTGGGGGGTTCTCTCTGCACGGGTTAGTTAAGTGCCCACTCCTCACCCATGTTTAGTACTCACGGTGCGCACGGGCCTCCCCAACTCGCCCAGCAGGTCGTCGTCTTCATCCCCACCGTCTGCGGGGTACTCGATCTCGGTTTGGGCCGTGTTGCGGGAGCTTGGTGTCGCCACAGGGAGCGAGTCAAAGTCCCACGGGTCTGCGACTGCTGCAGGCGCCGGAGACGATGGTTTTGCGACAGGGGGAGTAGCGATGGGCGGGGAAGGGGACTGGGACTTTGGCTTGGATGACGAGGAAGACAGGAAATCATCGTTATCCCAGAACGAGCCAGCCGAGGACTTGCCAGTGGTGGTCGCTACTGGGGCCCGTGCCGCACTGGCAGGTCGCGAAGTCGGGGGAGTGGGCTTGAGCCCGATGTTTGGCAGGGCGCTCGCCGAGGAAGGAGTCGGCGCTGCCGAAGTGGCCTTGATCGGCGCTGCCGCAGCAGCTGCTGGTGCCGCACCAGAACCACCAAAGCTGTCCCAGTCCCACTGGGCCTTTTGATGCTCTGCATCGGCCTGCTTCTTCGCCGCAAGCTGCGCCTGGCGCTCCGCCATTGTCAGGTTCTTTCCCCCCAGGGTCGACGACGTCACGCCGAGGAGGGAGCTGAACGCGTCGCTGGCTGGAGGCGGCGTCGTCGTGGCTGCTGGAGTGACAGCTGGAGATGCCGCACCAGATCGACTCGCGGTGCTTGTCGGCCGCATGGCGCCCATGCCACCACCAAGGCCATTCAGACCGTTCAGGCCAGACGAGCCGCTCGGTGTTCCGGCGGGTTTGGGGCTGGCTCCGACGCTGCCGAACGCGCCCAGTCCGCCCATATCGCCGAGGCCAGAGCTGGCGCCAGAACCATTCGGGTATGACGGTGTGGGAGCCAGCGGGGTGCTGGTTCGAGAGTAGTTGGGTCCCCCGGCGGGCTTGGAGAGCAGGTCGAACGCGCTTCCTGTTCGTGACGGAGCCGCGCTGGCGGGCAGGCTGCCAGAAGCGCTGCCGGTGCCGCTGCGCTGCCCGCCTCCTGATGCGGCGTTGTCTGACCAACTGAGGTCTAGGAGATCGTCCATAGGGTGATGAGAGAAGGAGTGCGTGAATGTGATAGAATGATGGGTTGGACGACGGACAGGACGAGACACAACAGGATCCAGAGAGGGAGAGAGCGTGTCGCCGATCGGGCAGGTGGAGGCAGACGGAGGCATTATTGTAGGCACACTGCTACGAGCAAGCTAGAGCCAACAGGTCTCTTGGTCTCTTGGATGACGGGGAGTGCTATTCATGCATGGAGATGTGTATTACAGAGAGATTGCAAAGGGCACGCAGGCCGGTAGGTCCCATCTACAGAGTCCATGCATTAGTTGCTGCTCTTGCCCTCGTCGTCGAAAAGAACAACCCTTTAACCCCGTTAGCCATCGCTTTTCAACGCCACTCTAGATCACTCACGTCACAGTCATGTCGTCGCGGAAGTACCTCGCCGCAGGGCCGTGGAGACTCAGCAGCTCCTGGAACTCCTTACGGTCGGCGCCGCCAAACGCATTACGGATCAGGTGAGTGGCAGCGTTCTTGTCGCCGTCAAACGCCCAGGTGCCCTTGGCACGCTTGCCTGTACCGGGCAACGCCTCGACGGGGTAAGGACGGGGCTCGGTGAGGGCGAGAGGGATCTCTGTGGCAAGGCCTTCCTTGGAGATGGGCTCGGCCTTGGGGTGTGCGAGGTAGCCGGCAACGAGGAGAGCCGCCTCTTCGGACGTGATACGGTCCCACACTGGTAGTTAGTTGAGAGCTGGTCCGCCGGAGTCTCTACACGTCTATACTCACGTCCATCGGTGGCAAGAACGACGAAGCGCAACTTGTCCTCACCCTCCAAGCTGCGGTATGTAACCTCTGGCCTGGCAGTGACGTAGGGCGGGGTAAAGTTCCACGGACGGATAGAGCGGGGCTTGGCGCCCTCGTCCTTGAAGACAGCGGCAATGGCTTCGCCCTGCAGAGTCGTCCACTTGTAGACAGCATCACCGAACGCACGGGTGGGTTGAAGGCCACCCTGCACGCGACCGTTGCGGATCACAGTGTCTGCCTCGTGCACAGGGTGCTCGGAGCGCATGCGGGCGACCTCCTTGGGGTTGTCGCCCATCTGGTCCTCGGTGAGCGTGTCACAGCGCCACGAACCGTCCGGACGCTGCCAGCCAGCAACAGCACGGCAGTCACCGGCGACAGCCACGTAGAGACCCTTGTTCTCGGCATCGACCAGTGCTGAGGCCGCGACGGCACCGTGCGAGGCGGGCTCGGTAAGGGCGACAAACTTGTGGCGCGTCTCGACCGTCTTGACAATGTCGTCGGTCTTGAGAAGCTCGGGGAGCATCTTGATGGGTTCATGGCAGATGTTGTCGTCGAGCTGGACATAGCTGTCGAGTCAGTCAGTGATGTGCAACGCGATTGACCCAGGGCATGTGTCAAAAGGCGCGTGAGATCAAATCTCATGAACCCACGCTTCGCACCACACTCACGCATTCTGAAGCGTCTTGGCAACGTTGGAGGGGGACCACGTCTTGGCCCAAGTGAGGGTATCGGCGAGGTTCGAGTACCAGCTGGCACCGGGAACGATACCGGCCTGCAGACCAGCAAGGGCAAGAGCAAGCGTGGGGTGGAGGGTACGCTCGAGGAGCTTGGAGGTGGCGTCACCTGCGTGTCCGTCCACAACCGAGACCAGGACGAGGTCGCGCGAGCCCACAGCGTCGGTGTTCTCAGCAGGAGCAGCACCCCAGCTCCACCAGCTCTTACGAGCCGGACCGCGGGGGACCACATCAGCGGCGCTGCGGTCCTCACACGGCTCGTTGGACGCGACATAGTTGGTGTCCCAACGCAGGACGGGGTTGCCCTTGCGTCCAGGGCTGGTAGTCTTCTCGTGCTGGTGCATCATCTGCTCGAGCTCGGCCATGGGCTTGCGAGGGAACGACCACGTCTTGGCACCGCGGCCGACCGTGACAGAAAACTCGGGCTCCTTGGAGTATGCACCCATGGTGGTGGTTTCATAGTACCAGGCGCCAAGGGCAGCGCTGAGGAGGATGCCAGCAATGATGGCGTTGCGGCGTGTGGTGTCTGGTGTGACGTCGTGCATCTGCGGGGGAGGGGGAGGGTGCTGACGGAACGAAGCCCGCGACGTGTTGGGACGACTGGTGGCCAAGGACCTGCGGATGATGGGGGTGGTGGAGGGCCATGCACGGGTAGCGGCGACGCGGGTGTGCGCCGCGATGGGTGCCGCCTGCATGAGCTGCCGTGTGAACATTGTTGATGGGCGAGGTCGATGGTGTCAGTGATGGAGGAGAAGAAAGAAGGAAGAAGCGAACCGCAGAATCGGGAATGGATCCAAACAAATAAGGGCCGCGTGGGGACCACTGGCCACTGGCGACGACAACGACGCGCGCGACGCCGGACGGCGAGTTCCAACACGGCCATCGTCATCATCGTCGTCGTCGCCGTCGTCGCCGTTATACCGTTGTCCATTCCACCACTCGATTCACCGTTCCCATATGGTCGTCCTGCAAGTGCTCTCCTACTTTGGGGGGCTGGCCACCTTCACCCAGGTGTTTCTCGCCCTCCCCATGGCACTCGACTTGCTCGGTACGTCCTCCCTCCGTGTTCCTGGCTGACAACCCCCACCATCATCCAGGCCCACCATCATTCCTTCTCCTCTCGCTGCTCTTTGCGCTCCACCACTGTGCATACTCCACTCTGAGGCTCTTGTGCAAGAACACTATTATTGCACCGCTCATCACTGTCCTCTCCTTCTTGTCCCCAACCATCTCCGCCGGCGCCGTCTTCGTCACCCTCTACTACTACCTGTACCCTCCTGGCGCAGACAGCAGTTCGCTGAGCCACCTGCTCGTCGACGTCCTCCCGTACCTGTACGCCAGCACGCTCCGATGGGTTTCCCCGCTCTTTACGCTGCTCGAGGGCATCAGCACTTTGCTCGCGGTCCAGGTGCTCGGCCGCGCCGGTAAAGGCTGGGCAGAGGACGACGAAAAGGAGGAAGGTTTCGAGTGGCGCTCCCTCGCCGGTCTCTTCTTTTCGGCCCTCGTCTACTGTGCCGGTCTCTACCTCATCGTCTGGTCGTTCCCCACGGCCCCCTTGCCGGCTTTCCTCCTCGGCGCAGCCCTCATGTCCACCTTGTTCCTCTCGTTCATTGGCTTTTCCCTCCGCAGGACCAATGTTCTCGAGACCTCCCTGGTGTTGTTCTACGTCGCATACTCGGCATGGCTCTCGGGCGCAGAGAGCGCAATGGAGTGAGCTGGGCTTAGACAGTAGACGTACCCACAGCTAACACCCCAGGCCCCGCTCGTACGGCTCCGGCTGGCTCTCGCACGAGTGGGCTGTCCCCAAGAACGTGTCCGCTCCCAACGTCAACGCCCTTGCCGACCGCGCGGTCTCGTCCGTCTTTGACTCGCTGTGGAACGTCTCACTTTCACTGCCGCCTCATCTCCTCCTGTCTCTCATCTTCCGTGTCGTGGTCCTCCACTTTGCGGCCCGGATCGTGCCCATGATTCGCAAGGCTAGCATCGGTTATGACGACGGCACAGAGGCACCCTCCTTTTGGGACGGCAAGAGCCTTGGCGAGGAGCCGACTGTGAGCAGCATGGGTTAGAATGAATGAGCTGACATTCACAGAACATGCGCATCACCACTGTCGTCCTCTCGTACCGCCGCGCAATTCTCATTGCTGTCTACACTCATCTGCTATGTAGGTGGCCCTGTTGACGATTTGTGCTCACGTCGCAGACCTCGACGCTGGATCCCAGACGTGGTGGCGCTGGGTCAACATTACCCTCTTCCTCTCCGTGTGGAGCCTGGAGCTGCTCCTCGACGCGGAAGACGATGCAGACAGCGTCTCGCGCTGGAAGGTGGACTAGGTGACTCGGGAAGAAGAAGAAAACTCTCTCTAGAATACATGCATGGTGTGGTGTGTGTGGTCTCTCTATGAACAGCAACGCTCGGCATTCTACACAGGAGTGGTGAGTGTCGTGGGAGTCTAGGCGGTCGCCGCCTGGGCCTCGACGGGGTTCGTCTCGGCGGCGACGTGAGGCACCTCCTCGGTCGCAGCCGTTCCCTCCGCTTGCTCTGCCTCCTTACGCTCCCTCTCGCGACTCCTGCTGCGCTGGCGGTACTTCCTCCTCTTGTCCTTGCGCGCCTCCTCGCGTGACGCATACTTTTCTTTACGGCGCTTGCTCCTCTCGGCCGCCTTGGACTCGTGGGCCTCGCAGCCGACGCCGACGAGACCGCCAGCCAGGGCCTGAGCGGCCGCCTCGATGGGGTCCATGCCGCCCTCAATGGCACGGATCTGGCGGCAGTGCACGAGGCACGCGCGCGACGAGCAGCGCGACGCAGCGGCATCCTTGCACTCGGGACCAGCGCAGTTGGTGATCGCCATACGGGCTGCTTGGCTGGACAGGAGCTTTGCGTTCGGGGCCGGAGACATGGCGCGGGAAGGGCCAGCGCTAGCGTCGCCGTCCGTAGCAGCCACGCCGCCCTCAAACTCGGCCACACCGCCGACTTCGGACGACACGGGCGTGGGACGGATGTACGGCTGCGCAATCCAGATGGGGAGCTCGCGGTAGCCAGTGGCGGGGTCAATGGGAGGTGCGGCCACGGTGGTGCCGGCGTCGGGGACGTAGCTGGCAATGGTCTTGACACACTCGCGGTAATGGGCAATACGCTTCGTCTGCTCGCCAAGACCGACCTTGCCGATGAGGACCCGAAGCTCGTCGTGCTTGTCCAGAATGGGGCGGAGGACACGGAACATGTGCGACTTGATGGCACTGGGCGACGTGGGCGACTCGAGGGAATCGACAATGTCAAGGTAGCGGTTGGCAAGGGCAATTGACGATGTAAAAGCGTGAGGGCTGTCGGCATCCATGAACAACGCGGGGTTGGAAAGGTTGCCCTCGGCAGTCATGACACCGTCAACGCCGGTCAACTCGAGACAGCGGTCAACGTCCTCGCGGTAGAGAATGTTGCCGTTGGCGAAGACAGGCACGTTGACAGCAGCCTTGACGGCCTTGATCTGTTCCCAGTCGGCGAGACCGGTAAACTGGCCCTTCATGTCGCGCGTACGGCCGTGGCAGGTGAGGATCTGGGCACCGGCAGCCTCCATCATCTTGGCATAGCGAATAGTCTTCTCCACTTCGGGGAAGATGCGGAACTTGGCGGTCACAGGGCACTTCAAGTTCTCGTGCAGCGTCGAGATGAGCTTGGCAACCAGGTCCCACTCGTCCTGGAGGAACGATCCGTAGTGGCCCTTGCGAGCGATACCCTGCGGGCAACCGAAGTTGATGTCGACCGCATCGCAGCGGTCCTCGACCTTCTTGGCGGCAGCGAGGAGGACGTCGGGGTCGTTTGCACAGAACTGGACAGTCAGAAAAAGGGGGGAAGATGGTTGGCCAGTAAACTCACTTGCACAAACAGTGGCCTGTCACCACCCTCGATACCCGCCAGCGTCTGCTCACTGCCCTCCTCGCCGAACGTGAGGTTGAACTGGGGGTCGCCACCCCTCGAGGCAGCGCGCGACTCGCTGAAAACACGCGCGTGGATCATAGGCGTATACGAGAGATGCGCTCCACCCTTGTAACGCTTAAACGTGCGACCAGTGCTGCCGGTGATCGTCTCGGGCTCCCCGGCGAGCTCGGGGTCGAGGGGGGCCTTGGACAGGAGGCGCCACGGAAGCTCGCTCGCGTCCACCATGGGCGCGACGACGTACTTGGGGGAACCAATTGAGCGGTACAGGTCGTAGCCACCAAGTTTGGCATGCTTGGGAACGACAGTAGGCGGGAGGGAAGCCTCGGCAGCGGGCGCGGCATCGGTGGCCTCAGTGACGTGGGGAACCGCAACGGGCGCAGCAGTTGCGGCGGGGGCGGGTGGAGTGACGGTCATGATGCGAGGAGTGGTGAATGGAAGGGCCCGCAGGAGCGAGCGGAAGAAGGACACGGTTGGTGGAGAATAGAGATACCGCTGACGGGCTGTTTTCGCAGTGGCCAGCAGCGGTGGAAGAGTGTTCAATGTCACCAATGTTGTCGAGCTCGTCGATCATCTCTCGTGCAGGATCCCAACTTTTGAGCTGACAGAAGATTACGTAAAGCAATAAAATCCGTGTTATGAGCGGTTTCCTAATGCGTATTAGCAACATGTTCATAATTGAACTTATCCTTACGTAATAGATTCCTGGCTGGCTGGCGTCATTAAGGAGGTGACATGTCTTTGGTGCGCGGCCATCCCATCTCCCATTTCACTTGTCACCTCTCTGTCTCTCGCTCTCTACCCCACACCTGCAACGACCACAGCATCCTCACACGCAGGCGGCCATCCCGTCCGTATTGTGGGCACTCGGCATACCTCGTCCACTAGGACAACCCCGCTCCCAGCTCCCCTAGACGGGGGGCTGCACCCTGTTCGGCTCACGGATCACCTCCAGGCGACAAGTTCTACACCTCAGTCGCACGACCACATCACGCCCCAGCCAGACCGCCTCTGCTTGAAGTAGCCATGGTTTCCACAGAAGCGGCATACCTCGCCGCCGTGGCGCGGCAGCCAAAAGATGCTCGGCCAGACCAGATCTACGAGGTGAGCCCACCCCTTTCGGCTCACGCTGATGTCTTCAGAAACTCGAGATGGTTGGAAAGGGAGCCTACGGAGCAGTGTACCAGGGTCGACACACGGCCACAAACCACGTCGTAGCGTTGAAGATTATCAACCTCGATACAGAGGACGACGACGTCAGCGATATCCAGAAGGAAGTGTCGCTCCTCCAACAGCTCATGAATAGCTTTACCGGTACCGGTGGCGCGGGACCGGGCACGACGGGACCGATGCCCAATGTCATCAAGTACTATGGGAGTATGATGGAGGGCCCCAAAGTGTGGATTATTATGGAGTATGCCGACGGAGGCAGTATTAGGACTGTGGTGGGTATAGCCAAGCAAAGACAGACACGGCCGCTGACGCCCATTCACAGTCGCGAGCGCAACCTCTTAAGGAGTTGCATATCGCCCTGATCATGCGCGAGACGCTCGTTGCTCTCCAGTTCTTGCATAAAAACGGCATCATTCATCGTGACATCAAAGCGGCCAACATCCTACTCACGGCTCAACCTCCGCGTATCCTGCTGTGCGACTTTGGTGTCGCCGCACTCCTCGTTTCGCAAAGTGCCAAGCGTTCAACGTTTGTGGGCACACCGTACTGGATGGCGCCCGAGGTCGTTACCCAAGGACGACTGTATGATGTCAAGGCGGATATCTGGTCTCTGGGAATCACTTTACTGGAGATGGCCCACGGCGAGCCGCCAATGAGTGGCCAACCGGCGGCACATGCCGTCAAGATTCTCGGTGACAAGAAGCTGCGGGCCCCCCGCCTCGAGGGCGGAACGTGGAGCAAGGACATGCGTGACTTTGTGGTTGCGTGTCTAAACGAGGAGCCCTCGGACCGCCTGTCAGCAGAAGAGCTCAGCAAGATGAAGTGGATGAAGGGCGTCGCCAGGACCCCGCTCACGACACTCTCGGAGTTGATCACACGGTTCCAGCAGTGGAAGGATCAAGGAGGACAGCGCATGTCCCTCGCCCCCGGTGTCGGCGCCCAAATCGACGACGACTCTGTCTCAGTCTCGAGTGATGATTGGAACTTCACGGTTCGCTCACGTATGAGCATGCTTACCGACACTCCCCAGGATGAAGCAACTGCCAAGATGCCCCCGCCCGAGTCCCTTCGTCGCCTCTTCCACGATGACAGCCTCGACTCGGACCCTTTCCACAGCTACAACCAACCCCCTCCTCCTCCACTTCCCCCAGCTTCCATTCAGCCTGTTGTCGAGCCCACAATCGACACCATCGACTTGCCAGATGACAAGTCGGACACAGGCGGCACCGTTCGTCAGTCGCGGAAACCCTCCCACCTCTTCATTGTCACCAACCCCTTCCGTCCCACAGCAGGCACCACCAGCGCATCCAACACCGTGGGATCGGGTAGCGAAGAGTCGCAGCAGCAAACTCCTCTTGCGCGTTTACCCCTGCCTCAAGTCCCGCCCAAACAGTCCCTTGACACCTTCACGGCCGCACCAACCGCACGATCGGCGACGGACCTCCGCGGTCCAGGAATCGGCCTCGGGCTCGGAGGACCGCAGGCGCGTAAGCCCTCTGGCGACGCTGCAGGGCTACGCGGGTTCCAGTTCCCGCTCATGACTGCAGCAACGACGGGCAAACCCTCTCCGCCAGCGCCGCAGTATCCGCTCATGCAGGCCTCAACTCAACCTCTGCAGTCTGGTGAACTTAGCCCACTGGGTGCACCAATCCCGCCGTTTGCGCGCACCACCACGCCAATGATGCGCCAGGCGAGCGTGGCGGTCATGGAAGGGCGAGCGACGCAGGCTGCTGCTCAGCAGTTGGCTTTGAATGCCGACACGCCCCACTCGCCGCCAAAGGGTCTCGGTGTACCCGGAACCCTCGGTATTGGCCGTCCACCGGCCATGGGAGTGGGCATGATGCGTTCCCGGTCCGGATCACGCGTCGACGACGCCGCGCTAGGTGGAATGGGGATGGGTTTGCGCGACCTGCTCAAACTCTCCCCGGCCGTTCCCGACAGTAGCGACCTGTTGCCGCCCTCACCATCGACCCTTGTCGCTCCAAAGCCATTCGTCGCGCTCCCCTCCCCTCTCGCACTGCCACCAAGCGAAGGAACGACCCACGGTCCAAGCTTGTTGTCGTCTCAGAACGGAATGCCAAATTACCCAGGGGCGTCATTTGGTGCTCCCCCACCAGCCACACTCGGTGCACCGGTCACCCTCATCGCGCCCAACACTTCTTCCATCTCGCTACCTGCCCTCCTCCCTTCACCTGGCCTCCCCACCACACCGGGAGCGCCTACAGGCGCGCACCAGGTGCCTCCGCCCGTCCCGCCCGTCCAGATCCCGGCACAAGCGTATGGCCAGACATACGCGCACACTTACAACCACACCTACTCGCACACCTACGGCGGTCAGCCAGGCGCGGCGCTGTTCCCGCTCGACCTGATGAGGGTGGACGACACGACCGCGGCCCTCGCCGAGCTGGATATGCAAGTCGATGGACTGCGGCGGTGGCTCGATGTCGTGGAGCGCGGCTTGGACGATTTGCTCAGAGTCGGCACCGGTGGTGGGGAGAGTACCGATGGCGACGACGTGCCGACCCCGCACGCTACGAGCCAACCGTCTGTCGTCACCCCGTTGCCCCTTCAGCAACAGCAACAGCAACAGCAACAGGCCGTTCTGCAAAGCAGTCCTGTCAGCATGACTAGCGGCGGCGGAGTCAACGGCGAGCGTGTGGGGTTCGGCTCTCCTGGTCCCTCGCCGTTGTCGGCAAGCACGAGCTCGCGAGCCGAGCGCACCAACGTCATTTAAAACTCTAGAAAATTTGTGTTTGTACCACCAACATAGTGAATTTGCATGCAGGCATACAGAAGACCCGGATGGTGGGCAGCTGGGACGCTGGATGGTGGTTTGGGGGGGAGGGGGAGGTGGTGGTGGTGGGTGGAAACATGGTACTGTACAATTGCGCCTCACAACAGTCTTTTTCTCTCTGGTCTTCTTGCTTTCAATGCTTTTTGTGTTTGTCGGGAATGTGTGGCGCTCTGCGCGACTCCGGTCTTCTCCTTGTTCTGGTTCTTGTCACCTACTCCTCCTTCTCTCTTTCTCTCCTTCTCCTCTTCTGCCCTCTCCTCCCCCTTCTCCCCTCCCCCCTCCCTCCCTCCCTCCTTTACTTGCGTGGGCTCGCTGCACGCTCACTGGTACCTCGCAGCCCTCGCAGCCTCAATCGCACCCATCCGCTGCCTAATCCCCGCAAGACCAGAGACAGTGCTGCTGGTCCTGTGCGCCGCGATACGCGCTTGCGCGATCGCGCTCTCTCTCGGGGCAGCACCAGCAGCAGCAGCACCGCCAGCACCGCCACCCAGTCCCGTCCCGCCAGCGAGGCGGGCCTTGGCTTCCTCGAGGCGTGCAGCGGCGGATCCCACTGCGGCGGTGGGGCCGGCACGTCGCGCGGCAGCGTGGTCGGGTGGTGGGGGCGAGGACAGCTTCGTACGGGCGAGGGCGACACCGGCACCAGGAGTCGAAGGCGTGCGCCGGGAGGCAATGTTGGTGGCTGTCGGCGTGGCCTCGGCGAGGGCCCTTGTGCGCGGCGCGAGGGAGGGGCGGGACGAGACCTTTGTGACCGTCCTGTGTCCCAAAGACGCGGTAGGCGCGAGGGAGCGACGCGGGGTCGGCGCTGGGAGAGTCTGGCGCGAAGCTGTAGCGGTAGTCGGAGCAAGGGACATGGACTGTCTTTGAGTCTCGGCGACCGGCTGGCGTGGTGTTGGCGCCAGTGAAGTGCGGCGCGTGTCGAGGCGCTTCATTGAAGATGTGCGCGTCATACCCGAGCCGGGGGTCTCAGAGTATGACGATGCAGCACTGTCGCCGCGCGTCAGGTCCCTGCCTGAGCCAGATCGGGGGAGCGTCGAGCGGGATTGTTGTTCCGTGGCCACAGCGTTGCGTGTCGATCCCGACCGAGGCAGAGTTGAGGTACGTTCGAGCGCGCGTGTCGAGCCACTGCGCGGCAGAGTCGACCCGGTGGCGGCGACCGAGATGCGGCGCGACGAGACGGACGTGGGCATGCGGCGTTCTGCAGCGGGAGTGTGGGTCGCCGGGGTCAGGATCGGTGCTGGGAAGCGTTCGACCGCGTCGGCCCATCTGTCCTCCGAGGATGGGGCGGGGACAGAGCTGCCTGGCCGAGACTGAGTCGCGGGGGTACGACGCATGGAGAGGGGAACGTCTGGGCGGTCCACAGCAACACGGCGCGGGGTGGTGCTCGCGTGCGCCTCTCGGGCGAGGTGGGATGACACAAACCGCGTCGATGCCGAGGAAGGAAGAGCGCGGCTCGACATGGACCCGGGCACGCGTGACGAACCCACGCGCGTGAGGCCGCTGCCACGGGTCGAGTCCGATCGCTGGATGGCACGCGTCGAGTCTGAACGCTGGATGGTGCGCGTCGAATCGGAGCGCTGGATGGTACGGGTCGAATCCGACCGGGTGATGGTACGCGTCGAGTCGGAGCGAGGAAGACCACCACCACTAGTGAGGCTGCCGCTGCCTGCAACGGGCAACCCCCGTGTGTCGATGTGCGCGAGCGTAGCCGACCTGCTCATACCGCCGGTGGATGACACTTGACGAGAAGGACGAAGAGATGCAGGGACGATAGGTTCTTCTACGATGGTGTCGTCTCCTTCCGCATCCGAGAGGTCGGCGAGCTGAAGGCCCTGGGCCCCTGCGCCGACGAGGAAGCTCTCTTCGGTACCACTGGCGCGCTTGGGCCTGCTTGCCCCGCGACCAAGAAGCGTAGCGATGTCAACAGTGACGTCGGCGGCGTGTGTTGTACGGTGTGATGAAACGGGGTGGCGACGGTGGGGAGTGAACGCGGTAGCCGCCGACGGGGTGGACGCTGCCTGCGTACGCGACGGGGCTGGAGTGCGGGCCGAGGATGGCGGGGTGAGCTGGAAGCTCTCCGAGTCGAGGAGCACCCCAACACTGGCGTTTGGTTCAAAGATGGCCGACTGTTGGCGGCGCGGAGCCTCGCCAACAAAGTTTGTGGTTGCCTGGTGGCGCAGTGGGGAACGGCGCGCAGGGGTACGATGGCTCGGTGCTGCGGCGAGGAAGCGGTTTTCGTCTTGCAGCACTTCCTCTTCCTGCTGTGCGGCTTCGAGCTTTGCGGTGAGGTTGGTGCATGATGGCCGGCGCTTGCTCATTGGGACGACGGGCGACAGCAACGAGTCGGATGTAGAGGAAGGCGGGGTGGACACGCTCAACGTGCTGCTGCCCGTGCTGGATGGGGACGACGGCCGCGCAGAAGCAGTGTTTGCAGGGCGGAGAGTCAGTCCCATGCTCCTCCGACGTTCGCGGTTGCTTTCGACAGCGACCTCGAGGGCATCATACGTCCTGTCGCCGATAGACGCGGCCTGGAACGATGCGTCAAGCATGGACACGTTCAGCAATGTTTGGGACGACGGGCGGCGCACATGGCGTTGTTGTGCGTGGGAAGTGGAGGAAGGCTTCTCGCCGGATTCCTCCTGGATGAAAAGGCGGTCCATAAACGCTGCAGGCGAGCGTGCCGGGAACGCTCGCTCGTCGCGGAACATGCGTTCTTTGTGTGGTGTGCGCGAGTGCGTCAATGCCGTCGGCGAGGTGGATGTGGTCGCCGCCGCTGCCGTCGCTCGAGGGGTGCGCACCCAGCCTCGTGCGTGTTGAAACGATCTCGATTCCTTGTTTGGCGAGGGCGAATTGTTGTATTCGCCGCTATGTCTGTCGCCGGCGGTACGGTGTTCGCGGTCGTAGCTCTGGTGCACAGGTGCAGGTCGCACGGTTGGTGAATGCAAGGGTTGCTCACCCATGCTGTGCCAGGTAAGAAAGTCGCGGTCTGCTCCTGCTCTGTCCCCACTGTGGCCACGGTCCTGCGACGGTGATGGCTGGTGTTGGGGTGCTTCCTCCTGCTGGTCTCGAGCGCGAGACGATAGCGAGAGCGTCGACGAGCGCGAGACGATCCTCTTGGATGTCGGCTCGGCAGCGGCGGCGGCGGCGGTGAAGGCGAGGTCGCGATCACTGTCCCAGCCGCGGTTTTCAAAAAAGGCGTAGGCGCGCTCAAACGCAGGGGTGCGCGGCAGGTTGCGGAGGGAGGAGGACGGTGGTGCCGCAACGGATGGTGAATAGGAGGAAGGGGGTTGCAACAATGCGCTGGTGGAAGTGATGCGTCGGAGTGAGCGAGGTAACGAGCTGCTCGATGTGCGCCTGTGGCTTCTGTTGTTGACGGACCGTTGGCTGGGCGGCGGTGGTGTGGGAATGTCGGAGGGGTCGCCGTTATGCCGGGCCGGAGAAGGAGTCGTGCTGTGGAATGCAAGGCCGTCGAGGTCTTGGAGAGCGTGAATTGACCAGCGCTGGGAGCGACGGGTGGTAGAAGAAGAGGGTGAAGGAGTGTGTTGGGCTGACATTGTTGCTTGTTGTTGTTGTTGACCTGCCCAGCGAGTCGCGCTAGTCGTCGTCGGTGGTGGGGAGCGTGACAGGCGCAGGCGGCGTCGGCGGCAGGGTGATAGGGGTGGGATGGATTGAAAGAAACCAACAACGCAAACACGGACGGCAGACGCCAGACGCGTGTTGTGTTTCTCTGTCTGGCCCCCGTTTAGAGTTTGGGGGGGGTGCCAGACGCGAATTTGTCAAAAGGGGGAATAATAGCCGCAAACATTTTCTAATTGGATTAATAAAAATCAGTCACCATAGAGCAAAACACTGCTTTAAGGTTTCTTATTCCACCAGTCCGAGACATTGGGCCTGCGCGTGACATGGCTCTCCCGTGTCTGTGGTCTTGCTTGTGGCCACAGCAGCCGTTGAATTGCCGCTGATCCGCTGAATGGCGGCTATGGCGTTGCGCAGGAGGGGGGCCGGGACGGCCGGAAAACGGTGTGTCATGTGCAGCCCATAGGCCATAGGGGCCGTAGCATGGCACCTTGGTGTGCAGTTTGGAGGCTGCTCATGGCCTCTGGGTGTGCCTGCGCAGGCCCAGGTGGTCGACAACCAGCGACCAGGTGTTCTGGACAAGCGAGGTTCGAGGGTTATCAGATGCAGGAGTCCCACCCTCCCACTTGCTACGCAGGGGTACCTCGGTTATACCTACCTGCCTCATGGCTCGTGGATCATGTGTGGAGTGTGATCTGTGAAGTTCTGCACTGTGCTCAAGATCCTGCTCTCGTGAAAGGTAATGTACATGTTTCTACGCCAAATGGGTACATGAAATTAGTCTGCGTGTGTGTGTGTGTGTGGTGTGGTGTTGCGGATATCCGCGTCGTTGTCGTATGCTCCCTCCGGCTCCCCTTTGTCGTTTTCACGCCACGGCCCGCATGCCGTCGCTGACTGTCACGGCTCACTTGCGACCGGTACCAGCAGTGACAGCCGCGCTCTTGTGACCAGCCGTAGCGGACTGGAGCTGCAGCCACCAGCCCTCGCTTCTCAGCGTGTCCAGGCAGTACTCGCCCAGCACACCGGCCGTCGTCCTGGCGTCCATCCGCGTAGTGTCCAGCTCGTACTCGCCACAAAGACCGCTGACGGGGGCAATGTGTCCGATCTCCTCCTCCATACGCGTCTGGATCAACGCGCTTGGGTCCGTCGAGATCGTGAGAGCGCCCTTGGCACGAGCCTCTTCGCGCGCGGGGTCGGTTAGACGACGGACATTCTCGTCCTGCGATGCAGAGAGGATGACGTGGATGAAAGCAAATCCGGAACGTCGAGCGAAAGCGATGAATTCGTGCATGATAGCCAAGTCGGTTGGGCGAGCGGCGACGGACAAAAAGTCGGTGAGCACATAGGTTGGTGGCGTGGGGCCCGTCGGCGACGAGACCGAGTAGTTGCGCGCAATGGACTCGAAGATTGCGTGTTTCTGTAGCAACGTCAGTTACCAGTGCCACAACACAGACAGAGTGAACCGCCGTCCAAAGAAGACACCATGCCGAGAATAGCCAAGCCAGACGCGAACCAAGGGCAGGCAGAACATTCTGCGAGCAGCTGGCCAGCGGCTACCGCCGTAACACCGTGCGGAGAGGCCCAGCGGCCGCACGACACACGGACACACGGACGCATGGGCCAAACGGCATCGGTGTGGCACATGGCCGGTCCACAGTCGCGAAACCACCTCGCAGCATTCCAAGCCCCGAAATGCACAGGCTGCTGGCCTGGTCGCTCACACCTGGTGGATCGGTGGGGACAGGGGGGCACATCACATTGCAAGCTGAGAACGACAAGCGGGTCACGAATGGCACCGTTTGTTTCCTTGCTCCACAGAGGAAAGGAGGCGGGACAAAGGGATCGTCGGATCCGCGCGTCTCCAAGTTGGGAAGGGGAATTGTGGGTTCGTGCCACTCACGAGGTTCTTGCGCAGATGGCCGTGAGCTGGGTCGTCCGACTGGTAGAGCTGCGAAGCCGCAGAGAGGAGGGAACGGGTGTCGAAGAACTTGCAGTTGGGCAGGATCTTGCTGTAGTGCGACCGGACAGCCGAAGAGGTGTGGTGGGAGTGACAGCGAGTATTGATCATAGGGCGGCGAGGGCGAAGAGAACGAGAACGAGAAGAAGAAAAGAAATGACACACACACACACACAGAGTCAGCGCCCTGTCTTTTTCAAGTTCCAGGCCAACTTACACAAGCTCGTGGGCAACGGTGTGCTTGCCAACGCCGGGGAAGCCGTTGATGAGAATGAGGGCGCCAGGCATGGCTTTGGCGGCTGGTGAGTTGTTAGAGGGTGATGAAATGGGTATGAAAGCTGATGTCAAAGTAGAATGGAGGAGAGGGAGGGGGGAATAGTGACAGACAGCGCAAGAGGTCAGAGCGGACAAAGCCCACGAGGACAAGGACACGGCGCCCGTTGCTCCATACAGCACATGACGCATTCCCACGCCCGTGGATCTCGCAACTGGGCGGTACCGTTCTCCTTCTGCGTGCCACTGCTCGACTTCTCGTTCTCAAACGTGCTCAGACGGGCAACGCACGGTGGGCGTGGTTGTCGCCTGCCACAAAACAGGACCGCGCTGAAGGGTCCGGCTACGCTCAGACGTCGAGGCGGCCAGCAACGCCGCATGTCTCCGGGTGTTCCGAGGAATGCTGGCGTGAACTTGCCGGCCGGCGAGCCGCCGTGACAGTCGTGCACTTATCGACACTGGCCAGCGGGGTGTGTATCCAACGTTCCAACGTCGTGCGCTGGCTTGCTGGTACGAGGTGGGCAGAAAGTCACTCACGAGTAGGCCGCTTCTCTGGCTCTGGCTCGAAGGGCGTCGTCTTGGACGAGTTGCCGGGTCTGTTGGCGAGACGCTTGAGCATTGACGACATTGAAGTTATGCGTGGTGGTGTTTTGGAAAGAAAGAAAAGAGAGAGTATGTGTGTGTGTGTGTAAAGGAGAGACAGAGCGAGAGTTGAGCACGGCAACACAGGACAGGTCGATAAAATGACACCACACGGGGCAGGTCGTCTGTTATGAACGCACGAGACTGCGGGTACCATACAGGTTCGATGGCATCTCCCCCCCCCCCCCCCCCCCCCCCGCATACCCACAGCGGCCAGCGGGTACGACGGTCCATGTCGACCTGCAGGCGCTGGTTGTGGCGTTTCCGGCGCGCGCGCGAGCGCGCTCTCTGTCTCGGCAGCTTCCAGTCACTGCATACCCCCGACCTGGGCATCTAGGACTCTAGGACTCTGTCCTGTTCCAACGCGGGGCTACAGCGACAGACGCTGCTTCAAGGTGGCGACGACTCGATGGCCCTTCTGGGCGTCAGCGACTAGCAGAACGCCAAACGCCCAACGCCAGACGCCCAGCACCCCGGCCAGCTTCCACACCTGTACCTGCACCCCATTGCGCGCACCACTCACGAGGCCAGCATGGCTACTCTGCTGGGCAATCGGGCTGACTGGGCTGATGTCTGACCCACACGCTGCCTAATTTCAGCCGCGCAGCGGTCGTTCGCACCGCGTCGACAGGTCGTTTCCCTTTTCATCTCCAGTTTTCCGTGGCCTCGGTCCCTTCCATCCCTTCTGCAGCCCCGGCCCTTTTTTCCACTTATTGCTCGCCCCCCACATGGTCAACCCCACCGTCTGCATACACGGTTTGCGGCTCTGCTCACGCATATGCAAGGGTGCCCCCCCCCCCCCCCCCCCCTACATGCATACAAGCTGTGTACGTTGTGCGGAAGTGACGGGACACCACCTCCAGACGCGGGCCACAAACGGGGGACCACACACTGACAGGTCCCAGAAGCTTTCCCTTTGGTGGTGGCGTATGGTGGCAGAGGAGGACGTCATCACCCCCACATGCCTGTTCCCCTCACCTGCATGGCTGTCTTGTCTTTCAAGGTCCGCAATAGCGGGGCCGGCCCGCGGTCTGCTCACATGCATCCTGTCGAGTTTTCTGGTGTTGTGCCTACAGCGGTGTGCAGGGTGATGGGTGTGCCGTGCCGTGGCAACCATCCTCCGGCGTCTTTGATGCGACAGTAGCCGGACACAGCGCGATACGATAATGAATCGCCTTACGCGTGTCAGACATCAACGCTGTGGATGTACGCGTCGACCCTCTTGGAGCACAACCAGAGTTTCTTCTCCCCAACGAAGCTGCAGAAGCGTCTTACCGGGGCTAACGAGGGTCTCGCCCGGTGGCTCACGGAATGTAGCGTGGCTGGCGCACAACCAACTGTGCATGCGCACAGACTGCACAGACTACACCCACGAGAGTGGTACTACCTCCCTTCACAGTGAGGGTTCCAGTCTGCGCGAGGCAAAAAGTAGGGTTTGGTTGGCAGCGTCGCTGTCTGGTGGCGCGGCTTGAGGCTGGCAGTGAGGTGGTCTGGACGAGTACACGGCCGCCGTGAGCGGTACAGTGGTCCATCAGGCAGTCCAATGCGCCAATGCTCAACGAAAGAAAGCAATCACTGGATCTCTGGTCTGTTGTCACCTGCAGGCGATGAGAAGTGGCGCCAAGTCTAGGCGTTGGGTGACTGCCTCTGCGCCTGGAGTCGTCGCAACCCTGGAAATTTGGACGTTTCTGGGAGTCTGAATCTCTCCGCGGAGCTCTCCGCCGACTCCAGGCGCGTGGCAAAAGCATCTCCAGGTGACCGCAGGCCACTAGCCCGCTGGCCGCTAAGGAGTTCCAACAGTATCGCGCAAAAGTCGCCACATCCACACCTCACGCACTCTTTTCAGGAATGGCCCTTGTTCCTCGATGCCGAAGACCAGGTGGTCAATCCTAGGGCCTTGAAATGTCGAGTGTTTCAACTGTTTCAACACACAGCCTCCACCACCACAGGTGCATGGCCTATTAGACGTCGCAATGAAACAAGAAGAGACTTTGGTTCATCCTGTTGGCCGCAGATGTCGTTACGTTGGTGCGAGCAACCAAGCAGCAGTGGATGAACGTTATTGTTCTCCCTCTCATGTCCGCTGCGCAGCCCCTGCCAAGCACCACCTATCTCCATTATCTCCACCAGCAGCCTCATGTACACCCCGTCTACGAGCGCAAACCTCTGCATATGCAACATTCGCACCCCCGCAGCTCCTCCTATCCCAAAAAAACCTCTCGTCCCCGCACCTCCGCCGCCACCTCCACCTCCGCATCCCACGCCACTGCCGTGTCCCTACAAGCCGACGCCGACGCCGACGCCGCCACACGGGGGACGTCCACGAGGCGCCGGGCAGGGACGAAGGGTTGGAAAGTGGGGGTGGGATGGCGCCGGAACCCATCAGCTCTTCCGGTCCAGATAGGCCTGCCTGTGTTTTGAGCTGTCTGTGAGCACAACCTGTGGTGGTGAGGGGCTGAGGAGGGGGTGACTGTATGGCAAAGGTGCACCAGGCATTTCAGCAGCGGTCATGCTTACATGCTTGCTAATACATCCATCAACTGATTGCATCAAAGCAGGCGCCCATGCTTGCGAGCTTGTGATGACGCACACGTGATGCCAATAGCACACTGTAGTCGAGGAATGGGGTGGCAGGTGCCACGCTCGGTTCGCTCGGCATGCTGCCTCCTGCACCTACACATACATAGAGAGCGTGTGCGCAGTGGCCACCCAACGCCCAGAGGGGTCAAGTGCGGAACCCAAAGATACACTGCGGTATGAGACATGAGACGTGCGAAAAAAAAGACAAAAGGATTTGGAGCCCCCAGGATGCAGGACGTGTGTCTCATTTTCGAAGTGTTTTCGGTTATTTTTCAATCACCTTGCCGATCACTCCCCCCTCGTTCATCATGACATGAGGACGGTTCATGAATCCATCGCTCTCTCTCTCTCTCTCTCTCTCTCTCTCTCTCGTCCACTGCATTCTGAGACAAACCCTCGTGTGTTATCAAACCAGATAGAGGCTACAACCATTGATCTCACTCAGCCGCCTCGGCCTGGGGGAACCTCGTGGGCTTGCGCGGGGGCGAGTCCGGGATAGGCGTGGGCATAGGGCGGGGCGGGATGGGGATGGGGGCGCTGGGCACTTGCCAGTGAGCACATAACATACAGTGCGTCGTGCATGGCTGGCATTTGGGACTCACTTGTGGCGTCGGTTCGAGAGGGTGCGGGTGAGGTGCTACCGACGGACGGGTGGCGAAGAGGCGAACGACAGAGACAAACGTCGTACTGGGAATACAACCGATTCTCTGGCGCCATTGGCGTATATAACCACCTCTGCACGATGTTGACTCAACGTCTCGCACCTGATGCGCTGACGCTTGATGTGTGAATGGTGATGTGATTTGAGACTCGGGGAGGGGGACTGGTGGGCATGGTCCGGCCCAGGCGCCACCCCAGATCCCATGCAACGGTGCGATTGTGAGTGAGTGAGTCAACTGATGTGTACTCTGTGCGTGCTGTTGGCTTGCTTCTTGGGTTCTGAGAACGAGTTGTCGGTTCTCATACTGCGACAACGGGGTATTCCTCCATTGGCCACCGGCCGGAGCCTAGTGGCATTCATGCGCGAGGAGTTGGTTGATGGCCTGTTCCTCGGTAGTTCGTTGATGGCAAGGAGTAGTGAGGGCTGAAGCTGTGACATTCATTCCTCGACCATCGCTCGACTACCTGTTGTACTATAGCAGATCACAACCATCTTGCTCACAGAGCAAATCACGATCTCGCATCCAACACTCTGCCGCCACCACTACATCATACCCACTGACGAGATCGTTTTACCTCTTCTACAACAAGTCCCGCCGCGGCCTCCAGCTACAGTACAGTCTGCGCAGAGCCTGTGACATTGTGCACAGCCTCCATCAGCGTGTACCGCTGGTTTTATAGTCAGTCACAATGTCTCAGGGGGCTCGTCACCGTTCAGTGATGGGGTGGGGAGTAGGAGTCGGGTTCGGACTCGGACTCACTTGGGCTGGGGCTTGGGCTGAGGGTGCGGGTACGGCGTGGCGGGGCGAGGGGGAACCCATCCGCTCATGTTCTGGGACGATGTGTCAGCACCCTCCATCATCCCAGTCATACGTACGACTGGGGTCATGGTAGCTGGCGTGGATGTGACGGAGGGTGGTGGTATGTAGCAAGGGTGGCGGATGGTGGGTGGTGATGGTGTGGGTAAAAGCCAAAAATGTCCTGGGGGGCTACTTATATGTCTTGTGATCCTGTGACCACTCGACGACGGCCGCCACACAGAGGCCAAGCCCGAGTTAGCTTTTGCACTTGAGTAAGCTCGCGTCCTTACGGTGGATGCGGAATGGTGCCTTCCCTTTCGATGGATCGGTGGGGGCAGGCCTCGTTACGCATTGGAACCACGCCTTTATTCTCATCACTTGCCATTGTTCACTCGTTCGCGCCATATGGGTCCGTCTTGCCCGCAGTCTCTTATCGACGCTCTTTCTCTGATGCACGTGTGATCAGTGGAGCACCCTCCACTCGCTCCATCACATACAGCGATTGTTCGTTTCCCTTGTATACACGCCGTCAGAATCACGTAGCTGCCACGAGGGTGCAAAAGGTGGATGAAAATGCATACTGCTGTAATGCAGCAGTGAAGGTGATGTTGTGTTTGTGTTTGCTGGTGTCGTTGTACTGTGATTGTCTGTCTGTTTGTCTGCGTCCGCCGCAGGTGACAAAAGATATCGGACAGGATATGGGAGCGAATGTGAAAAAAATGGAAATGTGACCTCTGTACCCTCTCCTCCATGCAATGATCCCTCCCTCCTCTCCACTCTCGATCCAAAAGCCAAGGCCAGAAGTGACCAGAAACCATCTAGTGGTTCCTACCCCTCATAGCCTTCTTCATGCCCTTCTTCCTGCCTCCACCACCGCCACCATTGCCCCGCATGTTGCTCTTCAGCGAACCAGCTGCAAACGGCATCGGCGCGCCGCGCTTGCCTTGCTTGCCACCACCACCACCGTGCTTGCCACCGCCATGGCCCGCAATTCCGTGCTTGTGGTTAACGCGGTGGTGCTTGCCCTTTAATGCTGCTCCGGGGGACGGGTGGGACGGGCGGGAGATGGGAGAGGCGAATGCGTCGCCGCGAATGGCATGGGGGGCAGGCAGCGCGTCCTCGTCCGAGTCGTCCGAGGCATACTGGTTCACGAGGCGAGCAAGTGCCGGCGAGTCACCGTTAGCCTTGTTGGAGCCGTACGCTGCTGCGAGTGGAGGACGACCGTTCTTCTTGTTCGGCGACGATTGCACGCTCTCCTCTCCGCGCCTGCGCTTGGCGGCGGGACCAGCCGGGGAGACTTCGGTGCTGGACGACGCGGCGGTGGCGTCGGCGCGGCTTGCAGCAGAAGGAGTGCCGTTGGGCAGCTTTTCGCCACGGGGTACGCGCATGTAGCTGAGCAAATAGGCCGAGCGGTCGTGCAGAACCGTACTGAGCTTGACGGGAGACACGTCCTCGTCATCTGCGCTGTACCACGATCCCGAGGGGCCGAGGACATAGCTCGTGTAATGGCCGTAGTGCAGCGACGTTCCGTGGTGGCAAGTGACCGCAAAGAGGCGGTACTGGGTACCGTCATGGCGGCCCTCGGTCATGTACGGCGCAATGTCCAAGGTTTGGGGGTAATCGATGAGGTTGTTGACCTTTGTCATGCGGCCAGGGTTCTGGAATGAGAAGCCAAACCTCTTCAAGTGAAGAGTGAGGACTGGGGGAGCCTCGGCGATACGCATCGCCTTGGTAGCAGCAGACTTCTTCTTGCAGTTTTCACAATTGTACTTGTTGTCGCCGTCCAGACGGTCCTCGTGAACCAATCCCTTGAACAGGTCGTCAATGGTCTTGGAGCGGGCCGGAACGTCGAGCGACAAGTCGAGAACAGAGTCGAACGTGTCTGACGGCTTGCGGCACGTCAAGCAGAGCACGCGAGAGCGCAGGCGGCCGCCCCACATCTTGTACACCCATGTCTTGAGCTTTTCCTTCTCGGGGTAGTCCCTGAATTTTGTCAGTCGAGATGTACACTGAGGAGGGAAGGGTCGTCGACTCACTTCGGCTTGCCAGCCAACTCGGTGTTCTGGAGCGCATCAGTGACAAAGCGGAAGAACTCGTGCGCGTCCTCTTGACGGTTCTTCGAGAAGCCTTTCTTGATTTCTGCAAAACAAGTCAGCCGTGTTGACAACCCGAAAAAGAAACAAATTGAAAAAATCAATGTGTCAAATCACCGACACTCACGTCCAAGATTGTTGTGAACTGCCAGAGGGCGGTACGCTCTCTTCTGGCCGGCAAAGTGCTCCGTGGTGGCAATCTTGCGGATCGCACAGAGCATGCAGAACTTGCTCCTGGCAGCGAGGAGACCTGAACCCAAGTGTCAGCTGACGTCGCGCTGAGAGGCTTTCCACCAGCTTGACTCACAGTCACCCGGGTTGTGGCCGACAGCCACACGCAGCAATGGCGGGGTGTGTAGCAACACCTGCAAGGTCGCGTTGGTGTAGCACGCCATTGAGCCATTATACAGTCCCGCGGCACGCTTGGCACTTGCAAACGGCTCGGGCCAGGTCATGTCCAGCTCGCCCTTCTTGGGCATGGCGGCCGACGCTGTCTTTGGGGTAGTCTTGGGAGTAGCAGCGGCGTTGGACTTGGGCGTGCCGTTGGGTGTACCATTCACGCCGTTGGCGTGGCCGTTGGCATGGCCGTTCGCAACAGGCGTTGTTCCGGGGGTGTTCACCTCGCGCTCCTTGCCCTTCCTCGACGGGGTGGTCGCGGCGGTGCCGTTCACAGTTGCGTTGGCGCTGCCTGCGCTGACGCTCGTCGCGCTCGTTCCCTTGGGTGAGGGGGGCAGCATGCTGCTGCTCCCACTGGCCTCATCTGAGATATTGTCCTGGGTCTGGGCCGAGGGCGCCGCTGCCGAGGCGGAGATGGAGACGCGTGTGGGCGCGACGCGCTTTACGGCGGCTTTGGGAGCGGGTGAGGACACTGGGGAAGGGGAGCGAGCGGTCATGACGACGCGCTTTGCGTGGTCTCCGGTGTATGCCTGACGCTTTGCGTCGTAGAGGACAAACTCGAGTGTGCGTGTCGGCCCCATGGTGTCAAGGTGTGGTGTTTGTTGTCGCTGGATCGCTGGGCGAGAAGGGACATCAACAACCGGAGGGGACGGCAACGAAAATCACTCGGCGCACAGAAAATGACGGGCGGACGCACGGAAGCAAATTTGAGTGAAAATGGCAGCAGCGGTTCCGTTCCTCACCCAACAGGGCTACAACATTAAATAAAACGACCACCTAAATATTGGGTTCTAGATCGCATGCAGACCGATACCGTCCTCCCGTCCACGCCGCTTCTGCCTCGGCGGGCTCAACTCGCGCCGTGCATCCCGCTGGGCCTCGGTGCTCAGCCGCGACACGGCCGAAAACGGCGGTTGACCGCCACCCACAGGCTCGAGCGCTCGAGGCTCATCGACCTCCTCAAACGGGTCATCCGCCTCGGGGGACGGTGCGTCGGACCGCCTGCCGCGCTCGGTCCCTGCCCCTGTGCTTGTCGATGTCGATTCTACAGCAGCACCCTCGTCCCTCTGGCGTGCGACGGCTGTCCACACATTCTCGCCGCCGAGTGTGAAGCGGGCCGAGGTGGGGCTCTTGATTGCGCGGCTCTCATAGTCGGCGTTGAGAAGACGGCTGTCCTCTGGCTGGAACAACGGCGAGTTGGGCGAGCTTCCGATAAAGCTGCCAGCACGCGAGGGTGGCTTGGAGCCGCGCAGGCTGCTCCCGCGTCGTCGGGGCGAAGGCAATCCGTATGCCTCAATGTCGGCCTCACGCGTAGGTACCGGACGGTATCCGCCGTCACTCTCGACGTCTTCTTCGGCATCATAGTCCGAGTCGTGGTGTTCCGTCTTTGCCTCGGCATGCTTTCCAGCCTTGATGACCTGGTCCACGACGCAGAACTGGAACACGTTCATGATGAGCGGGAAGATGGCCAGGACAAAGATAATCTGCACGTCCACGCTGAGGAACGACAGTATCTCTTGCCCGAATCGGATGAGGAGGGCCGAGATGCGCGGCAGTGTGAGGGGAAGCAGGACCACCAGTTTCATTGTGACGATGGCGAGCAGGTAAGGCTGCAGTTGGCGGAGCCAGCTGTGCGGAGTGTCAGTTTAAACTTGCTGTGCAGGACATGAGGAAATGGGTACACACAATCGCCACTGTGGGGGTTGGCCGTACTGTCCACTCGTGTACCCTTCCGGGCCGTAGTGCTTAATAAACAGGTTGGTGTAGGACCGCAGTGCGAGCCAGAGAATGGCAATGCCTGTACTGTTAGCACATTTGACTCGCTCCAGTCAACGCACCAACTGTCGTGTCGATGAGAATGTTGAGAAAGTACAGGGAGCAAGGGTTCTTGTCGCCGGCATCGGCCACGACGCTCGATATCTGTAGCGTTAGCCTAGAGGTCCTGAAGCACACACGCAGCAGTGCGTTTCGCACAGCACAGTGACAACTAGACATTGTCACCGGCCCGCATGCCACTCGCCACCCACCAGAATGTTCAGGCCGTGGATGACTGCCTGGCCCACCAGCTGCTTGCCGACGTCGTACAGCCATACCCTCCATTTCCGTTTCCGTTTCTCCAACTGGCGCTTGATCACCAGCGACGTTATCACCATGACACCCATGAGGGCCTGGACAACGAGTGCCGTAGGGCCCAGGAGATGACATCGCTCTGCGTTGGGATCGGGCGGGGCCGGTTCGGTAGGGAGCGGTAATGGAAAGGGCAGGCCTGGCGCGGTGGAGTTGCCGTCGTCCATGGCGAGCGAGTGCTCCTGAGGGAGACTGAGCTGGGTGGTGAGGGAGGAGGAGGCGGTGGTGGTTGTTGGTGTGGGAGAAAGGTTATGTGGGACAGTGGGGTTAAACGTGTAGGATCCAAGATGGCAAAAGAGACGACAGAGGCTGGCGCTTGCGTATGGGCGCGCGGGGCCTGAACCAGGTGACACGGGGGGTTGGGCCGGCGGCGGTGGAGGCGTTACCGAGACGAACGAGGGCCTGAGATAGAGGATGGTGCGCTGGCGATGCACACACGAAATATGCAGCGCCTGGGACAGCGATGGGTCGACAATCGAGGTGTGAGATGGACGATCACACGACGACGACGACGACTCGAGTGTCCATGTGGGCGGGTCATTTGCTGCGCTTGGCCGGGGCTGGGCGGGCCGATTAGTCCGAACTGAAACATCAATATAGTTGTATTAGAAAGTGTTTGATCCCGCTTGTATTGCACTCTTTGGTTTCATGATTTTTTCCACACGCTGCCCCTCCTTCGCTGTTTTCTCGTTCTCTCTCTCTCTCGCTCTCCACCCACCAAGGCCACCGACCACCCATGCTCAACGCTCTCGCTGGGCCGTCGCGCTCCGTGGCTGCTGCTACTGCAGCAGCTGCCGCTCGCGGCATCGTCGCCACCGTCCCGCTCACCAGGTCGCTGCACGCCTCGGCCTGCGTGTCTGTCAAGCGGCCCCAGAAGCCTTGGGAAGTGTTCGTCCCGCCCGGCCGCGCAGTTGGAACGGGATCGGGCGAGCGTTTCGTCGACAAGCGCCGTGTGGAAACGCTCAAGATCCTGTACAAGACCGCCGAGCCCAACGCTGGATCTGCAGAGAAGCACTCCAAGGGCAACTTCGGTCTCGCCGCTTCGCGGAAGGAGGCCTACATCCACAAGAGCGCCGGCTCGTTCAGGCGCTTGGCCGCAGACTTTCAGCGTGGAGGAGCGCCGCCCGAGCCCAAGGTGCGCAAGCCGCGCAAGCAGAGAGGCATCAAGGTCCGCCCCCATGCTGCTGTTTACGTCCCGCGCCCCGAGCCGCTACCTGGCACCATCAAGCCTGCGAGCTTTGACCGACAAGAAGGTGGGTGTATTTCTCTTTTGACGGACTCGGACTGACACCCAAGGTCAGCCGTACGAGAAGCCCTACAAGCAGCACGAGGACACGACTTTCCGCTCCGCGGCACTCCCTCCACCCAAACGTCGATGGGAACCGACCAAGAAACTCACGTTCGCGGCCATGGCGGGTCTGCGCGAGCTGCATACCCAGGACCCCGCGATGTGGACGCGAGACAAGCTCAGTCACCAGTTTGGAATCAGCTACGAGGCCGTGACGAGGATTCTTCGCTCGAAGTTCCGCGCTCGAGAGGAAGCCGCGACAATGGGCAGCGTCAGCCGCGCAGGGGTGGAGGCTTCGGACTCCGACCCCGCGACTAGCCTTGATCTCGGCAAATGGGACCGCCGTGCGAGTGTTAGTGATGATGTCTCGCCCGTGCCCGTTATTCGGAGGGCATACGCTGCCAAGCGCCAGCTGGAAACGGAGGCCGCAGAAGCAAGAGGAGAGAAACCTGCCCTTGGAAAGTGGGCGCGTCGGTAGTTTGGAGAGTGAGGAGGTTCGCTTTTGTCGTTTTTTTGTTCTTCTTGTCGTCCCCCCTGTTTGTACACCTCTCCCTCCCTCCAACCAACCAACCCAACCGCATCGTTTTCCATTTCGAGTTCTCTCTCGCCACGAGCTAGTATACCTCATGCATGCAAATCTCACACGTCACACAAATCCCCACGGCTGCCGCTGCGTGCTACTACATCATATCTAGTGACCCTCGCGCTTGCGGGGAGCCGCGCGCAGAATGTTGTCGACACGGAGGATGAGCTCGCTCGCCTCGGAAGCCGACACGACGACCTGCCTCTTGAGCTTGAACGACTCGGTGATGCCCAGGTCGCGCATAGACGCAATGGCGCCCTTGTCCATGTCGAGACCGGCGTCGGAGCGGCCCTCGTAGTGGGCAGCGCGGAGCTGGGAGACGAGGTCCGAGCTGTCGTAACCGCCATTGTCAGCGATAATGGTGGGCATCTGGCGGAGGGCGCGCGAAAAGCCCTCGACAGCAAGTGCACGCTTGCCCGAGACGGTGCGGGCAGCCTCGTCGACGGCGCACGACATGAGCATCTCGGCGCAACCACCACCAAGAGTGACACGGGTCTCCTTGACGGTCTGGGACAGGACGGAGAGGGCATCGTGCAGCGAACGCTCGGCCTCGTCGACCATCTGCGAAGTGGCGCCGCGGAGAACGACGGTGCACGCCTCGCCGGCAGCAACACCCGAAAACTTGATGAGCTTGTCCTCGCCAATCATAATCTCCTCGATCAGGTCACAACGACCAATCTTGACCTTGTCGGGCTCGTCAAAGGTGGACGCAATCTCACCACCAGTGACAAGGGCGAGGCGCTCAACACCCTCAAAGTCGGCGTGCTCAATCGACATGACGCCGTTGTCGGCGAGGAGCTGCTCGGGGTAGTTGTAGATGAGCTGGCGGTTGACAAAGCAGGTGATACCGTGAGCGGCAATCTGGTTGACCTTGGCCTTCATCTTCTCGCGCTCGGCACGCTCAAGCTCGGCGAGCTTGCCAGTGCCGTCGACGCGCACACGGGCACCAAAGATCTTGATCTTGTCAGTGTCCATGGACGTGTTGGCGATCAGGATCTTGGCGTTCTCTATCCGCTTGGGCGAGTTGACGGCAATCTGCTTGTCGAGAATAAAGCCCTCGTCGAGGTACGAGTCGGTAAGCTTGCCGCCGACCTTCTTGATAATCTGAATGTGCTCGAGGTCGGTCGAACCCTTGAGGCGGAGAACGGCGTCCACGGCAAGGTTGGCAAAGTAGTCCTTGTCCTGGGACAGAACCTTGGACGAGAGAGTGGTACGGGCAATGTTGAACAGGTCCTCGCGGAACTTTGCGGGGTCGGCAGAGTTGTCGACGGCCGAGCCGGCGAGGGCGCCAAGGGCGGCCTTGGAGGCGATACGGTAGCCCTCGATGACGGTCTGGGGGTGGATGCGCGACACGGTGACAAGCTTCTCGGCCTCGCGCAGCAGCTCCGAGGCAAGAACACACACCGAGGTGGTGCCGTCACCAACCTCGTCGTCCTGGACCTTGGAGATGTTGACGAGAATCTTGGCAGCGGGGTTGTCGAGCTGGATCGACTTGAGGATGGTAGCACCGTCGTTGGTGACAATGATGCTGCCGTCCGACATGGACTGGAGAATCTTGTTCATGCCCTACGCGGATAGTTAGTATGTCTTCTATCGCGAGACCGTGTACTCGTACTCACCTTGGGGCCGAGCGTCGACTTGACAAGGTCGCCAAGCGCCATCGCGCCGACAAACGACGAGAGACGGGCGTTCTCGCCACGCTCCTCAGTAGCCTAAGACATTGTCAGCACGAGTTGGCGTCATTGCCAAGGGGGTCAAGCGGAAAGAGTCCAGTGGCACTGCCTGGTCGCAGCGGACAAGTTGCGTCCATCACGTCGCGCGGGCGCGGGCGCGTGCAGGTGCAGAGTGGCCAGCTGTCCGCTCGCTACCAGTTGTTTGAGAGACACACCTCTTCGGCAAAGACGTTCATTATGCGGGGTGAACGTGGGCTGTAATTAGGTCGTAAAAGTGGTAGACGGCGTGCTGTCTGTCGTGTAACGTGGTTGTTGGGACTGACGAGAGCACTTTTGGAATGAGGTGGAAGGATGATCCTCGAGAGACTCTTTGGCGACGACGCGAGCGCGTGTCAGGTCACGTGATGCTGACAGCTGAATTAGAAGAGCGGTTGTAATGGTGATTAGTGTTGCATTTACTAATTGGAGGCTAAATGGCTCGTGCCTGTTTCCGGTCGCCTCTCTCTCAGTCGACTGTGTCTCTCATCTCTACCTCTGTACTTCTCGCTCTCACTCCCGCTCTTTCTCTCTCTCTCAGCACAGCGCGTGCCTCGAACACAATCCACACTATTACCCCATCAAGAGCCATGCGGAATCTCCCCATCGCTGCCCTTTCGTCCTAGCCATCCAACACCTTTACGAACCACTACCATCTAGACGCCGCCCATCATGTCCTCCAACTTCTACGCCTCAACCCACGCTTCATACTGGCTCCTGACCCGCTCTGAGCTGCAGACAGCACGCGAGACAGACTTGAAATACGCAACTGCACACCAACTCTATTGTTTGAACATCTTCTTTGCGTCCTTGATCCAAAAGCTCGGCAAGCGACTGTTACTCCGTCAAGTGCCCATTGCGACTGCGACTGTTTACTTTCGGCGCTTTTACACCAAGAATGCCGTGTGCGAGACCAACCCATACCTCGTTCTCGCGGCGTGCGTGTTTGTCGCTGCCAAGATTGAGGAGACGCCGGTGCACATCAAGAGTGTCGTAGCTGAGGCAAAGGTGGTGTTTGCCGGTGAGTCTGCGTGCTATGAGTGACGACTAGTCTTGGCAAGCGATCTGACGCTGCAGAACATAACATCAAGATGTTTCCTGCGGAGGCGCACAAGCTCGGCGAGATGGAGTAAGTCCCATGATGTGCTGCAGCGTCTCCTCGTCCCAAAACTAAACGGCCTAGGTTCTACCTCCTCGAAGACCTCGACTTCCACCTCGTCGTGTTCCATCCATACCGCGCCCTCGCCAACATCTTGGGCCGCGAACCAGCCGACGCCGGGCGCTACCCCAAGACCCGCGTTGAGGAAGATGCGGACGTGAGGAAACAAGAGGCTGAAGACCGCAAGAAGCGCGAAGACGAGGCTAGACGCGCGGCTGGACCTGGTGCGGCCGGCGTCAAGGCGCTCGCACTGCCCGAGGAGGAAGGGGAGAGTGAGGCAGAGAGGGTTAGGCGGTTGATGTATCGTGGGTCGGGAGAGGGGTTGATGGAGGTGAGCTACAGTGTTTCCGGCACAACACAACATATGGACTCTGCTGACAGTTTCACTTTACAGATCGACGAGGGCACAATGCAGATTGCATGGTGAGGACGACGACCGGCGCGGCACTGGAGTTCGCTAACTAGTCTCTCAGGTTCACCATCAACGACACATTCCGTACCGACGCTCCGCTCCTGTACCCGCCATACATTATCGCCCTCGCGGCCGTCTACATTGCGTTTACGCTCACGACCATGTCGGGTGCCAGCGCACGTACGCGCTCGTCTACCCAAATCTCCTCGGTTGCCAACAGTCTGGAAACCAACACTGCCCTTGGACTCCCTCCTCCCCCAACTTCGCCTGCCGAGTTCCTCGCCTCGTTTGAGGTATCCCTCCCGACGCTGTTTGCGTGCGTACAGGACATTATCTGCCTGTACCCCGTATGGGAGGCGTTTGAGCCCACACCTCAACGCGCGAGCGTCAATGGCAGTGCCAGTGCTGCTGCCGCAGCAGCAGCGGCCGCGGCTGGCAACCAACCCCCCAAGCCTGCTGGGATCAAGTTTGGCCCCGAGGATGCCGAGGCTCTGGTGAGGAGGATGATCGAGGAGCACATGGTAGATGTCGGACATCCGGACAATGCGGGCAAGAGCACACCCGAGGCAGCCAGGAAGCGAACCAGGTAGAGAGAGTCACCTCAGGTCCATCGCCCTCTCGTTCTCTCGCATCTTCTACAGCATCTCTCGCATAGCCTGTTCAGTTACCATCGGCACCCGCATCCTGCCTCCTGTCTCCTGTCTCCCGCCGCCCTCCTGCCGTCCTGCCGCCGTTTGTCCTGTAGTTGTACCAATTATGCATGAAAGTACATATGTGTCGCCCTCTCTGTCTCTCTCTCTGCCTCCCGTCCTCCCTCACTCTGCGTGAGCAAGGAAGACGAGATGCGCTCTATCTACTTCATCAATGGGAAAGATGCATTTTTATCATCTGAACAAACCACCAACCGCTACGCGCTTAAGCGAAGAGACGCTTGGTGTACGAGTTGAGGCCGTGGACACCACCCTCGAGCTGGGCCGAGGCGGTACGGAGCTCGAAGCGGACCGAGCCGTCGCGGCATCCCTCCTGGAGGGCGGTGACGGAACGGACACCCGAGTCCTGGAGCGAGTGCTGGAGACCAGTGTAGAGGTAAGGAGCAAACTTGTGGACGGAGCCCTTGTCGGCGACGTCACCCGAGACACCCTGGGCGACCTTGACGGTGTCGCCCTCGGAGAAGTAGCGGGCAGTGGCGGCGTTGTTGGCGGCAGTGTTGGGCTTGGAGCCGGGCTTCTGGGTGTGCTCCATGGCCTCGATCGAGCCCATGCCGCGGTAAAGCTTGACGCGCTTGCCCTCGTGGTAGAAGTACTCTCCGGGCGACTCGGTGGTACCGGCGAGCATACCGCCCATCATGACGGCCGAGGCACCGAGCGAGAGGGCCTTGGCAATGTGGCCAATGTTGCCGATACCGCCGTCGGCAATGGTGGGGACACCAAAGCGCGAGGCAAACTCGGAAACGGCGTGGACGGCAGTACCCTGGGGACGACCGACGGCCATGACCTCCTGGGTGATACAGATCGAGCCCGAGCCCATACCGATACGGAGACCGTCGGCGCCGGCGACGATGAGCTGAGCGGCCTGCTCGCGGGTGACGACGTTGCCGGCAATGACCTCGAGACCGGGGAAGGTCTTCTTGATCCACTGGATAAACTCGATCATGTACATCGAGTTACCCTGCGACGAGTCGAGGACGACAACGTCGAGACCAGCCTCGACAAGGAGGGCGAGACGGTCACGGTCTCCGGGGCGGGTGCCGATGGCGGCACCGCAGTAGAGCTGCTTGGACGAAGGGACCTTGGAGGCGAGGGGGAAGTTCTGGTTCTTGAGCAGGTCGGAACGGGCGACGAGCGAGACGAGGTTGCCGGCGGCGTCGAGGATGGGGAGCTTGCCCTTCTTGGACTCGCGGATGATGGTGTTGGCCTGCTCGAGGGTAAGGCCGGCGTTGCCAGTGACAACGTCGGTGGTCATGACATCCTTGAGGGGGAGGTCGGCCTTGCAGAACTGGACGTCACGGCCAGTGACGAGACCAAGGAACTTGCCGCCAATCTTGCCGGTAGCTGTTACATGGGATCAGCCACGGAACAAGTGGGCTCAAAAAGCCACAGGGTGTTTGTACTAACCGGTGATGGGGACACCGCAGAAGCCGAGGCGCTCCTTGACGCTCAGGACACTTTGGGGTTATCAGTTAACATGATCGCCCGATGAGATCGGAGAATGGTGCTTGCTCCTGTTACTCACTCGCCGACAACCGCGTCAGGGCCGAGGCAGACGGGGTCCGAGATAAAACCGTTCTCGTACTTCTTGACCTTGCGGACCATGGCGGCCTGCTCCTCAGCAGTGCAGTTGTGGTGGATAATGCCGAGACCACCGTGGAGGGCCATGGCGATGGCCATGCTGATCAATTGTCAGTCACACGACTTTGTCAAGGGTGGCGATCCACCCGCCGCCGCCCGGTGGCGACGACAAGATCAAAGACAACACCCACCGGTCCTCGGTAACAGTGTCCATGGGCGACGAGAGGAAAGGAGCGTTCAGGAGAATGTTGCGGGTGACGCGGACCTGGAGCGAGACCTCGTGCGCCTGCTTGGTCAGCCGAGGTACGCTGGTGCAGGGGGAAGAGATCAAAAAAATCTCCATCTCATGCCCAGATCATGATGCTCACGGCAAAGTTGATGTGGCCGGGGAGCATGAGGAAGTCGTTGTAAGTGAGACCACCGTTCTTGCGCGAGTCCATGAGCTCGGAGAGGCTGAGGCCGTCACCGCGCTTGTACTCGTTCAGGTAGGCCACGGCATCGGCGGCGTTGAGGGGCTCAGCCGAGCGAGCAGGGGTGGTGGTGCCGTTAGCAGACATTGTGTGTACTTGATAGGGGGTTGAACAACTAGATGCAGGCGAGCGAAGTACGAGGTTGGTGGGAGAGCGACGAGATTTTGTCTGAATGAAGCTTTCCCAAGAACCAAAAGGAGATGGACGTGTCGTCCTGTCTTATATAATGGCTCCCGCCGCCGCACCCAGGGTGGGACAAAACATCGCGTCGCAGGTGAAAATTATTTGCTTCCGCTGTCGGCAGTGTTGCTGCTGCGCCGCTGGTGGCGCCGCCGGACCATTTGGCAGCGGGGCCGCATCCATTGGCCGCTAACGCATGCCCCGGTGGCAGCGGTCGAGACATGTGTCGACAGCCCGCAACGATCGGATCGGGCCCCCAGCTGATAGACTGCGCGTGCACAGAGCGTACCCACGTTACCGGATCAGACACAGGGGTCGAGAGGACGGTGAACGATGGAACCGTCTTGTCGATAAGCGGCTCCCCACCAATCACTGCGTGTACCCAAGTCCGATGGGCTGCACCACAGCCTGGACAGCTCGGTCAGCAGGCTGACCGACGAGCACATGGTCGTTGTAGCGAGGGGGCGAGTGGCCTCGCTTCGGTTCTGTCGATAAACAGCACCTGGCGCAGCTCGTCAAAGTGCACCTTGTGATCGCGGGTCTGAGCGCAGACGGTGGCCCACGTTGACCGCCAGGACGGGATACGACGAAACGGACGAGAAACGTTGATAGAGCGGTGGTGAAGGGCCGGTTGGGGCGGTCGAGGTGGACACGCAAGAGCTGTACCGGCAAGCGTACGAGCGTGGGGGCTGGCCATCATCGGGGCCGCAGGATGCTCGCCTCGGTGCCGTGCGGCAAGTGTGCGATGGGCGGCTGTCAATGCTGCGTTCGTCTTCAGCAAACACGCGAGCCAGAGCCATTCTGAACCAGGGAGCGTTGAGGGCCGCAAGAGGAAGTTGGTCAGGCAGTGACATAGAGGTCGTGGTGTCGGGGTGGGGGAAGGGAGGGGTCGGGTGGGCCTGAGTGGCAGAAAGTGAGTCGGCTGGGGTGGACATGGAGGAGGACGAGTGGCGTTTGTACCAAGTGGGCGAGGGGGGGTGTTGTGGATAGAGTGGATGCTGTTAGTGTTGGTGGTGATGAGATGAAGGTGAAAGGAGCTGCAAGGCTCTAGTGGGGTGAAGGGACACAAACACTGCTGATTAGAACGCGCTCACCGCCATCACACGCTGCGCGCTCCGGCTACTGCGCTGTAGCGACGCGTCAGACTTCATGCAGAGCGCCCAGAGCGTCGCCTGGCAGCGGCTGGTAGCTAGCAGTTGAACCCAAACGACTATTTGATCTCTTTGACCATTTGACCATTGATGGCACTGATCACTGACGTTTCCGTACACACAGACGCTCCGTCGTCTGCACGCGTGTGCGCAGGTGTGTCCTTCCTCCTTCCTCCTTCCTCGGATGGACGTGACGTTTCTGTCTTCTCCCACTCTCTCGCAACCATCCATTCTCTAACACCCTCACATGCTTCCTCGACGCGGCAACATTGGACGTCGTCGGGGCAGTAGTCGCGGTCGGGGCAGCAGTGGCCGTCAGAGGTCCACTCCTGTCCCAGTATGTACGCCAAGGCCCATTGTCCTCCAACTGACATTTCCAGCCACAAGACACCTTGTCTGCCTTTGCCATTCACTTGAGTCCTCAAGCTCGCCACCCACACCGTATTCCCGCCCCAAGTCAAGCAAGTGCTAGAACACACCCCCGAGGCCAATCGAACACCATTGGAGCAATGGTGGGTTGTTATTCCTTTGCCCCCCAAGCTCACTCGCTTAGCGTTCCCCCGAGACTTCTTCCAGCCAGCAGCACTCCGCGGCCGCTACTACGACCTTTGGTACCGATGCGCCGCCCACTGTGCACTCTGACAACACCCCAACCAGCGCGTTTGACCTCTCCCACTCGCCTTCGTCTGACTCCAAGGAGGAGAAAGAGCAGGCTACGGAGGGCAAGGATGCGGATGGTGACCGTGCCGGCAATCACGGCCACCGCAATGACGGAGACACTCTTCAGCCGCGGTCCATTGACGACTACCTGTCCGTTGACGACTACCTGTCCGTTGACGACTACCTGTCCGTTGACGACTGGATTAGACATATCCAATCGATCCCCGACTGGGCCATGGAGTGGGACGGCGGTCGTCGCCGTACTGCACGCCGGGGCCGACCATTTCGCCCATGACAGACTGCCACTACCATCTCCACAGTCACTGTTCCCACACGGGTAATGCTAAAGCCAAGGCAGCTCACCTACGTTCTCCTCATGCTCGTTCAAACCCACCGACCACACGCGTTCACACTTCCCAGCCACGGCCACCATACTTCGCCTATGCTTCCTCCCTTGGTCTCACCCACATGACTCTTCCTCGTCATTCCAGGTCTATTGAGCCGCTACGTGTGGGGTTTATTTGACGCTGCTGTATAGTTTCCAAACACACCTGGTCCCTCTTGCTGCGCGCAGCCAACGTCGTCCGTGGTCTGCAGCACAGGTCCAGTATTATGAAGAGAGACGTTGTGATACATACCAAGAACACCTGGCAGAGCGTTTCAAGCTGTGCTTGATGGGCACGTCGAAGCCGGAGCACACGGGGATGGGTACTGCAAGAGAACGTCGTTACGAGGCACTGCGGTCCCCATTTTGCCGGTGTGCGAGTGTGGCACTCATCAGTTCCGCCCACCTGCCCCCCATGTACCAGTATCCACCAGACCTCCGCACAACTCATGCATACTAACTGGCATATAATCGTGCTGCAACTTCTTCCGACACACTTCCTCCCCCCACGCTGGTGGATCTCGTCCTCCTTAAGCAGCCGCCAGGGCCGCGAGCGTCGACGCAAGCGCAGGCTTGGCGGTGAAGGTCGAGTCGTAGAGGTCGGCGGCGCCGTAGCCCGCAAAAGTGGAGGGCACCCACGAGTCCGGGTCGTAAAAGCCCCCTGTGTCCAAGTCAGCGCGCTGTCGCATCGGTCGCGTCGGTCGCGGCCACATGACACTCACAGACGGTGATACCGGGGCAGAGGCTGTTGGCCAGGCAGACGTTGGTGACATAGGCATAGTCCTTGGCCCTGCGAACGGTGTGTCAGTAGTGTGCCGCGCGTTTTTGTCCTGCGGCCTTCTCCACTCACTGCTGAGCCAGGTTGGCGGCGGTGGCGACGCCGCTCGAGTCGACGGGGATGCGGACGTCGAGCTCGGTGATGGCGACCTGGAGGCCCAGGTCGGTGAACTGGGCCATGCTGGCCGCGAGGTCGGTGGGCACGCTGCCGCCGATAAAGTGCGCCTCAAAGCCGATACCGTGCAGGGGTGCGCCGGCGGCGAGGAGCTTCTTGGCAATGGCCAGCAGCGCCTTGGACTTTGCGTTCACGCCCTCGAGGTTGTAGTCGTTGATGTACAGCTTGACGTCGGGCGCGGCGGCGTGCGCGTACTGGAGCGCAAGGGCGATGTAGTCCTCGCCCAGGACGTTGTACCAGACCGACGAGCGCCAGGTGCCGTCGTCGAGCAGGGCTGTGGCGGTTTGTGTTAGCAGGGGCCCTGGACTGGCATACACGTGTGCTGTGCCACTTACGCTCGTTGACCACGTCCATGGCGTACATGCTGCCGCCGTAGCGACCCATGACGGCGGTGATGTGCGCCTCGAGGACCGACTTGAGTGTGGTGGCGTCGGTGATGCTGGTGACCCAGCTGGGACTGCAAAATGGTTTAGCAACTGGGCACAACACACAACGGTTTCCGGTGCTCACGTCTGGCTCGACCAGCAGAAGTTGTGTCCCCTGAACTTCTGGTTGTGCGCCTGGGCCGTGGCCATGATCTAGTCATTCGTCAGCAAGGCGCGCCTTCCTGTACTCCTGTGGTGTCCGAAAAGTGGCCAGGAACCAGCCGCCACAAATCCAAAACTCACCAGGTCAGTGCCCGTCCAGTTGTAGGTGTTCTGGGACGGGTGAATGGTGTCCCATTTCATCTCATTCTCCGGGGTGAGCTGCGTGAACTGGGTGTTGGTGATGGAGCTGAACTGGGTGTTGGCCATGTAGTAGGACGAGATTTCGGTACCAAAGTACTCCTTGCCGGCCGCCGCCGCCAGGGCACCGAGCGTGGATCCTGACGTCGACGAGGACGTCGACGTCTGTGCGGACGTTGTCGTCGAAGTGCTCGAGGTGGAAGCCTTGGTCGTGGAGGTGGACGACGTGATGATCGTGGTGGACGACACCGACGTCGAGGACGCGGCAGCCGTGCTAGACGACGACGATACCGCTCCACAGCTGTCGCGCTTCTGGTGTGCCGGGTAGACGGCGTGGTGGCCCGGATGGGCTGCGACCAGCGCAGCCAGGACCTGGAGGGCGAGAGGAAGGGCGAGCCAGGCGGGCATGTTTGGGGAGTGAGGTGTTGTTGTTGGAGGAGGAAGGGAGTTGGCAGAGCACCGAGACAGACGGCAGCTGCGTCGAGCATTTATACCCTCCATCATGTGTGCTCTCGCTGCACCACCCTCGCCCTCGCCCATACCACGCTGCGCGGCCCGCAACAGTGTCCGCACCACCTGGCCACCTGTTGTTCCGGCACGACACACCTATGTGGCCTGTGGCTGCCCACCTGAAACTGAGGCGAGAAACGCTTGGACGCACGGACGGGCCGTTTGAGTGACGCTGCATTGACGCTGCAATTGTGACGGCCCGCACCGCCGCCGAGTCTGAGCGCGCCGAGCAGCTAAAGTTAAAACATGAAACCGGGCCGACGGGGAAAACAGGAGTGGGCAGGGAGAACACATCCATGATGCCCATATGCCTCTCGGTCCACGCTGCACCCGCCGCCGGGTACCTTCATGCATGCACGCTGCTGCTGCGCTGCTGCTATGCACGCTACAGTTTATGGGGTTTATGCTTCGTAGACTAGCTAGACTAGACTGTGTAGCGCGGTGCGTTGTCGGCGTGTTGTCGCGTCGTGGTATTGTCGTGGTATTGTCGATGTATTGTCGACGTATTGTCGCGTCGGCGTGTATGGTAGTGTCGGCGTATTGTCGCCGTTCTCCTCGTACAGACTAGCTACACACTACTGTACTACTCTTCTGCGCGCTGTGCACTTCTGTGCGGCACATCTCAGCGTAAGTTTCGGTAAGTTTCGTCGGTCCAACTGTGAATGGACAGGAACCATCATGTGACTGCCATGACTCCAAATGCAAAAAGCGTTTCAAGATCCAATATGCCGCACACCCAACCCCGCACAGACACGCACGGTTGAATGGGGAAAAAATAGGCTCCTTGCACGCCACCACCAGTCCTCTTCGAACCTCTTCCTTTTGGTCCGGGCCCAGTAGAGTCCGGCCCGCCCGTCGGTGCGCTCTCGGTGAAATGGCTGGGAGTGTGACGCAACATGTGCATTCGCATACTGACGTTTACGGTAAAGGGTCAACTCTATAGTAGTGGAGCACCTGCCGCTCGTGGCGATGGTGCTACCCTCTTGCCTCATCTGGGACGCGTCTACTTTGAGACGGTAATGACAATCTTACCGATCACGCTTTGGCTCTTCAATGCCTCGTAGGCAAGTCGGGCATCCTTGAAAGCAAAAGTCTGCCCAACGACCGGCTTGATCTTGGCATACGTGAACAGGCGCGACATGTCGCTCAGTTGGGAGCGCGATCCGATCAGCACGCCACGGAAGACGGCCTGCAGCGTTAGAATGCGCGCGCCTAACCAGCGACACCCCCGAGCACACTCACCGCTTTGAACAAGGCGAGCATGGAAACGTTGGGCATGTCCGAAGCCTGAGCCAGGAAGCCGATTCTAGGCATGGTCAGCTTTTGTGGGGAGTGAAAAATGCTCACGACGTGATTGTGCCTCCGAAATGAAGAGCTTTAAACGACTCGGCAACGGTGGCGGCACCTCCGACCTCGAGCACATGGTCGGCGCCTTGTCCGTTTGTCATGTTCATCACTTGGTCGCCCCAGTTGGGGTACGTTTTGTAATTGAGCGTGTGGAACTCCCCCGAGACGTGGCCGTTTGCAAAGACCGTCTTCAAGTGAGCCAACTTGTCGTCTGACGACGACGTCATGATCACTCGACAACCGATGGCGAGGGCAATCTGAGTCGCAAGCGACGCTCACGCCGCCTGTGCCTTGGACAAGGACAGTCTGGCCGGGAATGAGCTGCGACTTTCCGCCAAGGCCAAAGCTGTCGACCGTCAGCCAAAACGTCACAGCGACGGAATTAGCACCACCTACAAGGCATTCCACGCGGTGAGCGCCGCACAAGGAAGTGTAGACGCCTCCTCATACGACATGCCAGCCGGCATGGGCGACAGTCCGTCCTCGGGAAGCACAATGTACTCGGACAGCGTTCCGTCAACGGAAACGCCGAGCGCGTTTTTGCTAAGAATAAGCATGGTAGACAGACACACCGTGACCTACCCCAGGGGGTGGTCGTTGTCGGGCCCAGCAATCCAGTCCTGGTGGAAAGAGCCGAGAACCTTGTCGCCGACAGACCACTGGGTGACTTTGGAGCCGACGGCAATGACCTCACCGGCGCCGTCCGAGCAAGGGATCACCTAGACAGTATGTCAGCTACATACTCGGCCTCTTGCCGAGCGAGAGCATACGCACATTCGGCTTGGGCTTGTCGGGGTATTCGCCGGTCAGAGTGACAAGGTCGCGATACTGCTGTTCAGCGAGAGTCAAGCCTGGGTGTGTCTACTCACGTTGAGCGAGACACATGGACCTTGATGAGGCATTGGTGAGGCTCCACTTGGGGTGTCTTTTGCCCCTCGACGAACACGAGGCAGTCAAAGTTGCCCTGGCCGACGAGTCGGTATCCGGAGTACGTAGATGAGACTTGCGCCATGGTGTGGTGGTCGTAGGTTTGCACAAAGTATGCGGCCTGGTTGAGTGACATGTGGTGTGTGGTGCTTTATATAATTTCGTAGACCCGGCATACCATTGATACCATCGATGATGACGCAGGGCGCGGAATTCGGTAACAAAAGGCAGTCCGCCAGAGCCGATGAGATAATCACTGCCGGAGTGACTAAGCCCCGACCGGAATCTCCTTGCCACCTCCGCTGTGCACGAGTGAGTGGCAGTGATCCAGTGAGAGGGTTGGGCATCGTCGTCGTCGTCGTCGTCGTCGTCGTCGTCGTCGTCGTCGGCGGTCTGCCTGTTAGCTCGAAGCAAATGTGCCAACTTACTGCGGTGACGCCACCGTGGATCGAAGAATCACCGTCAGTTCCGGTCCAGCGGCAGCGGTGAATGGCCCATCATGCACCCCTCGCCACAGCATACACACCCGCACATGCATGTACGGATGGGAATGGCAAAGCGCTTCTTTGCGCACCACCACTGGCCACTGGTCTGCCCCTCCCAGTCGCCCTGTTGGGCGTGGTGACGATGGGGACCTCCCCAGAGCTGGTCGTTCAACTTTGGTGTTCGGCCGCCGTGGCTTTTACCATTGTCAGCTTCAGGTTCAGTCGTCAGCGTCATCCTCAACACAAAACACTACACACTGTGCCGCCTGGCCGCCTGGCCGCCTGACTGCGAGACATTCGCGGACGTGTCTTATCTCCATCCGAAGTCGATACCCCCGGGCTTCTAAGGTACATTACATGGACGCCGGGTCTCGCAGCAGCTGCGGCACACGGCCGCAGCATTCCCAGATCCCAGATCCCCCATGTTCACGTGGCGAAAAAAAAAAGTATGTACATCCCTCTACATCAGCCCAATCAAATAAAATCAATAACCCCGTCTATTGTCCAGAATGCCGAACGCGCGGCGCGTCTAGTGCGAGACGATGGCGGAAATGGCAAAGTCGTGCTGTCCGTTCTTGTCGTCTGTCTCCTCGAGCACCTCACAGGTGAGCGAGTGCTTGCCCGGGTTGAGTTTTTCCGAGACGACGTGCAGTGCGGAGATGCACACCGACTTCCACGTCGAGACAATGGTGACGGCCTGGTTCTTGTTGTTGTCGACCCAGCACTTTGCGTTGCCGTAGTTTTGGTCGCAGCGCATGTGGAACACGGAGAGGATGCCGGCGTGCACTTCAATGTTGTCAAACGTAATGGTCGATCCGGGCTGCGTGGCCTTCCAGTAGTGCTTGCCGCGGTTGACATAGTGTTCCCAGCCATTGTTGGCCACGGGGCGCATGGTGGGCAGGCCATCGGCTGCGAGGACGTCGGCCGTCGTGCAGAACGCAGCGCCCTCGGGGCGCGCGTGCTTGTCCTGCAGCCAGTGCTGGCCGATACGCAGCGACGGGAGCGTGAAGGGGTCCCACTTGTACTTGAGCAGCGAGCCGCCCACGCCGGGGTAAGGAAGCCACTGCTTGTCGTCGTCGTTGACGCGAGCCGGGTCGTAGCTGACGGGTTCGGTTGGGTCCAGTCCTTCCACGGCCGGCACGTACTCGGCGAGAGAGTGGGGCACAATGTCCTCGTCCTGCTCATGGGCGGCACGGCATGCCTCGCGCAGAATGTACCGCAGCAAAATGTCCGCCATGTACTTGTGTCCGCGGCCGTTGGGGTGGCGAATGTCCGGGTTGTCAAAGTGCGACTTGCGCTCGTCGGGGAACTGCAGCATGTACGGGTACATGAAGATGCGCATGGACATGCGAGGAATGTCCTGGTAGGGGGGGAGGGTAAGCGCTGGTCATTTGGAGGAGCGGCAGGAGCAGCAGCAGGAGCACTGGGCGACACTCACGTAGTACTCTGAGACGACGTTGTGCAAGTGAGCGGCATTGCCAAAGGGCTTGTCCGAGCCAAACGACGACAGCATCATGACTGCGTTGTCGGGGCGGTTTGACAAGAGCTGGCGGACGAGAATCTCCGTGTAACCGACAATGTCAAGCTTTTCACCAGCGGTCGACACCTTCATTTCACTGTGCATGTGTGTCAGGAATGAGTAACCCAAAAAGGGACGCGACTCCTCACTTTTCAAGGTCATTGACGGCCGACTCGAGGATGTACAGGTCGGCGTCCACGGGCGAATGGAGTTGGTAGCAGTTGGAAAAGTAGTCTGTGCCGTGTCCACTGGGGTGGTTTCCACATCAGTTACAGGCCCATCCATCTGCAGCCCCCCCTCTCCTCTCTCGGTCTACTTACGCTCGGCCGCCGTTGTGAACAGTAACGTTGGGATACACCTTTTGGAGCGTGTTTTGCAAGTGTTCGGCGTAGGGAAGGCCGCCAGTGTCCCTGTGGATACCATGGCCTTCGGAGATGGAGCCGCCAATGACCGCGATGAGAAACGGTTCGCCACTGATGAGACGGCGGAGGGCACGACGCATGCGGATGCCAGAGCCACGGTGCGCGACACTCATCTCGAGCGCGACCTTGCCCCAGCGTGCATCCAGGTCGCTGAGCTCGGCGGCGTGGAAGGGCAGGCTGGAGCAAGAATACTGATAAGGTTCCTGGGTGGCAGGCGCCTGGGTGTACACTTGGGGCCCGGCGGCGAGGTTGGCGAGGAGCGAGCGGCCGGCTTCGACTGGGTTTGAGAGGGAGCCGGTGTGGGCGAGGAGGAGGATGAAGCCTGTGAACCATACCGAGACGAGGGTGAGGACGATGATGAGCGTTGGGCGAGCCACGCGCATGTTTGCGTGTCCCATGAGCATTGTGCCGGGGGGGGTGGGGGTGTTGGGTTGTGTGGCGGCCGTGTCCCGTGTGGCTCGTGGGGGCACAGGTGTGTTGCCCACAGAGAGAGACAGAGAGACAGAGAGAGACAGAGATAGAGAGCAAGCAAGAGATGCAATGAACGTGTCCCAGATCGACAGGACCGACGCGTCTTGCAAAGCTGCCCCCCGCAACCCACCTCTCTCCCCGCCCCAGGTACCCACACGGATCCGCAGACACCCAGACAGAACAGGCGATTCCTCGTCGTCGTCCTCGTCCTTCCCTAGTTGAGAGCCTCGGCCTCAGCCACCCAAGCGAGATGACTGTTGCCCCCCCCCCCCCCCCGGCCCAGTTGGGGACGCGTATGGTGTGGCGCCACACGTATAGAATGACGGTTAAAAGGAGAGCGTGCCAGCCCGAAAAGCCATTCACCACATTCACCACATTCACCACATTCACCACCGTGTGCCCTTTTTTGCGCCAAGCCATTCTGCACACAGGGGGAGCAGAAAGAAAGGAAGCGGCCGAAGGGGGGGTTGGGAGGGCCGTGGGGGGCCGGGGCCAGCCGGGATCTAGGAACGACACAGCCGGCGGGGGCGGAGAAACACCCGCACGCCGACACGGCCGTGTCGTACATACAACGGCCGTGTGGACCACCAACGACTAATGCAGCACTACTCTACCTAGCTCTAGCCGATCCATAGGCAGAAACACTACCCGCATAGCTCTAGGCAACCCCAACCCCCCCCTTTGTCCTGGCCTTGGCCTGGCATTCCGCGCGTCTGGCGTCGCCATCCATGACAAGGGGGGCTCCAACCCCAACCCTAATCCTCCTTGATGAGTGTGTTTCTTGACGATCCGCAGCCCACGCAGTCTGGGGGAGTGATGGGGGTGTCAATTAGGTCCATTTTTTTGATTCCGGTAAACCGGGTTCATTACTGCCCCGCCGTCGTTGCATTTATTAGATCCCCCCGATTCTAGTGATCTAGTGCGTGCTCGCCGTTGTAAATGGTCGGCTGTCGACAACTACATAGCCGAGACGCCGTGGGTCGACAGTCAGAACGCCCAGCGGCGGCGCCTCCAGGTATACAGTAGGGAAGGGCTACGGCCAGATGCATCGCTCTACAACCGACAGTTGCGCCAACCCCGACAGGCGGAGACGCCTTGTGCCTCTGAACCTTCCCCTCCCACTTGCCACACAGACACAACACGGCACTGATCAGCTGATGACATGAAAACACCCAATAACCCAACGATCCTACAACTAGAGCTTTCCACGGTCCTGCTTTGATTCCCATTTCTCCGCCACAACATTCTTGATCTCATTCTTCAGAATCTTGCCGTTGATGTTGCGCGCTGTCGTGTCAATAAGGCGGGGGCATTCTCCAAGCGAGGTACTCACGCAACGGTCCGTCCCAGACATGGATGATGACGGGACGCGCTTGCGGTCGAAGTCTGCCACACCGTCAGCTTGTCGTGGTGTACAGTACATGGGGTGCAACAACACTCACAGAGGGTCCATCGCAGCCTTGAGGTTCTCCGGCGTCGCCTGGGCCCCATCCACAAGGCGAATGGCCAACCCGACCTGTTCCGTCATGACGGGGCATGGTACGGGGATCGCGGCGCACTCGAGCACGCGCTCGTCCCTGTGGGCCGCGTTCTCGACTTCGGCGGATGGGATCTAAGGTGGGGGGTCAACACCAATACGCCAATGTCCTCGTGTACGCACATTCTCGCCACCGCGGATGATCAAGTCCTTTTCTCTGTCCGTGATGTGGAGCAGCCCGTGCCCGTCGTCAATGTATCCCACGTCGCCCGTGTTGTACCAGCCCTCGGCGTCGACGGCTTCTGCCGTGGCCTCTGACCATATCGTCAGCGTTGCCTACATGCAGCGCACAGTGAACTCACTCGGGTTGTTCAAGTACTCCTTCATGATACTCCCGCCCTTGAACATGATCACACCGACCTCGTTGGGACCTAGAGTCTTGTGCGTGACGGGATCCGCAACTCGCATGTCCAAGATAGGTGTCGGAAGACCAGCAGACGTGGGCTGTGGGTAAGTCCGAGTTCCAAAAAGAGTGGCGTGCTCACGTTGCCGATGTAGTCTGCGCCCACGAGCGCCGTGAACAATCCAGCAGCCTCGGTCGCACCGTACAGGTGCACAACAAGCGCCTGGTTCCATTGCTTTTGCACACGGTGGGCAAGGTTGGATGGCGCTGGGGCACCACCAAACGACACAGTCTCAAGTTTCAGCTCGTCAGTCAGTCGGGGCGAGGCCAGCAAACCGGCCGCCAGGGCTGGAACTCTGCAGACATTGTCAGCAAAGACGGGGGACCTTCTCTGCGAAACGCACCCCATGAGGTTGTTGACCTTTTCCGAGCGAATCAGGGCCGTCGCAGTGTCCACATCCCACTTGCGCAGGAAGACGAGCCTTTGGCCAACGACAATCGCGCGAGTGAGCATGCCGCCTCCAGTAACGTGGAACAGGGGCACGGCATGTAACATGCAAGTCTTGGCTTCCGGAATGTGCATGGCAAGAGCCATCTCCAACGGAGCGCCCATGCGCATGGCGTACCGGGCACTGGTATAGCTGGCAGTGTAGATCTGCTGGCACCACATTCTGTGCGTGAGGAGGACCGCCTTTGGTTTGCTGGTCGTTCCAGAGGTGAACAGGATGATGGCGTCGCTGTCCGGGTCCTGGTTGTCCAGCCCAGCCCCGGATCGAACGGTAGCAACTGTCTGCGACGAGGGAGACGGTGCGTACTCGGAAACGACAGAGCGGATGCCAGAGTCGAGATGTCCAATCGAGTCCCAGCAATAGAGCTTTGTGACACCCATGGAAGCGAGCGTCGGCGCGATCGAGGCAAGGGCCTTGGCCATGGGCACATCACCGATAACGAGTTTCGGAAGGGTGATCGTGAGGCAGTGGACTTGGTTGTCATCCGTACTACCTGTTAGCCTCTGGCCCGGAGCACAGCTCACTCACAGGGTGGTGTTCAGAAGCACTGGCACGGCACCGATCAGGCAGGTGCCGACGTAGGCCGAAATGAACCGCGAAGAGTTACGTCCCCCGATCGCGACGCGGTCGCCCATGGCAATCCCACCTTCACGGAGCCAGCTGGCAAAGGTGACCGCGTCATCGAGCACCTGGCCATACGTCCTGGACTGACGCTGAGAGGCAGGAGCGGGCTCAGGCAGCGGTTCAGACACAAACTCGTTGTCTGCCCATCGACTGAGCCCCTCGACCATCCACTCTCGCATCGACTTTGGCGCCTTGGTCCACACCTTGACCTTGCGGCCTTCAATGACCAGCTGCTCAATCTCGTAGATTGATCCTGGAGCCTGGAGAAGTGCATCGGCTGGTTCCGATCAGCACATGAACGCTCCCTTCTCAGACGTACCCTCGGCGTATGTTCGCGGTTTGAGTTGATCCATCCTGGGGGGGGGGGCTGTTGTAAGTCTGCAGGAAGGACCTGTTGTGTCACTCGCAAGTTGCAAGTTGCGATGAAGAGTAAAAGGGGAGATAAGGCATCCATAAGGGCATAAAGGAGCAGCACCTGTTCGTCTGCCCCAGAGTACTTCGGGGACGATCGATGTCGAGAGCCGGGCTGGAGCTGCGCATGTATGAATGCCGAATTCCACTCGCCTCTGGTGGGCTGCTCTCATTAAACTCATTGCTCTTGACCTGGCGGCCAGCGCCACCGGCCGGACGGTGGCACCAAGGTCACATGATGTTGGAGGAATGTTTTGAGGCTTTGTTACGCCTTGGTTCCAATGCTCGGCGTGCGCGGTCTTGTTTCAGCCCACGACTTGCACGGCCGCCGCGAAACGTGAACGAACGAGACAAAGATGGAGACGCATACGTGTTTTGTGAATATACAGAGACACGACTTGCCCCCGGCCGGTCACGTGATGTTTCCCCGCCTACGACCGGCGATGACGTAGTTGATTGCTAACCATCGGCGACTAAAACCGCATACACCACCCAATTCACGGTGCGGCGTCCGCACCTCATTTCCCATTTCCTGCAGGACAAGTGGCCGCACCAGTTGGCCGCACTGTCTAATGCGCACCTCGGGTGTGCAACGTTCTCTTGCTATCGCTCTCGCCGTGTCTTAACACCCGTTAACGCAGTACAGCAACAACAAAGCACACAGGCAAACAATGGGACAGGCACAACGGCCCCCAGACTTACCACCAAGGTGGGCACATGCAAAGTCCCTCTGAGGCTTACATCCCATTCAGCAAGATAAGCTGTCTGGCGTGCAGAGCAGCAAAGGTACATATCCTTGTGATTTCTGATTTTTCCGGACAGCAACACGGCTCACCTCTTTCAGCGACGATGTGATACCCCGGACACTGAGACAACTTGTCGCCGCTGCAAGTCTCAAGACCTGTTATGCGAGTACAAACAACACTGTCGAGGCATCAAGCGCAAGCTTGCAGCCGAGGACCCGCCGCCATCGACAGCTAGATCCGAAGGTACATCTGCGGCCACGGATACCCCGACTAGGCTACCACCAACGCCGGCGGCGTCGCTTCGGACCAGGTCCTCCTTTTTGAGTGAGAACGTCGCGTCATCACATGTTTGCCGTCACTGACCCTGCACAGCCGCTCCGCGTATGTTAACGCTTAGAGGAGACGCTCATGCTCGGCCGTTGTCGCCTGCCACCCACGATGTATGGGACATCTTTACAGAGGTGGACATTGCTGAAATGTTTGCGTTGTAAGTTTGTTTTCCTCTGACGGCAGATCCTACAACTGACGACTTGCAGTTACTTTGACAATCTCAACAGGGCCGTCACTGTCCTCGACCCCGTCCTGCACACCCCGGCAGCATGTGCCGCGTCCTCTCCATTACTGTTCACCACCGTGCTTGCGGTGACATCCAAGGTCACTCGTCCGCGCGATTACGATGTAGTCCTTCAACGCGCCAACGGCCTCCTCGGCCACGCAATGGAGGCCGGTTTACTCGACCTTGAAATAGTCCAGGCTATCATTCTTCTCACCCATTGGCGCAAAGTCGATGACCAGTCGGCATACCGTCGTATTGGCTACGCGGTGCGCATGGCATACGAACTCAAACTTAGTGTCCGTGGCCCACGGCCGTTGCCCACAGACGAGATCGCGGCCAGAAAGGTTCTCAATCCGGAACGCACGTGGCTAAGTGAGTGGAGTGCATGGAGTGGACGACACAAAACATGCTTGAAATATTGACGCCGCAGTCCTTGTCATTGCCGATCACAAGTAGGTAACTGTGCTCTCCTAGCGGATGCTAACCTTTGTAAGCATTTCTATCCATCGTTCGCTACCGCGCACAGTAAGCGCCGACAGCAAAGACGATGACGTTGCCGACTGGGACATGTCGTCGACCCCGTACACGTGCCCGGGACAGTCGACACTGGTCCCCTGGCTCGAGTTTGCGCGCCTTACCGTGCTGTACAAGGAGCTGCTCATGGGACAGTTTGACAACCCGTCATCCCAGACCGTCCATGCTTGGCTTGAGGGAAACTGGCGACGGTGGCGCGGCAAGTGGCTGCTTAGAGCGGACGAGCACGGGTTTGAAAGGGGCCAAGTGTCAATGGTCAAGATATTTGACGCACTCTTCCTCTTCCACCTGCGTGAATATGGCTTCTTCTACGCCCTCCGTCACAGCAACAACCAAGACGACTTTGACAGGGCTGAAGCCACCCAGCTGCCCATTGCATTTTCACTGTGTGTGGACGCGGCCCTTGCCATCGGCGACGTCTTCCACGCAGACTTTGTGCAACATGATTACCTGTCGTACTGCTTTGATCTCCTCTGGGTTGCACTGGTGATCAGTATGATCTGGCTTGTTCGCGTGAGTTTGTATCTCTCTCTCTCTCTCTCTCTGTACCTACATACACTGACGCTGGCCTCGACAGAACATGACCGCAATGTCACCCGACCATCGCTCGAGGGTTATTTCCTCCTTGACTGCCATCCAGGCCGCTACGGGGAATGCCTCCAACAGCCATGACGACATGTCTGCTTACATCTTCCGCTTAACAAAGCACATCCTTGACAGCGCGAAGAACGGTACACGCGGCTTGCCAGATCCCGATACATCGGTGGTTGACCCCGCGGGACTCGCACCCGAATGGACAGTGTCCAGCACGTCTGAGATCATCCGCGAACAGCTCTGGCACCACACTCCCGTGTCAGCGCCACAGCCGTATGCGTACAATCCAGTTCCACAGGTGCAGGAAAGTCAAGCTCCACTGCTCGACGCCCTGTTTCCCGCACCAGATGACGATATCTGGTGAGTTTCGGTATCGCGCGAGTCATACTGACAGCTCCAGGCGCCTGCTCATACCGGACACTGGACAGTTACCTACGGGACAGTTGGCGCAGCTGGCTGGCTTCTAGTGCGATAGTTGATCAGTGGCTGTCAACCTACCCGTTGCCCCGCAGCGGCCTGGATTGATGTGGACCAGTGCGCCACAGGCTGCAACCCCAGCGTCGCCGACATGTATATGTATGATAGCACTTAGAACATCGGGTCGGAGCTCGGAACATGTATCCATTGTTATGCTGCACGTTGGCCGACAAGCCTACATGGTGCCACAGCGCTATCGGTAACGCATGGGAACGCCAGCGGTGACTCTTTATCTCTCTCATCTAGACTCGATGGGTGCCGTTAAGTCCCCCAAATTGGCTCAGGCCACTATTCTAAAAACCGCAGCACCCTCTCGCCCTCTGGCCTCGGGCTTGGTCATCTTTGGGCGACACATGTCTCATTGGTGACATTCACGGCCATACTGGCGCCCGCCTGCCTGCTCGCCCTGGCCAGACCGTAAGATTGCGGCTGCCGCAAGGGGCCGATCACACATGCGGAGGACCACAGCCAGTTATACAAGGGGTGCGGACACCGCAGGTTGCGGCCTCCGCACCGAGGCGGACGCCGCATCAACCTCGTCATTTGCTGCTCCGTGTATATCTATGCTGGCAGCCAGCAGAGTAAGTTTCTTCATCCCCACTTGCACCCACGACGCTCTACAGTCCCCCTCTGTGTCCCATATCTACCCCCTCATCACACTCCTTTCGAAAACCCCAGGCGTCAACTCATCGTTCCCATTGCGGACAGCGCCACACACACACCTGCCTCCTCCACCATGAACCCTCCGAACGAGGGCAGGGACTACCCCGCGCCCGGGTCTGCAGCCACTGGGTCTGATTACGACAATGAAACTCGCATCAACACGCCTGTTCCCTTTGAACAGGATGCCCCTCACAAGAAGGAGGTTTCGGATTTCACCCTCGCTTCCTCCACGCCCGCTGCGACGCCGATCGATGCCGAGAAGGGTGCCACATCGGAGGGCTTCCCCGTCCCAGAGACTGGCTTCCACCGTGTCGGTGTGGCCTTTGAAGGCTTGACGGTTCACGGTAGCGGCGCCACCCAGCGCGGCGTCGAGAGCTTTGAGATCGCCGCCCTTAGGATGTGGGACATTGTCTCGCTCCTGAAGCGCTTTGCGGGCATCAAGTCTGGGGCCAAGCGTCCTATTATCAGTGAGTGCATACACAAAAGTCATGCAAACAGTTAACCCTTTCAGGTGACTTTTACGGACTGTGCCGTCCTGGAGAGAGCATGCTCGTCCTCGGTCGCCCCGGCTCGGGCTGTTCGACTCTTCTCCGTGCCATCGCCAACGACACGACCGCGTTTTCGGGCATCGACGGCCACATCCAGTGGGGCAACATTCAAGGCAAGGACGCCAAATCGTTTGCCGGTGACCTCGTGTTCAACAACGAGGAGGAAATTCACATCCCTATTCTCACTGTTGGGCAGACCCTCGACACTGACCTTGTGAGTACATGCATTACGTCCGGGCCCCTCGTTGTTAACACGCATAGTCTCTTAAGAAGGCACCCGGCCAGAAGACCGGCGGCACCTACAACAGCGACCGCATCGACAAGCTCCTCACTGCCCTTGGCATGAACCATACAAAGGACACCCTCGTTGGTGACAGCTACGTCCGTGGTGTTTCCGGTGGCGAGCGCAAACGTGTTTCCCTCCTGGAGATGCTCACCACCAATGCGGCACTCATCTCATGGGACAACTGTGTACGTGGCCTCGACTCGGCAGTTGCACTCCACTTCCTCCGCCTTGCCAAGCGCCTCGGTCAGGAAACAGGCATCACCAACATTGTTTCGATCTACCAGACTTCTCAAGACATGTACGACGAGTGCTTTGACCGTGTCGTGGTCATCTACGAAGGCCGCCTCGTATTCTCTGGTCTCACGACAGACGCCGAGAACTTCTTTATCAACCAGGGATGGCACAAGAAGCCCCGCCAAACCACTGCCGACTTTTTGACTGCGTGCACCAGCCCCAGCGAACGCAAGGCTACTCGTTCAGGTGTGCCCCAGACCCCCGACGAGATGGCCGCCTACTTCCGCGCCAGCCCAGAGTTTGCCAAGCTCCAGGCTGAGATTGCAGAGTACAAGACCGAGTCGGCGGCGTCTCAGGACACTGAGCAGTTCCGCGTCGCCGTCAAGGAGAGCCGCGCGCCCCTCGCCGGTAACGGTGCCTACAAGCGCAACTTTTTCCAGCAGGTCGCTTCACTCTGCGTCCGCCAGACCCGCCTCACCATGGCCGATAAGACGACGTTCCTCGTCCGTGTCCTTTCCAACATCCTCAACGCCACGTGTATCGGTGCCATGGCTTACAACTCGCCCAACAATGCCAGCGGTGCCTTCACTGTCGCCGGTGCCATCTTCTTCACCATTCTCTACTTTGTCATCTTCGGTTTCGGCGAGGTCGCCGCCACCGTCCAGTCCCGCCCTCTCCAGATCAAGCACCGTAAACTCGGATTCTACCACCCTGGCGCTGTCATTATTGCCCAAATGCTCATCGACGTGCCGCTTTACGCCTTCCAGACCCTCCTCTTCTCGGCCATTTACTACTTCCTGGTCGGCCTCAATGCCGGCGCCCGCTACTTCTTTACCTTCTGGTTCGTCACCTTCACCCTCTACATGGCCATCAGTAACATGTACCGCGCCATCGGTTCTTGGTCTCCCAACCTTTCCGTCGCAGTCCGTTACGGTGGTTTGGCCCTGGCCGTCGTTTTAACCACCTGTGGCTACTTGTTGCCCCTGCCATACCAGCTGCGCTGGATTTCATGGCTCGGCCGTGCGTCTCCCACTACCTACGCTCTCGAGGCCCTTCTTTCCAACGAGTTCCGTGTACGCACCCTGGTGTGCGGCGACAGTGACATGGTCCCCTACGGCTCCTCATACACGGACGCCATGTTCCAGACGTGCTCCATCACTGGTGCCGAACTTGGATCTGCTTCAGTTTCCGGCGTCAACTACGTGAGTACCTTTTTATTTTTATTTATTATTTATTTATTTTTGGGTAAACTAACAACAACCAGATCCTCGCAAAGTACAAGTTCTCCCCCAGCCACATCTGGCGTAACGTCGGTATTATTTGGGCGTGAGTTCAAGGGCAGTGCACCGGCCATTCCGCTGACATCCAGCATGTACGCTATCTACTCGATCTTGGTCATTTGGGGAAGCTCGCTTCTTGTGACGGACGCCGGATCGTCTGCGAGCAAGATTTTCAAGCGTGGCACCAAGCGCACCGTCGCTGAGAAGACTGAAAAGGACACTTCGCTCGAGCTGTCCCAGTACCGTTCGCATGTGGCCGCCGAGTCCGACCTGGTCCGCACCAACCTCACCAGGCACAGCACGCGTGTAGCGCAGGGTGCTCCTGCCGGATCGGTTTTCACGTTCAAGGACGTCTCTTACACTGTCAAGGTCCCCAGCGGCGACAAGAAGCTCCTCAACAAGGTCAGCGGCAAGGTCGTTCCCGGCCAGCTCACCGCCCTTATGGGGGCGTCTGGTGCCGGCAAGACTACGCTCCTCGATGTCATCTCCCAGCGCAAGACCAGTGGTGTTGTTGAGGGTTCTTTCTCCATCGGTGGCGCGCCTCTGGATTCTTCATTTGGTCGTCGTGCTGGTTTCTGTATGCAGGCCGACCTGCACGACGGCTACGCCACTGTCCGCGAGTGCCTCGAATTTTCCGCTCTTCTTCGCCAGGATGCCAGCTTTTCCCGTGAGGAGAAGCTGGCCTACGTCGACGAGGTGATTGAACTCCTCGAGCTCGGTGAAATTCAGGACGCCCTCATTGGCAACCCCGACATTGGTGGCCTCGGTATCGAAGAACGCAAGCGTGTAACCATCGGTGTCGAGCTCGCGGCCCGCCCCGAGTCGCTTCTGTTCCTCGACGAGCCTACATCGGGTCTCGACTCGCAAGCCGCATTTGAGATTGTTACGTTCCTCGGCAAGATTGCCAAGGCCGCCGGTCTTTCCGTTCTTTGCACCATTCACCAGCCCTCTGGCGATCTCTTTGGAATGTTCGACTCTGTCGTGCTGCTTGCCCCCGGCGGCAACACTGTCTATGCCGGTGAGACTGGAGCCCACGCCAAGACGGTTTGCGACTACTTTGAACGCCTCGGTGCCCCTTGCCCTCCCAAGGCCAACCCAGCCGAACACATTCTCGCCACCGTCGCCCCCGTCGGCGGCTCCAAGATTGACTGGGCGGGTCTGTGGCGCGAGTCTCCAGAGGCCAAGCAGATGCTCATCGACATTGATGCCGTCGCCAACTCGGGTGCCGCTGCCGATGTCGGATCGGACAACGCCAGTGTCTTTGCCGCTTCGTACGTCGAGCAGTGCCGCGAGCTCCTCAGGCGTCACTTCAAGTGGCAGTGGCGCAACGGATCGTACCTCGTCAGCCGTTACGCATCTGCCATTTTCTTCGGCCTGTTTGTCGGCTTCTACTTCTACAAGCTTAAACCAACTGCGGTCGGCATTCAGGCCCTTTCGCTTTCGCAAATCGTCATTCTCCAGGCCGCTCCTCCTCTCATGATCGATATCGCCCTCTTCTACCAGATTCAGTTTGACCTGTTCGTCGCCCGAGAGCGCAACGGTATCTACAGCTGGAAGGCACTCGTCACATCCATCCTGATTGTTGAGTTGCCTGCCACTGTGACTTCTGGTATTGTGTCATTCCTGTGCTACTTCTGGACCATTGGTCTTGACACTTCTGCCGAGGTCGGCGGTCTCACCTTGTAAGTGGTTCAAAGTCCTCACACAGTGACTATGGCTGACCTTTCAGTTTGACCTGGATTGTCTGGGGCTGCTTCGCTTCCACATGCGGTGTCCTCCTGGGTGCAGTTTGCCCCACCCCCTTCAGCATCGCGTACATTCTCAGTTTCTTCTGGAACGTGTACATGGGTCTTTCGAACGCCTTTTTCAGCTACTACCTCTTGCCCAGCCCCTTCCACTACTTCTTCAGCTGGCTCAGCCCGGTTCGCTACTTCTTCTCGGCCCTTTTGTCCAACGTCTCCACTCTCAAGGTCACATGCCTGGAGTCTGAGCTCGTTCGCTTTGACGTTCCCAGCGGACAGACCTGCGCGACTTGTGAGTGGCGATTTAGCATTTCGTTCCGGTTCTTTTACTGACCTGATCTCCAGACGCTGCCTCGTTCATGACCAGTGCCGTGGGATACTTGGCCAACCCCGATGACACCTCGAACTGTGGATACTGCCCGTACACCACCGGTGTAAACTACATGGACGGCACCGGTTACCACTACTCGCAGCGCTGGCGTGACTGGGGTCTTTCTATCCTGTTCGTCGTGTCCAACGTCGCCGTGGCGTTTGGCATGACGTACCTCCTCCGCATCCGCCCTCTTTACAAGTAACCTCCCATCCCCTCCCCTTTCCCCTTTCTTCCCTATAGAAACATAGAAACCAACTACGAAAAACCCCAAATAGATGCGACTACCTTTTTTGATCGGAACCAAACAAACGGAAGTAAACTCGGCCCGACTTTTCCCCGGCCGAGCCAAGCCTTTGGAGTGGAGCGCGCCAAGCGCCCGCCGCCGCAGAGCGCGTGGGGTGGGTATGACACCCCCCGTGTCACTGTGTTTTTGCCCCAAGAATCTTATGATGCATGTCTCCCAGCAGACAACTGCACAGCTCATGCTCCACTCTCTCCCTCTCCCACACCCGTAATGTCCAGTATCCCCGGGTACAAGGGTGACATCAACCCCACACCCGGTCACGGCGAGACCCGCATCTCCATCTACCTCTACCGGCCGTGGTTTGGCGGCGCAATCGCCGGTGCCGTCACGTTTGGCATCGTCCTCTGTGTCCAGCTCTTCTTCCTCTTCAAGTACAAGCGCACAAGATGGTTCCACGGGTTGCTTGCCTTGGGATCAGTTAGTGTCCTTCGGATCGGACGGTGCTCTGCTTGGCGAGTGCTGACGCGCTGCAACAGTTGATGGAAGTCGGAGGATATGCTGCGAGGATTAGAGGACATGCGAACCAGTTCTTGGTGAGTTGCAGTGCATTTACCCCGGTGGCTGGTTCTGACAGCACAGATCAATGTCTTCATCGTGCAATACTTCCTGATTGTTGTCGTGCGTACACGTCAAACCGTACAGTTGTTTGTTCTCGTCTTCTGACCATCCCTCCCAGGCTCCCATTCCCATCGCGGCCGCCATCTACCTGGTTCTCACCTATGCTTCGAAACGTTTCCCCAACGGCCGCTCGTTGCTGGCAATGCGCCCCAACTGGATCCTGTGGTGTGAGACTGCCCACCAGTGACAATTGGACGTCATGCTGATGACCAGTTTTCGTTCTCATGGACGTTGCGACCATTGCTGTCCAGGTGTGCGGCGCCGCGCTTGTCGGCATTGTCTATTCAAAGCAGGCCCGCGGCGAGTCGACCCCCGTGACCACCGAGACTGCCAACAACATTCTTCGAGCTGGTCTTGCCGTGCAGGTGAGTGAAGAGGTGCAGCAGAGTGAGAGACGAACAGGGCGAAGCGTGTGCGCGTGGGAACGAGCGCATTCTCCCCACACACTCTTGCCACTGGCTTGTTCACACTGCCACAACCTGTTTGAGGCTCAACTGCGCATCTTTGCGCCTTTGCGCCTTGCTGATTGTGAACCAGACCGCCTCGTTTACTGGCTTCCTTTTCCTGCTTGTGGTCGCCATCTTCCGCACAAAGAAACTCGCACTCCCTGCTGACCAGCACCGCAACATCCGTCGGCTGCTGTGTCTCAACTTGCTCACTGCCCTCCTTGTCTTGCTGCGTACTGTGTACCGTCTCGCTGTCGAGATTGAAGGTGAGTTGTAAACATTGACCATTGACTAACGATTGTAGGCTACTTTGGTTCAGCCAACCAATCCCAGATCCTCTTTACTTGCCTCGAGTATCTTCCGGTCATCCTTGCCCTGGCGCTGTTCTCCATTGTCCCCATCGCCTCTTTCTTCCCCCGCGAGGACCAAGCGGGCGAGCATGTCCCCATGGAGCCCTTCACTGTGAAGGATACCTACTAGGCAATGCCACCTGTACTTCATGGCCTGTCGAAGAACCCGCAATACAGCCGCGGAATGGACTAACAATAAGAACATTATCGATATGTGGTGTTGACTCCTAGGAATGGACTGCTCAACAGAACACGGGGAATGACGGCGCGCCACTAAGGCGCCTGGCACGCAGCCGTTTGTCGCGTCTGGCACGTCTCCCTCGTTTGCGAATTCGCGACCGAAGGCGTTGCGCAGGCCTGGCGGTTCCACACCGAAACCGGTAACTGGCGTGGTGCCATTATCCGTGTTCTGCTGCGCACCTCTGTCGTTGGCTTGGTATGCCAAGCACGTCGGTGGGTCCCCGGTGGATCGGTGGGGGGGGGGGACTCATGTCGGTCAGTGCGATTGTGGCCATGAAACGGATCCTCTGGAACTGCATCTCACCAGCGGCCAGCGGAACTGGTGGCCGTGACAGCACAGAACCTCTTGGTCCATGAGATAAGCCGCCAGCGGGAAGCAAGGCTCTCCGTGTCATACCTGAGCCATCGCCCCATGTCATACCTGAGCCATTAGCCGACGCCTATACACCGACTGCTAGTGTGATGCACTTTGCACACCGATATGAGCCAAGCTGCTCGCCACAGTTCTGAAACCCCATCAACTAAAGCTATCTGTGACAATTCTGTGCGCCTGTGCCTCGCTGTCAATGCTAGCGTTTCTGTTCAACGCCAACGGAGGTGCGGTGGACTGGCTCCATTGGGAATCCACACTTCGGGACCAACTATTCCGAGATCGGTTTTGCTCTCCCTGGCCCCCACTCCCTGGACAATTCTATCTGCGGCATGCACTCCCTCTGTCGGCCGCCACTGCGAGAGGCCATTGCACGACTGCGACGCTGCAAGACTGGCCAGACCGCCCGAGTTGACCGACCTCGTCGGCCCACGCCGCCCCACAAACCCCCCGTTGAGTGAGGCGCTTCACCATGTCCTGGGTGGTGGCGCACGTTGTGGACGTCAGCCTATTCGCGGTGGCAAAGAGCTGGGGTGTTGACCCTATGCGTTGCTAAACGGTTCCAACAAAACCATGCAAATTGCGTACAGGGGTCTCTGGCCTCTGATGCCGCCGCGGCATCACTCTGCTAGCACCACGTGAAGCCTGGAACGATGGTTCTGTATCCGCGAGATAAAACTGAGGCCGGTTCCAGGACTTTTGGGGACGACCAAGGAGGATGGAGACGCGGCGGCGGCCAGCGAGCGACGAGCTACGGGCCTACGGGATGGCTGTTGCGCCTGTTTCATGCGGCAACAGGAATGTGGCTGGGGGCTTTTGTGTGCGTCGTTTTTTCACAAACCGCAGCTGCGCGGCGTCGTGTTTGAGTGGGCGCTGGTGTGACTCTCTCTGTCTTTCTCTGTCTCTCTCTTGTATCACTCACGGCCCACCCCCGAGGTCCAAGAGTGCAAAAGGTGTTCGGAGCACCACCGAAAAATCTCTTCTTGGCTGCTGACGCGCTGACGAAATGGTCATGTCGGTCACCCAAAAAGTGTGATGACCCTGTGATTCCCTGGATAAGAGCCCGGGGTCCGGTTTTCAGCGACAGTTTTGGTGCATGAACTTGTCTGGCTGCTATCCATGGCCCGCCTTTGCACCGCTGGCTTTGAGGCTTTCCTGCTTTCCTGCTGCAGGTTTATACCGCACCTGACACGATGAACGCTTTAGCACCAGGGCATGTTGGCACTCTCGAAAGCCCCGTCGTGTACAGTGGAATGGAGGGACCACTCTGCAAGCGACTACGGACAGCTTCCATCCGAACGCCCGGGCAGCAAGACATGGGGCCCGCGGCCCAACGCCGAGCTGCCTGCGGCGCCACCACCCCCAACGGCCCGGGCCGTACCGAGAGAACAGCCTCCGCCGTTGTTCGGCGATCGGGGGGGTATGTGGACTGCTTGTTCTGCCAGTGCAGACTTTTTTCCACCCTGTGCGCCTGTGCCAACCCGGCGCCACTGGCCGCACTGGGCGAGGGCCATGTGAGGGAAAAGGGTGTGAAGGAGAGCACCTGTGGGTGGGCTGCAGCCACATACAGGAGAGAGACAGCGAGAGCGGTTATGCCCGTATGCGTGCCCGCCAGCTGGCCAGTGTCTCTCGCGGGCTGCCTTGCACACGGCGACCTCGACCATCTCGGCCACCACGCTCCCGGTCGCGCACGCACGCGCCGGCTGGTTTTTCATCACGACAACGGCCGTGAACATATATGTTGCCTGTGCACCGACCCTACCAGCCCTGTCCCCCTCATCCGACGACGACGACAACGACCACCACCCCCACCCCCGTTTCCCCGTTTTCTGCACCACATACATCCTTCTCACACACTCGTTTTACCCATTACCATTTCGCCAGAGCCGTAACATCCACAGCGACCTTGCCCTCACTCCTCTTCGAACCACCACCCCCCGGCCCCCGCTCGTCACCATGTCTTTCACCGCCGAACAGCTGCAGGCCATGGTCGCCGAGGTCATGGTCATGTACCCAGAGCTGGCCACGATGAACTGGACCACAGTCCCGGGTACCAATTACTCGTACCCGATCTCAACCCCATGGTGGAGTTTTGAGGAGTTTGTCTCCTGGATCTACTTTGTCCACCCCATCGGAGTGCAACAGCACAAAACGGGAGGACCAGGACAGGCATTCATTCCGTTGATGATGGGGTGAGTACAACGCCAGCACCTGTGCGGTCGGACCTAGCTGACCCAGACTAGCGTGTTGATAGACGGCCTCCTCCTAGGTGTTCTATGGGGCCAAGCATACTGGTGGTGGAACAACTCGCGGCACAATGAGCGTCCGATCATCAAGTCTGCTGTCATCGGTCTGGTCGTTTTCTCAACTGCAGTGTGGCTTGTGTGAGTGTTGCCCTGCACACTGTCAACTTTCAACCACTGACAACGCTAGTGCCGTAGTGTGGATTTGCTACCTGTTCGGCTTCAACTACGGCAAGTACGTACCCTTCACGGAACATCGCTGTAAGTCAAATGTCAAAAGTGTGCTGGCCCCAGAGCACGAACGCTGATGCCACTCAAGGGTACGCAAGCTTCCCATTCCTCAACTCGATCATCGTCTGCATCGTCCAAATCTTCTACGCTGAGCGTGCCTACAAGATGATGGGCAAGAAGAAGATTGTTATCGGACTGGTCATTGTTCCTCTGTGAGTTTGCACCTTTGGATCCAACGAGCTAATGTGCCAGCATGGTCGCTTGCGTCGGAGGCACTGGTATCTTGCTTTTCAGCAACATCACCAACGAGATCCAAGGTCCCGTGAGTAAAATTAATGTTGATCGGCTTCATAAGCTGACCGCGTAGATCTACATGAACTTTATGTGGTGCTGGATTGCCGGCATGCTGGCGTCGGACATTGTCGTCACCGCAATTGTCCTGTGGACATTGTTCAAGAACCGCTCCGACTTCCAACAGACCGACAACTTGGTTTTGCGTCTTATCCGCATCTCTTGCGAGTCTCAGCTCCCCCCAACCTTGCTGTCTCTTGCCTTCCTCATCACGTATGCCGCCATTGGTGTCAACTTCTTCCTGATCTTTTTCGGGTGAGTCCTCACGATCGGCAGCACGTGCCCCCCACTCACATGAACAGTATCCTCGAGCCCCAGTTCTACTCGATTGGTATGCTCTACGTTCTTAACTCGCGCACACTTATTCGTCGCGACATCAACCACCCGACTCACACCAACAGCCGCGGCGGTGGTGGCGGTGGTGGTGCCATGGCGTACACTCTCAAGAAGCAAACGGGAAGCCGCACACAGGACGGCGGTCCCTCGGGAATCCACGTGCAGACTGACACCTATGTCGAGGTGAGTGGACGGTCAATTTGTCACTGTGCTTGTCGCTGACGCATTCCAGATGCACCACTTCCAGCCACACCACGTCAACAATGTTCTCAAGCCCAAGATCAGGGACGAGTATGGGGTCAAGCAAATCGACGAGGAGGCATCGTTTGAGCGCTCCGATGACGAGGACGCCACGGTCAACATCAGCGAGGTCGGCCTCACTCAGCCGGTTGCGTACGGCGATAAGCCGTACAGCGGCGCGTTCTAAACGCGCGCGCGGGTGACCATCATTCTTGTTGTGTAGATTTCGGGGTCGTATAGTTTCTGTTTCCCGTTCATTTCTTTTCTCGTGCATTTCTATGGATAATATCGTCATGACCGGGACGTTGTCTGGACTGGCCCGACTGGATCGCTGAACGCTTTCGCCAAATGTGGCGCGCGTTTCAGGCGCTTCTCTGTGATTTCAAAGCTGCGTGGGAGTCGAGGGTCCCAGACAACAGCAGCAGACCGGTCGTCGGCCTCGTTCCTGAGCATGGCGGCGAGGCAACGCGTGATGTTGACAACCATGGCCATGCCATGCCCACTGTACCCCACGGCTGCCAAGAGTCCAGGCTTGCCTGGGACAGGACCCACCAGCGGCAGCAGGTCGACAGAGACACCCATAATGCCGGTCCAAGCGTGCACCGGGCCCTCGGATCGATTCTCAGGGCCCCATCCTCTGTATCGGTCCTTGCAAAACGTTTCAATCCCTGGGGGTGGTGGTGGTCAGGTCAGTCCACCCGTCCACGGCCAACAAGGAAACAAGGCAACTGCACATACACTCGCGGAACTTTGGAACAACGACCGAGTCGTCCTCAAGAAAGAAGATATCGCTCATGGTGCCCAGCCCAGTGTCAAGGACGGCCTGCCAGTACGGCCCGAGCACGAGGCCCGAGTGCACAGTACTTATCAGGTAGGCGCCATTCTCAAAGCCATACGTGGTGCCCAGACTGTTGCGGCCCGCAAACGTGGTGGGAGGCACAACTAGTCCTGCGTGACCACGATAGGGGACAAGGCTGTCCATAATGTTAGCGCCGCCACGATGGACCTCGACGCGGCCCCTTACTGAGCTGGCACACCCTGTCCTGCTGCGAGATCGTCTTGGAACAGGTGGCGGGTGTAGGCATTCGTGCAGAGGACCACCCTGGGGGCTTTGATCTGCCCACGCGTCCCGCAGTCGACACTCCAGCCGCTGCCGTCGACTTGCTCGAGGCTCATTACCGGTGTCCAAGACAGCAGGCGAAAGTCCGAACACGGAGATTCGAGGGCCAGCCGGAGCAACGCCATCGTGCCGCGGTGTGGATGCCAGCTGCCACCCGGTCCCTTGTTCAGGGCTATTGCGTCGGTAACACGAGACACATTCTTCGCCTCGGTGGCATCATCGACATGCTCCCACTGAGCTGGACGCGATCGATGCTTGGCACTCGCGGCGTGGGCCTTCTTGAACGCCACGAGGTTCTCGCGTGTCTTGTCAGCGCCGGCAGTGGTGGAAAAGACTGGCGAATGGGCGGGGTGAGCACCTCTGCGGGTCCCAGTGTCACCCACCTTCTAGGCGGCTTCCTTTCCAAAAGTCGACGTCGAGCTTCTCCGTCTTAACAATGTCTTCCACCAAGTCGAGGTTGTCCAGCTCGAAGAAGTAGACGTCGAGTGCCTCCTCTGGGGTGAGACCGGAGCCTCTCACCTCGTTCCCACCTGGGCCCTCCCACAGCGGGGCAGTCAGTGAGCCCATCAGGTCCCACGAACGAGGCGCAATGTGACCGCCATTGCGTCCTGCTAAATGTCAGCGATGGCATACCTTGCTGCCTCGACACCCACATGCGCAGGAGGCAACGTCCTTGGCCTCGAGCACCACGACCGTCTTGCCCTCGCCGGCCGCGCCGGGGCGGGTAAGCTGATAGGCAAGTGAGGCGCCTGTGATTCCAGCCCCGATAATAACGTAGTCGGCAGTCTCTGGGAGGGGGTCGTCGCGGCCATGGTTCCATAGAGACGTGGGACCCCGGTTCTTGAGAGAGAGAGTTAGGAGACAACAAGAGAACAAACGACTTGCACGAACGGTAGCTTGCCAGTGGGACACGGTTGAGGTGAATGGCTGAGGAAACGCCGGCATCTCTGGTAAAGGAAGGCTGTTGTGATTGCTAGGTAGGGTTAGGGGGTTAGGTAACCCTCTACTTTGGCTGTTTGGGCTGGTCTCAGCACAAGCGCCATCGTCCTCCCTCCTCCCGGCTGCCTAAATGGCGGCAGTGCATGGCTTGGAGAGGTTATGATGCGCCACATGCCTCAACGCTTCCAGTTGAGGGCAGGCTACAGAACTTTTGTCTTAATACACATCCCGAGTTGTCTACAAAGGCCGAAGTGAATGTAGCGTTTGTGGCCTCTCAACAAGAAGGACTTGTGGCGCTATGCAGCATCGGCGGTGGTGGTGCAGCACACAGGTACAGGAGGTGCTAAACTTGGACACCACCACAGACCGCTCTCGCCCCGCTCGGCAACCATCCCTTGAGGCGCATCTGAAGCCTGACCGCATTAACCTGCGAACTGTGGCGCCTGAGATGGCCGTGAGGCAAAGGACAATGGCCCCAAAATCAGGGAGAATGGCGAGCAGGGACATAGTGGTGGCGTGCCAAAGACCTAGCGAGCCTATCCCTGCACGCAGGAAGCTCGGAGGCTATGAAGCCAATAAAAACAATCAATGCTGCACGTGCCAACCTAGCATCATGGATATCGTGAGCGGGTTCCTGGTTTACTACCAGGTGGTGATAGGAGGAAGACAGACCCCACCTTATGTTTCCGGTCGGCGTGAAAAATGCGCCAGCCGAGGTGGCTACCTGAAGTAAGGTCGACGGCGACCCGCGCGGTAGAGGATCTTGCTTTCGAAAGCATCGCGCCAAGCCTTCGAGGCCCTGCCAGGAGTGCACACATCTAGCATACCTCGCAGGTCAGTGGGTCCCCAAGTGTAACTGCAACTGTGGCATTCTGTCCTTCAAAAAAAAAAGTGACTAGTTACGACCGTTCAAAAGTATGATATTTCTGAAAAGAAGCTGTGGCGGGTTCGCCCCAAGTATTCCAATTACTGAACCCCCCCCCCCCTTCCGAAGGAACGATCACGACATCGGGGCAAGCGATCCACCACCGCTGAGAGCCTTGGTGGCGCCGTTCAGCCACGAGTTGGCCGCCGCCGACGAGTTGTAGTAGATACTGAAGCCGTTGGACTCGATGTTGATCAGCTCGTTGTTGGCGACGGTGAAATTCTGAAGAGTGGCATCGGCGGTGAGGGTCCAGGACGAGGTGGCATCGAGGTAGACACCAATGGCACCAGTGGCGACAATGTTGTCCAATACAGCAGCACCAGTCCAAGCTGAGTGCTCCTGGAGGTTCCAGTCAATGGTGCTGCCGTTGATGGCCACAATGTCGCCGTTGATGATGGACTTGGTAATGGTAACCAAAGCACCAGCAGGGTCAATGTCTTTGCCAGCGTCCTCGGGCGACGACCACTCAAGGAAAGACTGGGGAATAGTGCTGGTGTTGGACGCGAGGAGCAAGCCACTCTCAGATTGAATGATGACAGACTCGAGGCCAATCGTGGCCCCTGTGCCTCCCACAGCAATGGCGGCGGCGTTGGAACCGTGAACACGGAGGATAGAGTTGGTAGCGTTCATTTTGCAGTTTGCGTAGTCACCCGACGAGAAGAGAACAACGCCGGCAAGGTAGCCTCCTTCGAGGTCAGACCCAGTGGCGATGATCTCTTGGTTGCCATCCATAAAGGTCCAGGGAGAAAGGTCAGCGTAGCCGTGGACGTTTTCCAGGTACGACTGGCCCAAAGTGTACCTGAGGGCGGTCAGTGTGGCAACGTTCATTGGCCCAAGGGTAAAATACGCACATGACAGCCGACCCATGACCATAGGTAAAGGCCTCAGAGTCCTTGACAGTGAGGTATCCGGCAGGACCGTCGCCAGAGTAGCAAGAGGAGCGGTAGCCATAAGTCTCACAATAGAAGTTGGTTGCATTGATGGTGCCGTTGCCGGAAGCGTAAAGGCCGTGCGACACTGGACCTGTGGCATAGAATGACGAGTGGGAGGCTGTGACGACGGTACCAGTGCCGTACGAGTAGATCTGAAAGGGTCAGGACTGTCAACTGTAAGCCACTTACACCGGCAGCGCCGTTGTGGGCAGTCATGTTGACATGGTGGGCCGTGAGACTGCTGTCGTTGGCAACATTGAGGATGGCTGCAAAGTCAGTTGCGTAGACGAGCAGGTCCATCAATATATGTACATACCATTGACTCCATAGAACGACGCTTGGTTGAGGTCCGAGGTGTAGCCATACTTGAGGAGGTTGACATTGTTAAGAGTGAGCGAGGCGCCCTCAGAGACCACGATGACTGAAGTGTCGTTCTGGCTAGTGCACAGCGACTTATAGTTGATGGAAGAGTCGTTGCCTGACCCAGTGAAATACTGCTCAGACTTAATAGAAGAGGTGAGGTACGAGTACATGACCGTAGGAATGTCGGCACCCATGGCAATGTCTCCTGACGAGTCGCCCGTGCAGGTCTGGGTGGTCCACAGTGAGCGCCGAACGGGAGCAGCAGAGGCGAGATACGACAGTGCCGTGGCGACAAAGGCAGTCGAGAGAAGCATGGCGGGAGATAGACTTGAGAGCGGAGGTGAGGCAAGATCGATTTGTGAGTTGATGAGAGTTGGCCTGCCACTCTCACTGTTTATAGCGCTTGCCACGAATGATCACGGGTGTCACGCCTCCGAGAGTCCCGTTGCCCACTTGTGAAGGAGTACACCATACGATCACGAGAAGTAGTTCATGGCTGAATAATGACGTCTGCTTGATCACCCCTTGGTGCTCCGTGGGGAAAGAAGACGGGGTTGAGAATTCCACTTGGCCGGCGCGCAGCACTCAAGTACATAACCTAGACGCCGGCGCCATAAACAAAATACCGGTTCTCGGGCACTAGGCCACTTGATCTAGTCCACGAGGCACCGGACAGGACGGACATGCAGTGTCCACTACATCTGCGCAGCGCTAATGGGTCTTGATCACTTGACCACTTCTATGAGGCACCGGAAAGGACGGACATGCATCGTCCACTATGACCATTTTGTGCACGCAAACAGGTCATGCTAGAGCACGAGAGATATTGCTGGACAACGGGGGGGATCAATGCCGACATTCCCGTGTGCCACACATTCGTGTTCCTGGCAATGGCCACACATGCACCAAAAACGAAAAGAAAAGAGCTTCAAGACGAGCGTCACCGTCGTGGTGCATCTGTTCCACAGAACCAAGATGCATAACTTGCCCACACTCTTGCAACCCTTGTGGAACAAGTGCCAGGAATTGAGAAGACCGGCCGCCGTCAAGGCCTGATGCATGACTTGCAGTGCGCGCACCACACTTGACCGCAGGAGAGCTGGACTGTCAGGATCGCGACTGGTTCGCTGTGCAATGTCTTCCAACGCCGAAAACTGGGCGCACATGCTCGGCGCAACGTTTGCTCGTTCAGCTCCGTATTAGAATGACGGCACAGACAGCGGCGTAGAGACGTGTCATCAGCAGGGCCATGTCAGCGATCTGCGGACGTCATCCTTGGTGTGTGTCCGTGTGTCTGTTAAATTTCGGGGCTTTTACAATAATTGCCGAGGTTTACGGATCAGGGATCGGCGCCTGGCAACGAACATTGCCGGGTTGCAAGGTTGCATGAACGACGAACAAGCTGTGCAGAATGGGGTCTAGTACGTCAGAGGCACTGGGTCATTCCTAGAAGTCCGAATCCACGCTCTGAGAGACCGTGGTAGCCTTCAAGGCGTGTGTTTACATTGCTCGGCGCCGAACAAGACAGCCGACATTCGGCCATCTCATCCCCGTGCTGCGTCCCGCCCAGGCGTTGAGGCATGGAGAGCACAGTTGATTGGCCGAGGTAAAGAGACTCTCACAAGGGCACAAGGGCCCGCGGAGGTGGCATGCCCGATGCCGGCGAGAGGCGGAAACTGGTCTGCCCAAGGCTAATGGTGTTACTGGCCTGGTGGAGAGGTGGCCGCTGTCAGCACGCCACCGCTCTGGTTTCCCTTGCACATGCACCTGATATTAGATATGTGCGGCACGTGAACACCAGCCACTAGGTCTGGTTCGAAAACGCAGCGAATGTTGTTCAGATCGTGTTGCACCGTCGTCACCGCTGCCAGGCGTCGCTGTTTACCAACCCGTACCCGTTTACGTTGGGTGTCCCAGCACCTCTTGGCCCGATCCGACACCCGATGTCCGATCTCCGAAAAGCTGGCTTTAGCTTTTTAACACACTTTCATTCTAGAATCCGCGAGGACGATGTGTTGTGGGAGCCCATCGACACCCCCAACGTGACAGCTCATTCTTGCACCGAGGAGCCTGAGGAGGCCCCGCCCCCCCCAAAACGCCACTGCCCACCCGGCAAGGGAACGGATGTGGCTGACATGGAAATAGAACATGCCAACTCCTGGAGTGGGGTAGAGAAGTGTCACTGCTGTGTATCCTGGGCACACAGGGAGCGAAAGACGGTGCGTCCCAGGTGCAGTAGGGGACAAGCCCATGCGACGGAAAAGACTCGGAAGACGGACACACAAAGGCGTTCGGTGCCTGCCGACAGAAAGCCAAGTGATCAAGTGAGGCCTGGGACAAACCACCTACTTGGCCGTGATGGCTCGTCGAGCCGCTGACATCGACTGTTGGAAACTTGCAATGCATCATGCCCCTCTCCGATAGCAACGACCCCGACCGGGTCCCGGTGGTAGGCACAAGCGGGCATGCCGCTCGTCGTGTGTGAGCCTTGGCCCCAAACGTGCCCGAGAGGACGCCTGCTTGCCTGCCTGGGTTTGCCCCGCATCTCGGCAAATGAAGTTGTCGGATGCAACGACATGACGCGCTGAGATGCCGAGAGCAGAATGTTCAGTGCAATATTGCGACATGTCACAGTGCGCTGCCCAAACGAACACTTTGGATTATAAAGCATATGGAAGGTGTCTGTTAACCCGCACCTTCTTCCCATCCCCGCGCACCGTTGTCGAAGCACTCCCTCTTCCCACCGCCCTACTACCTCTACACGGCAACATGCCCATTTCCACCGCGCCGAACCCCCTCGGCCACCTCAAGAACAACACCGCCGACTGGTGGTGGAAGGACCCTGGCATGCGCAAGCTGGCTGCCCCAATGCTACTCGGCTTCTTGGGTGCAATGCAAACCGGTGAGCAGATCCTCCCTTTCAGCCAGACGTCGAAAACTCGGGGCTAACTCCTGTCAGGTTATGACTCGTCCATCATCGTCAACCTCCAAGCCAACCCGCTCTTCTGGATTGCACTTGGCACTACCTCCCCCGCTATCATCGGTTGCGTTGTTGCTGCCAACCCGCTCGGCGCACTTCCAGGCCTCATTCCTGGCGCTTTCATCTCCGACCGTTGGGGCCGCAAGTTTCTCATGATCGTCGGTTACGTCGGTCTTCTCGGTGCCTCTGTCTTTCTGTGCTTTGCCTTTGGCGCCTGGAAGCACTTTGGCGCTCGCTTCTTCCACGGTATCTTCTCTGGCTTCACCTCCCTTGCCGGCGGCCCCTACACGACCGAGATTGCACACCCTCGCAACCGCGCTCAGTGCACCGCTCTTATCCAATCCTGTCAATTCTTCGGTGCCGTGGTTGGCTGTTGGGTCTGCTACGCCTGCTGGTACATCGAAGGCGAGTGGAGCTGGCGTCTCCCACTGCTCCTTCAAATGTGGACACCCATTCTCGGTCTTGCCCTCATGCCGTTCTGCCCCGAGTCTCCTCGCTGGCTCGCCAGTCACGGTCGCATGGAGGAGGCCCACCGTGTCATCGCCAAGTTCCACTCCAACGGTGATATGAACGACGAACTGGTACAGCACGAACTCAAGGAGATCAGGGCCGCACTGGAGATTGAGAGGTTGGCAAAGGCCGTCAAGTACCGCAGCTTCTTCGCTACCAAGGGCAACCGGCACCGTCTTCTCATTGTCATCACTTGCGGCCTGGGCATGCAGATGGTCGGCAACAGCGTCATCACCTTTTACCTCGTGCCCATTCTCCTCTCGGTCGGCATCGTCGATCCGGCAGATCAGATGATCTACAACGCTGGCCTCCAGATGTGGAACTGGTTTGCCTCCATGCTTGGTGCTCTGCTGTGCGAGCGCTCTGGTCGTCGCCCAATGTGGTTGATCTCCTGTGAAGGGCAGCTGATTTCCTACACTGTCATCACGATTTGTTCGGCACTGTTCGCCCAAGGCAGCCACGCAGCAAGCTATGTTGTCCTGGCGTTCCTCTTCGTCTACTTCTTTTTCTACGCCATTGCCGTGAGTCTCCATATCTCGAGTTGGCCATGTCTTAGTTGCTGACTTGCCGCAGTTCACACCGTTGAGTCTGGCCTATGCCGTGGAAATTCTCCCCTACACCATGCGCAGCAAGGGCCTGTCCATCTTTTTCATTTGCTCCATGCTCTCTGTCATCCTCAACACATTTATCAGTGTGTCGACTTGGCAGGTCGTCGAGTGTCTTCCCTCCAAGCTGACCCACCTTCAGATCCAATCGCTTTCGACGCCATCGCGTGGAAGTGGTACATCTTTTGGATCGGCTGCATCCTTATCGTCGGCACCATCATGTTCTTCTACTTCATTGAGACCAAGCACCGTACCCTCGAAGAGATGGCAGAGCTCTTTGATGGCCCCAGTGCCGACAAGAATGCCTGCGTCCCACCACCTGACACCGCCGAAGAAGACAAGGACAAGGAGGCGACGCAGTCGGAGCTCGACGACAACATTGCCCAGCTCAGTTTCCACCCTCGGCAGGAGGGCGCTTGATTCGCCTCAAAGTACTCAGCTGTTGCGACTCTCCATCCCGTAGTGATATGTGCATAGTGTTTATAGAGTTCCACGCCCCGTATATGCCGGTTACGCCATGTGACGCGAGCAATACTGGTTGTTATTGCAGTTGCGTATGCGAAAAATAAACCAAAATAAAACGAAATAAAAAGACCAACCACTGAGAGAAATATGAGGCCGCGAAGGTCATGGACCGTTCTCCGTTTGGTTGAGCGGAGACAGTGGTACAGTGGTACATTGGGTCGTTCACAGCCTCATCGCCGCCCAGATGCTGTGTGCAGGACAGAAGCAGATGTATATGGCCGGATGCGGTGGCAACAACGTGGAATTGATTCCGCCTAGCCAAGCTCATCTCACGCATCCCACGCCAAACGTCAATGTTGACACGAAACCATCCGGCGTCTGCAACGCATCATCCCACAATGCCCGCCTTGAAGATCGCTCAGGACAGTTATCCTCACATTGTGGAAGACATCTTCCAGTACGCCCTGGCCACATGGACCATACGTGAGCTGGCCACCGTCAGAGCCGTCTCGAGCCGCCTCCGGACCGCCGTCGATGACCTATGCTCCCACGTGGTTCTCACCAGGACAGCAGCGGAAGGGGAACTCGCCATTACTGGGCTCCATGGCCCCCTCCCCTACCTCCCCAGTGGCTCAACGGACCGCACGTTTGAGCGCAACACGCGCGTGGTCACATTACGCGGACCAATCGACAAAGAAGATCTGGAGCGCGTGGGAGGAACCTGGATCTCCAACATCTGCACCCTGCGAGCAGTGCGAGGAGAACAGGGACCCCCGACCTCCAACCTTCTCACCACGCTTGTCAGCCTAAGCACTGTTGTGCTTGCAAGCCCTATGGCCGGTTGGAGTGATCAACTGGCCGTCCCCAACTTTTGTTTTGAGGCAACCTTGGACGAAATCATCCTCAACGTCGAGGTCCCTCAGTACAACGGTTCCTCAAGGCTGTAGACCCCGAAGGATCCGATTCTGCACAAGAATACTTCAATTTCCACCTCGCAACACTGGGAGTGCGCTTCAGGGCGCTTACTGTCGTGTTTACCCCCGTTGACAAGCAGTCGCCCAGCCCCCCCGCCCTTCGCAACGCGAGTACGTGGACGTCCTTGTACGCAGCCCTTGGCGTCATCCGGTTTGGCAGAAAGGTGACTCTTGTGGGCGCGTGCGAGATACCATCGGAGGCATTCGGGTTCCCCAGCGACCAAGACAAGACTGAGCTTCAGGACACTGTGTCGGCGTACAGCAGAGGCTATCGTCGAGCCCATGGTCCAGCACGAAGGGTACTCGCTCGACGACGGACTTGCGGACCGTGTCTTGGTGCGCTGCAGGGACAAGCTCAACTTTGTCACACGGGCGCAGTTTGCTGTTTCTGAGCCAACCAAGTTTGCGCTTGCGACAGAATGGTAGATGGCTGTAGAGCAGGAGACGGAGCTGGGACGAGAGAACGTCGTAATCTTTGTTGTGGGTGTATAATGTGAAGTGCTGTTGCGTGGGCTGAAGGTGCGACACTCATTCTTCTAACTGCCATCCAAGTCGAGGTCTTCCCGGGTGCCGAGCAATGGCCACGGCAGCAACTGCCACGCCCGACGGCCTTCCATTCAATACGTCGCGCACACACAGCATGTACGCCGTCAGCCAAACCCCGTGTGGTCCGAAACCCAACGAGCAACGAGCACCCTTTCCGTTCCTTCCCTTCCCTTTCCTTTCCTTTCCTTCCGCGGTCGCTCACAAAATCAAAATGCAATGGTTGTTCGCGGCGCGGCGGCAAACCCCCTTGCATGCCGCGCCCTCTCTCCATAATGATTGATCTCGGCCTGTCTCAGGCGACGCGGGAAGATTTGCCTCTCACACGCGGGAATAGGGTCTCAGACCCAACCGAGATTCGATTCGGTGCCAGGGATCGCTCCAAACCTGTCGGACGTCTCACACACCGAGATCTGGCGCCACCAGCAGCAGCAACAGCAGCAGCAACAGACACTTGCCAGACAACTCTTACTCAATACTGCTTGGGGTCGTGTGTGTGCGGTACCATTCCTTCCTGTGCAGTCGATCATGCAGTCACTCATACCTCATCGTATGGACGAGGAGGGCCACTCCTGGGTAGTGGATAGTGCTTGTGAAAAGGACTCCTCCACGGCGAGCTTGTTTCTTCACTGCCGTAAGTATTAGCTGCGCGGTGCGCCTCTCACCTGCATCCACTTGAAGGGAGACTCCTCCAACATGCCACACTGCAAGCAACTTCTCTGCCACTGCACCGCTCACTGTCGTCAGTCAGGCATCAGCAATCGGTACAAGAGTGCGCTGAACCTACCGTAGCCCGACTACGTATCCCTCCTCAGCAGTGAGTTAGTTCTCGGGTTGCACCACGGTTCACCACCAGTCACCGTCCTTGAAGCGGCATGGCTGTCCTGCCCTTATCAACAGCTTCCAGCAGACAGTTGGACCAAACGGCAATTCACGTTTCTACCACCACGCCCGCTGGACATGATCGACTTATTGTTAGCCACACCCGATAGACCATACCATGTGTCAGCCAACGTCAGCCAGGCGCGTCGCACTTTGCCTGTGGGCGAGTTCGTTCCCGGGAATCCATTTCCACCATTTATCCTGGAAATCCACACAACTGTCTCAGCCCTTGCTGCAAAGGCTGTGGCGCTGTGGACACCGCGGGGATAAACAGACAAGCCGAGATCTCAACGGGTGAAGCGGCTCGTATCCACAACCCTTACGATCGTGACCCCAAAGACATCCAGCCAAAGAAAGGTACCCGTGGCCCAACAATTGACAGCATCTTCGGGGCAGGGCCGCACGAGTCTATTTTCTGTCTTCTACCTTTTTTACCCTTTCTGTCAGCATCTTCTCTGCCATGCGTTCGCGTTCCGCCTACACAGCAATGCACATTGCTCCCAGTGATGTCTGTCCTTGTTTCCCCAACGCTCACCGCACGCACGACGCTCTCGCCGCATGCCCGCAGACAGACCCAACAGACGTAGCAAGTCAAGGGCCACCACGCACCCGAGCGCCACACCTTGACTTGTACCGAGTTGCCACCGAGGTCCGAGACGCCTGCCCCTAAGCGGTGCCACGCCATCAATTCGGAGGGTTGGAGGCAATGGCTGCATGGCTGGGCTTCGACCCAGAAACAAAAAAGTAGACAACAGCGAGTGTGAGTGAGGCCAGACGTGGTTGCTTCGCTAAGGGGTTTCAATCGACAGCACAGACCCGGTCGAGGCTTGTGGGTATCAGCCAGGTCTAGGCTTCTGTTAACTGGCCCACGCGACAAGTGGGTCATGGGCCGGACTTGTTTGCCCTCAAGCTTACGTTGCCCAGCTGATATGCCTCACGAGGGGGATGTGGCATGGGTAGGTTGCGGGTGACGGCAGTCCACCCACACGCCCACCTTTATCCAGCTCGTTTTCCATTACATATCGGGGGCTCATGTTGTGTGGGAAACCTTCTCTTTCTCTCCATAGCCATTCACCACCATGGTCTTCATTCCTACACTCCTAGTCCTCGCGACGGTCGCAACCCTCACGTCCGCGGACAGTGTCTGGATCAACTGTGACAACGACCCAGCTTATGCCACCTCATCAATCAAGTCGAGCTCGCTGGCCTGTGACGTGAGTCGTTTCCCTTCCCATAGGCCTCAAAGACTAACACCTACAGTCCTTCTGCTACACCTATGCTTACGTCTACTGGCGCTCGGGCGACGGCGCGTGCCGATGCTCTAACAGCCCCACACCGATCCAAAGCATGGTCGGTTCAACCAACCTCGGGGGTTCCTGCCCGTCGGGCCAGTTCAATGTGAGTGGCAGTTACAACACACACATGCTGAACAGACCAGGAAAGGAAGATCTTTTCACCTTATGGCATGTTTCTACAGTGTCTCTCGGCCACCAATGGCATTGTCAACCCCTACGTCCAGCAGGATGTGCCGACCGTCGCGGCATGCTGGGACCTGTGCGCCTCGCGCCCCGGGCCGCCAGGATACGCTTCCTACAAAGCCTCCAACGGTAAACTTGAGTGCCAGTGCTTCAGCTCCTTTACGGGCGGTATGACCAACTGTGGCTCGGGTTCCACATACGTGTGGCAGTACGGCCCCAACACGGTCGTATCTAATATCCCCCGCCGCCGCCAGCTCGCAGCCCAGCAACAGGCCGCCATGATTGCCGAGCAGCACCCGTACTGTCCGCCAGGCCTGTCTGCGTGCCGCGTAAACGGACTGGGCTCCAATTCGGGATTTGAATGCATCAACCCTCAAACCGAGGTCGAGTCATGCGGCGGCTGCCTGTATGGGACTATGAAGGATGTGAACAATGCCACTGGAGTCGAGTGAGTAGACAAGTCCTACCGACATTTGTCAGTTATTATCTAACATTTGTTAACAGCTGCACCGCCCTCGATGGTACCGCGAAAACAGGGGTGACTTGCATCCGTGGAGAGTGTCATGCGTGGCTGTGCAAGAGGGGGTACAAGCTTGTAGACGGCGTCTGCGTTCCTAAGTGATCGAGTACATAATGTATCAAGGACTTTTGATGTGTGTGCCACATATAAAAACGTCCGAGGCTGCTCCCGGCCGAGGCTCCCATTGTCAACATGTGACGAGACGGCATGTATCGACCCGACGGGGTCAATAAACGTCTGGTGTGCGGGGACAGTGACAGTAAAAGGATGGAAAAAGACACGACGTGCCATTTAAAGGTCACTGCTAATGTTGAGGCGATTGAGCGTTCGAGCGTAATCAACCACATGAGATTCGAAGATGGAGCTCCTCACCGAGCATATGTACACGGCAGCAAGGACACGTTCGTGCCCATGCGGCCAGCACCTCTTTCGTGATGGGCTTGAATTCAGCTTGAAAGAGGCTACCTTCACGAACCGTCAACTTCGCCGACTTTGAGATAATGGCACCCGAACAACGACAATGAATCATGGTTATCGCTCCGCCTTCCTCTGTGGCTGATGATTTCGGCACACGGACAGCGGAAGTGTAGAGTTGCATGTATGCTCTTCACTGTAAAGACGTACATCCTAGTGAACAAACTCTCAAACACCTCGCACATGATTGTAACGCTCTGGTAATAATCGTCAACTGCAGCCTATTCGTTTCCTAGTCAGTGGCACCGTTAAATGCAAACTGTATGCAGGTTGTAACCAACGTGCTTGAATGTAGTCTGACAGCGAGAGTTGGCGGCCGTCGTGAAGAACACCTTTCTGTGAACGTTGCGTGGGTTCTCACAGTAAACACGCGTACGGATCTATTTCTCCTACCATCGCAAAAGAAGGTCCAAACGGTTAGCCGCCATTAGGCCTCGAGCCCTTTGGGAAGGGTAATGAAAAGTCTTGCTGACACTGGCCATGTCATTACTAGCCAGCTTGCTTGCGCGGCAGTCAGTGTCATCTTGCCATCTTCTGGAGGCACGGGGCACGAGTTCAGATCAACACGGGAGATGCGTTGCATCTCCCAAAGGGCAGCTAATATAGAGAATACAGAGGATACAAAAAGCAAAACACGTCTTGGCCATTGTGTCACTCGATTGCAACTCTCGCAACGCCGCTGGCGAGGTCGGTCGGTGGATAAAAATCGTATAAAATATTATATTAAGTAACATGTTATCAGCTATTCCATGGATTGGAACACTGGTCGGCTGAGCGGGCGGAGGCACTGTTGGTGTCTACGAGAGTAGCACGTAATCGGCCGTGTTCCCACTGCTTACCATCTTCTTGGACAAACTTGACGAAAGAACACTCTCGGGCTAACCCCCCGGGTGAAGCATCTTTGATTCCAACATCGACGATCCAGGCTGCTCAGGCTACGCACCCAGCCATACTGTCAACGCTGTCAACCTCAAGCTTGACGTCGGCCCGGCATATGGTTCATTCATGGATCGCTTTATGACCCAAGGTCGTTCACCTTGTGCACACCTTTTCTACCTCCAGCTGATTCGCTTCCCAATCAGTGGCACAGACAAATACAGGTCGTACACGACGTACTCAAGTTCTGCATTACTCATGCTAATCATCTACTTACTACCACTGGTCTCCCTCTATTCCCCAATCAACCCAGCACACAGCTCGCGCAACCGCCTCACCAGCATGGCGCCATACGCATCCTCCTTTTTCCCACTACCGCCTCCGGAAATCGACTCGACATCGTCCAGACGATCTAACACGCCACGCAGCGAAGCAGCAACACGTTCCAGGGCCTTGAGGTTGGTCTGCCCAGCCGTGGATTGCGCATAAGGGTTGGTGGCGAGAGCAGCGGTCGAAAAGCTGAGCGACAGCGTGTCGGGGCGGACTGACTCGCCGGCGGCGTCGGTCGCATAGTAGAGCATGTGCCTCCAGATGAGGAGCAGCAACGACTCGATCATGTTGTAGATTGCGCCAATGCGAGCGGAAAAGGCGGCCTGGAGCTCCTCGATCGTGTCGGCCTCGAGACCGGGAACGGACACTTCCTCGCCAGCCTCGAGCTTGTCGGCCACGTCGTCGTACGCGGCACCAACGTCGGTGGCAGCCTCGGCGAGGTCCGCCACGAGCTCGACAGCCTGGGGCAGGCTGGGTGCCGAACCAATGTACTTGGTACCGCTGGGGCGGGCCGCGCCGAGTACGAGCACGGGTGATCCTTGACCAGCCTTGAGCCCGACAGTAGTGGCGCACAAGTAGGCGATGATAACCTGGTTGAGAGCGAGGACTTTTGCCTGGGTATCGACCGAGTCTCCATCCGCGGGATCGGCGTCATGCAGCGAGTCGACCCACGAACGGTCAAAGAAGCGAGCAGCGAGCGACAAAACCGCAAAGTGGAACGCGCCAAATGCAGATGGCTCACGCAGGTCCTTGGCCGAGACCTTGGGGACAATGAGGCACATGAGCCCGACAATGAGGCGTGACTCGTCGATACCGGTGGGCGTGACGTAGGCCTGGTTCTCGCGCAAGAGGACCAGGAACGACTCGCGGTGCGCATTCAAAAAGCTGAGAGCGTGGGCGGGGCCGCTGCGAGTGGGCGACGACAGCACACGGACGAGCAGCTGGAGGGCGGCAATAAGCACGTGGTGCTGGCGGTGCACAGTCTCGGAAGCGATCGTGTCGTCAAGAACGTCCTCGCTGAATGGTTGGACAGTGATAAAGCCGCACATGGCAAACGTCTGGAAGACACCAGCCTCGACAAGGTCGTCGGCGCCCTTGGCGGTGGCGGCGTAGGCGGTAAGGAAAGCGACCTTGGTCTCGTACACCCAGAAGGCGTGGAGGTTTTCGGGTTCAGGCGAGAGACACTCCTGGAGGGCCATCTCGCGGTCCTTGACGCTGCGCACGAACTGGGCCAGGAAACCACCCTGGGTGAGGGGCGAGACCAGGCCACGGTCGCCCAGGGAGACGACAGCAGCGAGGAGGGAGAAGCACTCGGTCTTCCACACGTCACGCATATCCATGGCGTCACGGCACAGGACACTAACGAAGCGGTCCTTGCGTGCCGAGAGAGCGGCAACAGTGGCCTTATGCAGCGCAGACTCGGCATCGGCGGGCACAAGCTGGAGGTACTGGCTCACGGCGGCGTAGAGGTTGCCGCGGGCAGTCTCTGTGGTACCGGGACGAACGGCTCCGTCGACAACCTTGAGCAGTGTGGTCGAGAGACGGTCGATGGGGAGGTTGGTCGCATCGTGGGACGAGAGGAGGTTGGCGAGGGTCGTAAAGGAGACTAGGACAGCCTCGGACAAGATCTCAAGCACACCGGGGGCGAGATCTGTGTTGAGGCGGTCAAGAACCGCATCGAGAAGCTCGAAAATGAGAACCTCCTGGCGGTCCTCGGGAACATAGTGGAAGAGCATGGCGAGTGACACCTTGAGAGCCTCGTTCCAAGCTGTAAAGAACGAGCCCTTGGCAATGGCAATGTCGGTCTCGCGGTTCTTGATAGCAAGACGGCGGAGGATATAGTCGGCCTCTGCGGCCATGGCGTCGGCAGAGGTTCCGGGGATGACGGCACCCTGGCGCTCGAGTTGGCGGCGGTGGGAACGGAGGGCGCGCGAGAGCATCTCGAGGTCAAACCACTCGCTGTCGGGGCGCTTGAACGAGTCAAACTGGAAACCAGAGTAAAACTCAAGGACCTTGCTCTGGCTGGCATCGCCGGCGTCGGTCTCGGTAAACGTAATGTCCACGGTCGAGACAAGGTCGATCAGCAGAGGAGGGCGCTGGTCGTCATCCTCGTCACCTTCGTCTGACAAGAGTAGAGCAGCAACAAACTCTGACGACGCTCCATGACCTTCGAAAGCAAAGGTCTGGAGGGCAACCGAAGCGAGGATGTAGCGCTCAAAGTCCAGGTAGGCAACGAGGGTACCGGCCGAGGTCTCGACGGTGTCCGTGTACGTCGCCGCCACGCCCATGCCGGGAACCTCGCGTGTGGCAGTGGGGCACGTCCGGGGCAGCATCTCGAGCTGGCGGGCCGGGAACGCGTGGTAGGACTCGGCGTACGACATGGTTGTAGGACCAGTGACAGTGTTGGCGAAAAGCTGGTGGATGAGCTGCGCGCACTTGGCCGCAAGCACTGGGTGGAGCTGGATCATGGGAGGGGTGGTGTTGAGTTGCTCGAGAATCACTCCGAGACACGAGAGACGTGATGATGGCGACCGCGGGTCCTGAAGCCCAAGCTCGCGAGCACGGAAGTCGAACCCGAGGAGGAAATGGGCAATGTTGGGTGACGACGACTCGGCGGTTCCGTCAACAAGCAGGTCGAGAATGGTCGAGCGAATGACAACGGGCAGCGAGTCTGATGACTCGTCACCGCGGAGAACCTTCTTGGCCTCGGCCTCAACTTCTTCGGGAGCCAAGTCTTCGCCCTCGGCCTCGAGGCGGATGCAAAAGGCCTGGGCAATGCGGAGGCTCTCGTCGGAAGCGTCGATGATACCGGCAAGACGGTTCATGGCCTTGGAGTATTCGCCACGGAAAACGTCGGTACTCGAGAACAATGGGGACTGGGCGAGGGCGTAGATGATCTTGAGCGCGACAAATGAAACGGCCAAGTCGTCGTCACCGACCAGCAGGGCAATGGCCGTCACGTTGGACAGGTGGCTGAGGAGGTACTGGTCAATGGACTGGAAGCCCAGGGGACGCTTGAATCCAGACGACGACTGCAGCGTGAGGAGCAGAACGTCAGAAAAGACGAGCTGGACGTCGAGGATGCGGTGATAGAGGCGCAAAACATGGCCCAGGCACTCGGTAACAACCTTGGGACGCGAGCCGGCAAGGAGGTTGGCGTGATCCACAACGTTGGCGAGGGGTGCAAAGACGGCCGGGTCGGAGAGGAGGCGCAGCAGAACAAGGAAACCAGGCTGGTCGGCCAGGGCCTGCGCCGTGCCGCGCGCCGGGGTGAGGAGGTCGGTAAGGTCAAAGCACTGAATGGCGCGCTCAAAGAACGCAAGCACAGAGTCAAGAACCTCAAAGTACTCCTTTTGGTTCGACGTCTGGCGTATGCCTACGAGCACACGCTCCACCACATAGTCGATAATGTAGATGGCACCACGGCGGAGCGCATTGTTGACCTTTGGCTTATCCGAAGGGATGAGCGCGGTGAGGAAGCCAATGTATGCGCGAGTCAGAGGGTACGCGCCAACCTCTTGCTCGTTGTACTCCATGCGGGAGATCCATCCAATCGACTGCGGAAGTCGGGTCCCCTCGCGCACCTCCATGGTCGGGTCCGCAAAGCTAATGCTCTCGTACGCGGTGACAGCACGGGCAACGACGTCGTCGTCGGTCGAGTCGCCACGGCGCTTCACGAACGCGGTAATGGCCTCAAACACAGTGGCCTTGAGGTCGGCAGGGATGTCGCAGTTGACAAAGGCAAATAGAGTCTGGATGGGGTGGGGCTTTGGCTGGGTGAGGAGCGCGCCGCGAGCAAGGGCCGAGTCGCCAACAATGGTGGCCAAAAGTTTAGTCCAACCTTGTGCGACAAGGAACTCGTCCTCTTGCATGGGCTCACTCGAGGTCTGTCGGTTCGTCTTGACCGTCTCGACAAAATGGGGCATAATCTCGACGTAGTGCTCAAAAAACTTGAACAGCGACTGCCACGACAGGCGAGTGTCCTTGAGTTTTTCGTAGCACTTCGTTGCACACGCAGGACCGACCGAGATGGCGTTGATCATGTCCCAGAATGGCTGCGCCGGGTACATGGAACGCAGATCAAACGCGACGCCGGTAAACTGGGTTTCGTCCCACAGCTTACCGGCGCTATCTGGTGGCAGGTTGGTGTACACTGCAGCAATAAGGGAGAGGAAGGCCTGGTAGTTGGCCGAAGGTGGCGCCTGTGATGACCTGCGGAGCGACGTATCCTCTTCACGGTTCTTGATGATACGAACAAACCCGCGCTTGCGGGCAAGGTTGTGGACAAGGGTATCCAACTGGTTCAAAAGGAACTGGTCATTGTCTGCGTCGGAACGCGAGGCGAGCGCATAGGTCGGGTCCTCGGGTGTGGCGTGAAGCTGGTTGACGAGGCCAGCAATAAACTGGAACGCTCCGGCAGCGACACCGTCGTAGAGCTGCTTTTCGACCGAGCCGGGCTCGATACCCACGCTGGTTTGCAGCGACGGCTCCTCGGCCAATGCGGCGGTGAGGTACAAAGACCAGTGCACGCGGAGGGCTTCGCGGATGGGCTCGACAGCAAACGTCTCTCCAAAGATGATGTTGGTCACGACCGAATTCAACTTGCCGTTGGTCACGTAGGCGGCGACCGTCTCGATGCGGGCGTCCTGAACGTCTTCCTTGAACGAGTCGATTGGCGGGGTAGCAGCGAAGAAGGCCGCGAGCACGCTTGCAGCGACGGCGTCCGGTCTGGTGCACTTTTTCAACGACTTGACAATCTTGACGACCTGGCTGACCTTGAGAAGGCCGGAAATGGCCAGAGTGTCGAGAATACCGGCGAGACGGTTCTGCTCACCGCGCAGGGCGGCGACGCGGAAATTGACCAGCTCAAGGGCCGCTCCGGAGGCCTGGCTGCGAACTAGTGTCGCCAAGCGGGCCTGGATGGCGTCGATTTGGTCCGTCACAACGTCACCAACGTAGCCTCCAGCTCCCTTGTCGTCCAGCAGATCATACACCCAGACACGAAGGTCGTCAAACGGCTCGCCGGCCTCGGCTTCGGGCCCAACTGTCAGACGGAGGAGCTCCTTAACAAAGTCGAGAAGCGCCTGGAGTGCCTCGTGCAGCACATAGACTGCAATCTCGGGGTCGGAGCGCGATGGGAAGCGAGGACGAGCCTGGACGGCGCGGAGGGCAAGGATGGCGGCAAGGAGATGGGAGACGTTGAGGTTGTCGGCAATGGTGTTTGTCGTCACCAGAAGCTCATCGGTGATGCGCACCTCGGCGCCGTCTGGCGTGGCGATGGGGGAAGCCGAAATAAACTTCTTGTCCTCTTCATTGGGGGTTGGGAGGGCTGTGAGAGCGAGGATCCATGGGCGGGCCTCATCGAGCTTTGTAAAGAGACGGCGGACGAGGGAGGTTGTCGGTTGAGTTGCGACAAGTGCGAGCAGGGTCTGGAGCTCGGTAAAGAGGGAGGGATCCCACTGCGCGAGTGGGAGCCGCGACATGGTGGGCGCTCGAGAGTGGAGAGGAGAAGGGGAGGGGCTGGGGTAAGGGATGGAGACTGGGTGATGGTGAGAGGAGAGGCAGAGATGGCGAGCGCGAGCTGTGGTTGTTAGAAAGTCTCAACAACGGCGCATCAACCAAGCGCGGCGGGGGAGGGTGATAACAAACACGTGGTGTAAATGCGTGCATTACACGTCATAATTATCACGTGATCTGCACGTGCAAATCGCATGGGTGATTGACGGAATCAAATCCGCGCGTTGCCCGCGGCCCAAAGACAAACATATCAACAACTGTTGCTTGCAACTCACTGTAACATCCCCCACATCCACCTCCCTCTTTCAACACCACATCCACCTTTACAATGTCATCCAAGACCACCGGCGGAAAGGGCGGAAAGGCAAAGACCTCCTCCGAGACTAAAGTCCTCACTACTCGCTCTTCCAAGGCCGGCCTTCAAGTACGTGCACACCCAGTCGCGTCGCCACCCTGTAGACGATGCTGACTTCTGTCCAGTTCCCCGTCGGTCGTATCCACAGGTACGCGCGCACAGTCAACTGTACACCCATCTTCCTGACAACACTGCTAACACGGTCTTCAGGTTCCTCCGTAACAAGAACGCCAACAACATTCGCGTCGGCGCCAAGGCTGCCGTCTATGTCGCCGCTATTATGGAATACCTCACGGCCGAGGTCCTGGAACTTGCCGGTGCGTGCTATGACTCCTCTACCCTACAGCAAGGCTAAAGCATCCTTCTCACAGGCAACGCGGCCAAGGACCTTCGCGTGAAGCGTATCACCCCGCGTCACCTCCAGCTGGCCATCCGTGGTGACGAAGAGCTCGACCTCCTCATCCGGGCAACGATTGCTGGTGGTGGTGTCCTCCCGCACATCCACAAGGTATGTTGGCGTCTTCGCTGTCTTTCGTGTCTGTATACTCACCTCTTTCTCCCAGTCCCTCGTCTCCAAGGTTCCTCAGCAGGCCAAGCTCGCCAAGAAGGTCTAGCTCATGCGTGCGCGCCCCCTTCTTCTTCCTTGGACCGCGCGTGGTCCTGGGTGCTGTATTACCGCCGTCGTTTTTCCTCCTTCTTTTCGCCCCCGCTCGTGTGTATGGACAGTGTCTTCGTTTCGCTACTTTTCCCTCTTTATGCAGCCAATGCAGCTTTCTGCATAGTGTGCTGCGCAAGTGTTTCGTCTTGTTTAGATAGGTGACGGTAAAGTGACGTTTGCCTTCTCCAGCTCTGCGACGCGCCGTGCCATTATGCGCAGTCTGTCCCAGACAAACGTGCCGTTCCACAGTTCGTGGCCGCCAGGACTGGTAGTAAGGGTAGGTAGTCCGCGCTGTTCAATGGCAAACGACGCCGCCGTGGACCCGTAGATTGACGCTGGCAGTTAGCGCGTTTCCCTTGCCGAGCTTTTGCCGTTCTGCACGAGCTTACTTACCTGCGCGGTGGTCGCCGTCTGTTAACAGCAGACCCGCAAGCAGACCACCCATGAATGAGTTGCCGCCGCCCGTGACACCAACGACGTGCGCCTCTTCGCCTGGCTGCCAAAAGGCGGGCACCCACCCCGTCCAGTTGGCCGAGAGGGTAAACGCGCCTTTTTCACCGGCACGCACGACAATGGCCGGTACGGGTCCGGGTGAGGCAGCGAGGTGGCCGTGGAACATGCGTGCACACGTCTCGACGTCCTCTTCGTCCTCGTCGAGAATTGTCTGCAGCTCGAGGTGGTTTGGGCTAACGTTAGTGAGTGGTGTTTTCGCCATCACATACCTGAAAACGGCGAACCTCCGAGCCAGAGCAATGTATGCCGACACTTTTGGTCGTTGATCTGGGGCAGCGGGCTTGTCGTCAGCCATCACCAGAGGATATTGTGAGCTTACCCGAACCAGTGGCTCCCATGCAAGCTGACCCTTCCACCCGTCCCTCCGGCATTGGTCGGCGTCATCGAGAATGTCTCCGGCGCGGCTGATGTCACACACGACGTGGATCCATTCTGGCGGAGGAGACGTGAACGGGCTGGGAGGGGCAGTGTAGTCGTGGGGCCATAGGTGGAGCTGGGGTGAGATGTACTTGAAAGACTGATGTCCTTCGCTGGTCAGGTTGTCAACGGTTGTACTCTCAAGGTTGTACTCTGACAGCGAAACGAACCCAATCTTCCTGCCCGTGTACTGGTTGACAGCCCGAGTGGTTTGTCCGTCGCGCGGCCGAAACCATACTGTGTCGCCCAGGACGTTGAGCTTGTCACGAAAGGCTGGGCTGAGGTCTGGCCCGACATCGGCGATGAAGGCGACGTGGGTTGCTGGGAGGAACATGCGTGCCGAGCTCGTTGCGTAGACTCCCCCACCGCCCAGCTAACGATGACGAGTGAAGAACACGAGGACATTGTATTGAACAATAAGTACGGTGGTGAGTAGGGAGTTAGGCGCGACAAGGAAAGGACGTGATGTCTCAGCATGTACCGTCTCGTCGGAAAACTAGAGTTTACTTACAATCTCGGCGTCTGGCAGCGGGACGGGGTTGCCTTGGTCGTCCCGGACTTCAAAGTGGTCGATGATGAGCATGCCTGGAGCGGCGTCAGCGTGGACATTGTCCCCGTCAGTGGTGCTCACCGAGGGTGGCTACCCTGCCGCGACCTGCGAGGGCCTCCTGGGGAGGGGGTTGGAAGGCGGCCATCCGAGGTTGAGAGAAGGAGGGCGAATTGGGTGGAAATGAAAAAGACCGGGAGCAGGAATGACGTTGTGACAACCCGACAACAAACCCCCGCTCTTGGCTCTGCTGTGAGATGGTGCCGACGCTAGATCCGGCGTGTGGCCGCCGTGTGTCGTTTACACCATCGCTCACTGGCTCTCACTGGCCACTGGCCCCAACAACCAACATCGCCAGACGTGACCCAACACCGCCCTCTCCGACGCCGAAAACCAGCCTCCAGCACACCTCTGACCGGCAACTCGACGTCTCCCCTTTCTGGGTGGCAACAAACGACTCCTGCGGTTCCCACCGATATCTCTCGCTGGCTCCACACTTCCATCCATCCACACACCTTCCATCCATTCTTCTTATCCACCATGCCACCCCTCGCCAAGGGCAAATCCAGACCCCTTCGCGACCCCGCACTCGAGCGCACAGCTGCCGCCATTGCCGCAGAGCGCACACCCCTCCTGCACAACGGGGTGGACTCGGAGTCTTCTTCCACCTACTCGGCAGAGTACACCGTCGACACTCCCGCAACAGGACACTCACATCGACGTACACGGCGCTTTGCAGTGCTTGCTGTGGCCGGATCCCTCATTCTGGGGTTGGCCATATTCATAACACTCATCCTCGTGGCCTCGTTGATTCCCGATAAGACAGACCAGGCCCACCTCCAGTCGGCGTTCAAGTACATCGACCCGCAGGTCGACATTCTCAACGTTAAAGACGACGGCGTGCATGTCAACGTCACGTTCCATGGAGCAGTCGATGTCAACGTTGCCCTGAGACTGGACGACAGCAAGGATGCTTCATGGTGGCAAACCCTGCGTCGGGGAACGGCGCACGCAGTCCTCGGTGTGCTACCAACACAGGCCGTCCACGTCAACGTCCCCGAGGTGCTCCTCTATGCGGCCACAGGAGCCAGCGTTGGTCTTGACAACCTGCCCCTTTTGAACGTGTCTCTCCCCGGCCAGGTCGTCGTCCCACTCACCCACGGCGAGCTTTTACCGCTCTCGATCGAGGCGGTGGGTACACCCGTGGCACCGGTCGGTAAGCTGTGGACATGGGGACAACACGTGTGGGCAAACGGGACACTCGATGTTGTGATCAGCGTGCGCGAGGCCCAGGCATCTGTCCCCGGCGCATGGTGGAGCCAATGGGCGACAGTCACTCAACGCGACCTGTCGGTCCCTCTGCAAATGCCAGGTAAGTCACAATCGCGCCCCCGCCCCACCCGCCTGTCTCCCTGCGCGTGCTGAGACTGCCAAAGTACCCCGCTCCTTCCAGCTCTAACGGCCCAGTGCCTGCCGTACCCAATTTCCCCCCACCCGGCCGGCCTCTCAACCTCACGCGACTGGTGACACTTCACGAGTACGCCTTGTCCAACAACGCGGGCGGTATCAAGATTGCAGCCACCGCTTCTGTCCCCAACCCATCTCTCCGTTCCGTCCCGTTTGCCCTTCCGTTTGCAATCCTCGTCGAGGGGACGACCATGGCCCAGGTAGTCGCCCGTGCGTCGCGAGTGACTACCAGCACTATTGAAATCCAGCTCAGCGGAGACGTGTCCACGCTGGCCAACAGCGAGCCCCTCAACAACTTGCTCCAACACTACCTCCGGGGCGAAGGTAGTCCCATCACCGTACGCGGCCATGGTGCGATGCCACATGGTTACGAACACTCCGACATCCCGCCCCCATGGGTCCTGAAGACGCTCCCCTCTCTCTCCGTTGACCTCGAGTTCCCTGGTCCTAACCCCAAACCCGAGATTGTGAAACAAGTCACCATCGAGGGAATGAAGATTGGTGAAGCCAACGGCCAGATGATCGCCAGCGGGACCGTGGTCGCCGACGTGGAGTTGCCACGCGGGTTGGAGCAGATTCATATCAACGTCACCGCCATCAAACCAGACGTCATGGTATCGGATGGTGTTGAAGATGACCAAGGGGGCGACGAGTACGACCCCGAGAACCCCCCGCCAAAGGCATTTGGCCGCATCTCACCCGACGTCTTTCTCAACTCTACGACTGAGCCCGGTACGGACCCCAACCGACCAGACATTCTCATCGTTAGAGCACCTTTTACGGACTTGGCACTCGATGTGCTCCCCGGGCGCGACGGCATCTTGCGCGGCTTTGTTAGCAAAGTCGTGTTCAAGGGCGGTGCCATGGCGGGCATAGGTGGGGTGGCTGACATTGAGGCCGATCTGTTCAGTGGTGGTTTGCTCCAAGTCGGCGGCCTGCCTGTGCATGGCGAGTTCTGGGTTAAGCGCTGAGAGGGAGGGGGGAAACGCTGTACATTGTCCGTCTGTAGAAGCATTGCATGTTGTGTCACCGTGAGCCACACGGTACAGAGTCGGTCCGAGCGAAGACTGAAACGAGTCACCACGCCCACTGCCAGTCCATCGACCGCACATCACTGGTGGATTACTCAATTTTGTGCACACAATAGCTGCCGACAAGCCTTTTGTCCAGTGACAGGACACGTAATGCACTGGGAGCGTCACGCTGTCGGGCTGTACGGCTGTCCTCGTCGCGGTGGGGGGACACAACAGCCACCGAAGAACAATAGGAAACAATTAACAATAGAGCCAATGCCACGTGGGGGGTGCTGCGGGAAATACCAATTCTCACCTCCCATCTGTTATCATACCCAAGCGGAGCCCCCATTGCTGTGGCTTGGGCTGGGGCTGGGGGGCGATGCGTGCGTGCTGTCGTGCCGCCGGCTGTGGGACCAAATGCTTGCCAGGAAAAGGGAAACGGTGGGCGGGAGGCGGGGGTGGACAGAACAATAGGTCGATCCGGTTCTCGCCGGGGTTCGAGAGACGCCGAGAGAAATTCGCCGTCGTCGTGCCACCGCCGCCGCTCGCCAGCCTGGAAATGACGTCGCGCGCGAACGCCAGAGCGCGAAGGGGTGTCGGCCCGGGTGCCTGCGGGCGGGACATTGGGAAGGGTGCTAGAGGACAATGGTGCGGCGGGGGATGACAGCCATGTTGCGTCCACTGGCCGACCATTGCAATCATTATTGTGTCGAGAGGGAACCAGGCGCTTCAGTGGGCCGGTGTGGCCGGGAATCACTAACTGTTGTTGTTGGCTGTACCGCGAGGCCTCCCGATGCGTTGCGTGCCGTGCTCACCGCAGCTATAAGAGACGCGTTAGTCGACGGCGTCTCACCCTCCATTCCAACAACAGTAACCCAAACAGCCTCACCACCACCACCACACACCACCACTCCTCATCCCCCAACAGAACTTGTCAACAATGTTCCCCGCCATGTCCCGCACTGTCGCCTCGGCCGGTCTCCGTACCATCCCCCGTGCTATGCCCCGCGCCACTTCGCTCTCTATGGTTGCTCGTCGCAACGCCTCGACTGCTGCTGGCAAGAAGGTCCCCCAGGGCGCGGAGGAGTTTATGCCTTTCATGAAGGGTGAGTCGGAACATGTTTATGGCCTGCTTGATCATACGCTGACATGTCCTGTAGCCTTCCCAGTTGATGTTTACCCACTCGTCGCGGTCGTCACTGTCGCCTGCACCGGTTCCGTCTACATGTGCATCAAGCACCGTGAGTACTTTGGTTTCCTTGAGGCAACTTCAGAAAGCTGACCCTTCAGTGACCACCGACAAGACTCTGCGCCTCAAGCCCTCGGGCGGCAGCCACCACTAGGTTATTTGTATCGGGTATTAGCATTTAGAAGAAGGACGACAACACGAAGAGAGACATCAGAGCAGAGGCCCCACACCCGTGCATGTATATTTTTATGAGGCATATAACACAAAGGAAGCAGTGGAGTGGATAGGGCCGCAGCAAAGGCGGCAGTGTCGAGTTCCTCCCTCTCATAATCCTTTACGGGCCAGCTGACACGGATTGGCTCGGGCCGTCTCCATCAGACAGACGTTCCCAGCCAGGAGGATTGAGGGCGGCTCGAGCGTAGCGGTCGCAATCGATCCACCACACATTTCGGGGCGAAAAAGTGCCACTGATTCGGGGGGAGAGCTTTGCGTGTCTTTCACACCTCGCGCTTCTGTGTACTTGCTGAGCCAATTCGTGCCATAATAACATTCCCCGGGGGTCAACTCAGCGATTAAGGCCGTCATGCACTAGGGAATGTCCTCGTTGTCCTTGTCGGTGGAATCGAAGCAGACCTCATGGAGTTGGATATTAAATAATATTTCGCACCTCCCTCCATTCCTCCTTGTCTTGTGGCGATCCTCTCAGTGGGGGACCTGGGCTGTGTTGAAGAGAATTCAAATGGAGATCATGGTCGCCCTTGACTAGGCCTCATTTGGACATATCCACTTCATCATAGCTCACAGATCACCTACGAGTCCTAGAAGGTCATAATCATCATACCTAATGGGTACAACATTGTGGGTTTCGGGAATCGACGAGAACCCACCGCCCCTACCCGCTGCCACTTCAACAAGAGTGTGAAAGAAGAAGATCTATCGATCTATTGGCGACCGTTAGACATCAGGGACGCGTGGAAGAGGACCGAGGAGGAATTGCCTGCCAACATCGGCCAATTCCGACCACACCGCGATGTCATGTCCCATGTAGGTTTTGGTCAGCGTCCCTTGCCATTCTGAATCTGTTCTTGTCATGGTTCTGTATTATCAGCCAATGGTTCTCTGATGTATTGTGACAAGAAACCTCCCGGACTGTACCGGAGGCGGAAAGCCTGGAACCCGGTCTGTTGAATGAACACAACTCAACTAGCACTCTCTGGGGGTGTTCAGGTCTCTGGTCGGGTTTCGGACATGCCTGGTGGCCTGAAACGCATGCAGGTGGCAGTGATGACGTTGCCAGAAGCTTTCGTTCGCTTTGGGAGCCGCGAGTCAGCTGCTCAGAATCATCACGAGTGTTGTCACGATCACTGCACAGCCTCTCGGCCCAGGGCCGGGTATGCTCCGAGGGAATGGAACAAGCTTAGTTGACAGGTCCCACCTATGCCTAACATCCTTCGGAGCCGACATATCGGCTGCATCGTTCGGAACGGGCATTGACTTGTGTCGTGGAGCGCGTCAGGTGTACACGTGTGCTTCAGGAATGCGGCGCGGGTGTTGGGCCGTCGTGTGCGTCTTCAGCGGATCTGAGGGTAACGTCAGAAGATCCCCGGTTTTGGTAGTCGAACCATAAATGACCGATGGGCATGTTGTTGCTTTTGAGACCCGGCAGTGGACCCGCTTGGCTCAGTCTCTATTTAGCACACGCTTGTATACAGCGCCGAGGCTGTGCCAGTGTACTGGCGTCCCAGTCTCTCACTTGTCTCTCACTTGTACCGATGAGAACCGACGAGAACCAACAACATCAACTTCTTTTTGTGAGACAGGACTGTACCGCCTCGGGCGTCCTTACAAATAACGTTACGACTGCAAGTGACAAGTGACTCTACTCCCATCTTCTCGCTCACCTTACTCCAAAACCATGAAGTTCTTCCTTGTTGCAGTCCTCTACGCCGCTCTCGCCTCGGCTGCGTTTGTCAGGATCCACCCGAACGGCAACAACAACAAGTGCGTCGGTGTTGTTCCCAACGTCCACCAGCACCTGCGGGGCGTCACCATGTGAGTATCTGCTCTTCCTTCGGGGTCGACGCGGTGACCAACAAATATTCTCAGCCAGACGTGCAACAGTAGCAACCCAGACCAGCAGTGGAACATCAACTGTGGCGCCACGTATGTTTACGGTGGCATTGGGAGCATCAAGTTTGGCGACAACCCGTCGTACTGCATGACCGGTGGCGAAGGTGAGTCTTCTCGAGTCAGCAGCCACCCTTTTGCTGTATCTAACTTTGCGTCAAGGCCTCACGCACACCTGGACTGGAGGTGGCAACGGCAATGGCATCTCGTTCCAGTACTGCGCGCAGGGCGACATCGGCCAGTCGTGGTGGTACACTGACGACGACCGCATTGCCATCGAGGGCAAAGGGTTTTGTCTTGACCTGACAAACGGCGACTTGACCGATGGCAACATGCTTCAGCTCTGGCAGTGTTCGACTGGAAACACGAACCAGATCTGGACCACGACCAAGGTCTAGGCAACAGTCACCCTCCAACCCGCGCAAATCCAAAACCAATCCAAAGCGTACCCCAAAACGAAGTGACGGACAATAGCGAACAATGAGCCCAAATGAGCCCCAGGACAATGATGTTCCGTGTATATAACATTTGAATTGCGTTCAAGCATGGCCACCCCGTCCATGCAAACATATGCATGTCCCTTATGAGCGTCTCCATAGAAGGCCAAAAGGCCATACCATACGCCGGTCGGCCCGCCACAGCATGCAATCAAATAAAACACACGTCATTTTTTGGCTGGGGCGATCGGCGCTCGCTGCTCGCTTCGTCACTGAGTGACGCGTTGGCTGTTGGGGGTCGCCGGTCGTCATCGTGCATCTTGTCGTCGCTCCGTCTCCCGTCTCTCTCTGTCTCTCCCTCTCCTTCTTCTCCGCAACAGCGTGTGAGTCTCTCATACTATTTCCAGCAGCAGCTGACATACATAGATTCTAGAGCACAATGGCCCAGGCGCAGCAGCCGCAGGGCCTCCACTCGCTCAGCACGATCCTGTAAGTTGAACATCTCTCGCGTCGTCCGCACAGCAACTGACCTCGGGCGCAGGAAACGTCTTGAAGGTGGGTTATCTTTGCGATAACACTTGCAGTGCATACAAGTGTGGACTGTGGCGCTCGCTTCTGGGCTATTGTAAACATGGACGCACCACATGTCTCTGCCCTCTGCACGGCACCGTTAGCTAACTCGTTCAGCCGTTACGTCCCGCCTCGAGGACGTGGCCATCTCGCAGCAGTCGGCCGCCGTTAGCGCGTCCCTCCGTACTCCTACTGGCGGCACTCACGACGGTCTCGCCGGCGTCATCGCCCCTGCCGGTGCTGGTGCTGCTGCCGGCGCAGCTGCGGCTGCAGCGACGGACGCATCCAAGTCCGGTGGTGCTCCCCCTCCTCCTCCCCCTCCTCCGCCTCCCCCTCCCCCCGTTGTCGAGGAGGAGACTTTGACGCCCGCGGTTCAAGCCTACACCACTGACATTGTCGATGGCGCGCTCGCCGAGTTTACTGCGGCGGCCCAAAAGGTCGGCGGTCCTGTCGAGGAGCACGTAAGTTGCTGTGGCAGCCAGCTGGCCCGAGTTTGATTACTCTGCTCACACCACCCTAGTCCAAGCTCGTTCCCAAGCTCGTCGACGCTCAGTATGCCTACCTCAAGATGGCGTCTGGTGTCCAGAAGCCTACCGGTGCTGCCCTTCCCGGCCTCCTCAAACCCCAGGCTGACGCCATTGGCGCGATCATGGAGGCCAAGGACAAGCTTGGTCGCACCAAGGAGGGCCGTGACTGGGCCGAGGCTTTCAGCGTGCTCGCCGAGGGTGCCGGCGCATGGGGATGGGTGCAGGTTGAGCCTGCCCCGGCACCCTACGTCGGTGAGATGAAGAATGCGTCGCAGTTCTGGGTCGACCGTGTCATCAAGCGTCACAAGGACGCCAAGCCCGACGCTGTTGCTTGGGCTCGCTCATTCACGGGTCTCGTTGACGCGCTGCAAAAGTATGTCAAGCAGTGGCACACCACCGGTGTCGCCTGGAACCCTCAGGGGCCCGTCCCCCCTGCGACTGTCCCCTCGGCCACGGCTCCCCCCCCGCCCCCTCCTCCCCCCGCTGCTGCTGCTCCCTCGTCGGGTGGTGGTGGCGGCGGCACTGCGGCTCTTCTCGCCGACCTCAACAAGGGCGGTGCCATCACCTCGGGCCTGCGCAAGGTCGACTCGTCGATGCAGACGCACAAGAACCCCGAGCTCCGCGCCGGTGGCACTGTCCCTGACACTGCTCAAAAGACATCGCCGCAGCGCGCGTCCCCACCCCCCATCAAGGCCAAGCCCTCGGCGTTTACCAAGCAGCCGGCCAAGAAGCCCCCAAAGCTCGAGCTCGAGGATGGCAACAAGTGGATTGTCGAGTACCAAGAGGACAACCGCCAGATTGAGATCACCGACACTGCGCTGCACCACACTGTTCACATCTTTGGATGCAAAGACTCGGTTATCCGCGTCCACGGCAAGATCAACGCGGTTACGATGCTCAACTGCAAGAAGACGTCGCTCATCGTTGACGCTGCCGTTTCGAGTCTCTCGATCACCTCGTCCCCGAGCTTTGAGGTCCAAATCACTGGTTTGGTACCCACAATCCAGATTGACACGACCGACTCGGGTCAGGTTTACTTGTCCAAGGAATGCCTGGACACGGTCGAGATTATCACTTCGAAGACTTCGGCGCTTAACATTTCCATCCCCACCAGCGACGAGGGCGACTACAAGGAGACCCCCGTACCCGAGCAGATGAGGTCCAAGGTCGTCAACGGCAAGCTCGTTACGGAGATTGTCGAGCACGCCGGTTAAAAGGACGTATATACCTGTATGCAGTTGTAATGAGGGGCGGTAACGTGAAACGTGTCCGGATCACGAATGCATGATGGTGGCCAGAAGTGTATCTCTACTTGTCTCTCTTGTTCTTGTCATAGCTACAGGCATCCCTCTGCTCCTAAAGAAACTCTCCAAAGTCATTCTCTCGCGTTTGATAACTCCCGCTTAAACTGCACCTGCAGCGCGGAAGAGGCTGACCTTCTTGTCGTCACCAGCGACTGCAAACTGCTTGCCCGGAGCCAGCGAGCCCTCATACTCGGCCTGCCAGGCAAAGCCCCACACCTCGGCGTCCAGGTTGTTGGTGCTCACACACGAACGCTGGCCCACGTCCCACAGCTTGACCGTAGAGTCTGCGCCACTGCAAAAAGTGTCAGCTACACATTTCGACGTTGGCGAATAGCCTTTGACTCACCCGCTGCCCAGCAAGCGGCCATCGGGGCTCGCAGCCATTGACAGAACCCATCCGTTGTGACCCTGCATGATGGCCACGGCTCCTTCTCCTTTGGCGCCCGAGGTGCTTCCAGCGCGGACGTCGTGCAGGACAATACGCGCATCGTCGGCGCCAGTGTACAGCCACTGGCTGTCGGGCGACCACGCAAGCGAGCGGACGGTCATGGCGTGCGCAGAGTATGTGGCCACGACCGACTTGGTCTCGACGTCCGCGACAACGACGTGGCCGGTCTCGAGTCCGACGGCGACTTGGGTTCCGTCGGGGGACTGCGCGTTAGTCTGTGGCTACATGTTTTGGGTCACTTACAAACTCGACAGCCATGCCAAACTTGCCCTTGACAGTGTCCACTACGCTTCCCGAGCCGGACAGAGCATTGCTGGGCCCAGCCTGGGTGGCCTGCTCGCCATCTTCGTCTTGCGTCTCGGCGTCGGCGGCTTCGAGCGCAGCCGTGTCAATGGAGCGAATGGCGAGTTTGGAGCCACGTCCAGTCCATGCCCAGCACGCTGCAGTGGGGTGGATCGCAGCAGCGTACGCCGCGAGCTCTGCAGAGAGCCTGTCAGTAACGTCGCTGTTGGCGCCCTCGTTTGGCAACTCACCACTCTCGCCGGGAGCGACGCCTTCACGGCCCGTCTCGACCTTGCTGCTCAGACGACCACGGCCGACGTTGACCAAGGCTGCGGTTCCATCCAGGCTAGCGGCGAGGGCCCATTTGCCGTCGCGCGTGGACGTGAGCGAGCCGACGGCGAGCGGGAGGGCCGGCAGCTCGTTGAGGGGCAAGGCCAGGTCGGCGGGGTCGTGCAGGCGGACAATACCGTCGGCACCGCCAGAGACAAGGCGGTCACCGGCCCATGTCAGTGCCCACAGAGCATCCTTTTGCACTGAGAAGGGTTAGCATGTCGGTTGTCAACAGAAGGCGGGGAAGGCAGGGAAGGCGGCGACTGGGGGAACGCAGGAGGTTGTGGGCGGATAAGCACGACATACCGGGTGTTGTTTCTTGTGGGAGGTAGACGAGAGACTGTATGTTAGAGAGACCTGATGCGGCGAGCTCACCATTGCTGTGGCTGTTGATTATGGACGAGTGGATGATGATGGTTAATGATGATGATGTCCGTTCGAAACAACATGAAAATGGCCACAGGCGCGCTAACGGTGGAAGGCGCGCGACATGCGACGACCTCCACTTGTTCGCCGTCGATGCCGCCGGTCCGACGCCGGTACGCCGGCGAGGAGTGAGGAGTGCATGAACGACAGTGACGAGCAGTGTTTGCTGCATTGTTCACGTATCTCACACACACACATCTCTTTAGCAATGCCCTGGCAGAAGACATTGTGGGTCCCCATGGGCTGACCGACTAAGTGGCTCATCATCTCTAACACCAGCCGCTTGCCGTTCCACAAGAAGGGCATGCACCTCGTCACCCGCGACGTCGTCCGCGAGTGCGAGGAGGGGCTCAAGGACGTCAAGATCGGCATCTTCACTCTTAACTGTCTGCACACGAGCGCCGGTCTGACGGTGAGTACGCGATCATGTGTGTTGCTGACGACCAGGTGAACGAAAACTGCGACCCGTGAGCCACATCTAGTCCCTCGATCCCTCTCCATCTGACGCCCAACTGCAGCTCGGTCCGCACAGGTATGTCATCTAGATGGCTGATGATGGCTTTCAGCTGACACCTCACAGACATGGACATGGCTTTGGACCGTATCGTCCCAGAGGACTTTCCGTGGGAGCACACCGACGAGGGACCCGAGTGAGTCCACCGCTCTCCTTCATGGCGCAGCTCACCCGTCCGCAGTGATTCAGTGTCCCACCTCAAGACCTCGCTTGTGGGCAACAGCATCACCCTCCCCATCTCCAATGGCAAGCTTGTCCTTGGCACATGGCAGGGAATCTACCTGGCCGAGTTTAGGGTATGCCTGAGCCACAAGCCGATATGTTGCTGACAGATATAGTACTCGGGCAGCGGATGGGGCGGTCGTGAAGATGGGCGAAAGGTCGTTGCCACTATCCTGTGAGTGAATTTTGCTCCCAGGCTACCACTGCCACTGACACTGCAGCCCATGATTGTATATGGTGATGAATAGAATAGAGCGCACCTCCTCTGGGAGTGGCCTCGTGATGTACATTTGCTGCGGCTTGGCTTCCTGCTCCCCTCTGCCTGGATCCCTGGCCGCGTCTATGGGCTTGCAGTTGCAGTCTTCTGTTTCTTGGTCCGCGACGAGACCTCCTCGGCTGCCGCGGCGCGTTCCTACCTCTTGGCCGTCTTCTTGCTCCTGTTGACCGGAGCTGGCACTTGTCCTTCCCAAGTGACTCGACCATCGCCTTGCCACTGGGCCAGGAGCCACTGGCGGCAGTCGTCTGCGGTTGCTGATGGGTGGTCAAGCTGCCACTCGTTGATCGCGCGCATGATGACGGCGAACAGTGGGCTGGGCTTGATCTCTAGCAGAGCCTGCACTTGCTTGCCCTGAGAGTGCGTCAGCAAAACTGAAACAACACACGAGACAACTTACATCAACAATGGGGTGCTGGTCAATAGCAGCTGGCAGACCGAGCTCCTCGATGTGGTCGCGGAACCTGAAAAATGTTGAAAGAACCTCGTCGTGCTCGCTGGTCCACATACCCTTCCAGGTGGGGAGGATGCGCATGACAACGGCCCATACAAACGACTGGCACCAGGGCCGGACCGCCGTGTTCTGGAGAACTATACCGATACGCGAGCGGCCTTCGAGCGAAGGGTCAAGCATCTTGGCAGCGTCAAAGAGGTGTGCGACACCATTACGGTGCTCGGTACTGAGCTTGAGTCCCTCTGCCATGATCGCGGAAACGGCAGGGACTGGCTTTTTGCCTGGAACCTCTGCGTCGCGGTAAGGGCAAGTGGCGGCAGCAAGCCAAAGCAGCTCGGTACCCTCGCCGGCACCTCGTTCAATGGCCGCGTGGAGAATCTCGGCGGCGGCAAGGGCCTCGGAGCGGGGGTGAGGAGGTGGGACGGAGCAGGTGAACATGGGCTCGTGCAGGCCGAGCCTGTGGATGAGCTGGATGGCGAGGAGGGGGTTCTTGTGCATCATCTTTGTAGTCTCGATACCGACGCGCTCTTTGGACACTTTGGACTGGAGCGCGGTCTGAATGTCGGCGTCTTTGATGGCGGCCTCGACGCTGGGCTCAATGGCGAGGTCAAACCTGCTGGCAAAGCGGACCGCACGGAGGACACGGAGCGGGTCGTCCAAAAAGGTCTGGCGTGGGGGCAAGGGAGTGCGTGCGACCTTGTTCTTCAAGTCTTCGAGTCCATGACGAGTCCAGTCTTCGACCTGGCGCGAGTGGACGTTGAAGAAGAGCGAGTTGAGGGTTAGGTCACGGCGCTCTGCGTCCTCCAGTGGAGTGCCCAGCTGGACCTGGTCCGGGATGCGCGAGTCGCTGTACGTCTCGCTGCGGAGGCCCACAAAGTCGCACTCGAGGTCCATTACGCGCGTCGTTCCCGTCTCCAAGTGTTTGCTCTGCTCGGGGTTGGCGGCGACACGTCCAACCGAGCCCGTCGTGACATTGTGGGCGTGGAGAAAGTGGGCAAAGTCGACGGCAAACTGGTATCCCGATGTGGTAGAGAGCGCGACATCAAGGTCGTGCGAAGGCAAATCCAGCAGCTTATCGCGTACCCACCCTCCTGCGATGCGGCACTCGATGGGCGGCTGGAGAGAACGGGCAAACTGGTCGAGGAGTTGGACAAATTTCTCCTCCTTGTCGTTGAGGTGGATCGAGCCCGGCGGCGCGTAGAGGGGCGATGTGGCTGCGGTGGACGAGCTCATCATGCGTGGCCGGGCTAGACGGGTGTAGGCAATGGTGCAGCTACGGAGGGTGCGTAGCATGCAATAATAAAAAAGAGAGGAGATGCAGAAGCCAAACGGTTGCAAGAACACGGCACAGTCCGTGTTAAAACGCAAAATGCGGGGCTCGGAATGCGGGTCAACGTGTAATCAGATGGCGAGCAACCCACGTCTCTCAATGTTGTTCACTGCACACCACCCACTGGACCACACCATCCCCCACCATGAACGAGCACAACCTCCTCATCGCCCTAGACCGCATCAAGTTTTACGCACGCGATGCTTTGGTCACTGTCACACAGGTCCGTAACCATGCTACTAGCTACCCCACACACCATCTGGGGTCTCGGAACAACCACTGACACCGCTCCAGTGTATCTGCAGGCCGTGAGAAACTCGGTCCCCCGGACACCCAGATGCATGGCTAACGCTCCAGCGACGCGACGCTCAAGATCAATGGACGCCAGTTCAAGGTTGAACGCCTGCTGGGCGAGGGCGGCTTTTCGTTTGTCTACTTGATCCGCGACACGTCGAGCGGCCGCCTGTTTGCCCTCAAAAAGGTCATCATCATGACTGGGCAGGAAGGTGTCCAAGCCGCCATGCGCGAGATTGAGGCCTACCGTCGTTTCCGTCACCCCAACATTATCAAGCTGTTCGACTCTGCTGTTGTACAGGACGAGTCGGCTGACGGCAAGATCATTTACATGTGCGCAGCAGCGGCAGCAACATCAGCACAGGCTGGCTCCATGGCGCCCGTGCAAGCAAGGCCTTTTACTGACGGCCACACAGGTTCCTTCCTTACTACACCCACGGCAACCTGCAAGACCTCATGGCGCAGGTATCGGTGACTGGAAACCGCGTCGAGGAGGACCGCTTGCTGCGTATGTTCCACGGCACGTGCCTTGGGTGAGTGGTGGTGCTTTTTGCTGTGCAGCAGCAGCAGCACACACACCCTGGCCAACTAGCTAACCACATGTTGCAGCGTGCGCGCCATGCACCAGTACCGCCTCCCTGCAGTCAACGCGACATACCCGCCCCAACGCGATGAGGACCCCCTCATGCCCGACGAGCTTGTGTTTGACGCGCCAGAGGACGAGCCTGGACAAGTTGGCGAGCTGGTCCCCTACGCTCACAGGGATATCAAGCCGGGTAACATCATGCTCGCCGACGACGACACGCCGATCCTCATGGACTTTGGCTCAACGATCAAAGCGCGCATCGAGGTTACCACTAGGCAACAGGCGCTGCTGGAGCAGGACATTGCGGCCGAGCACTCCACCATGCCATACCGCGCACCCGAGCTCTTTGACGTCAAGACGGGCAAGACGCTTGACGAAAAGGTCGACATTTGGTCTCTCGGGTGCACCCTCTTTGCCGTCGCATATGGATTCAGCCCATTCGAGACGGACGGCAGCTCGCTTGCCATGGCCGTCATGTCGGGCAGGTACCGACACCCGGGAGGCTACTCTGAGCGTCTGACCAAGCTCATTGACGCCATGCTCGTTGTGGACCCAGAACAACGACCCGATATCCAGCAGGTAAGAAGACCAAAACAAAAGAGAGAGAAATTACACAGATACAAGAAAATACTTCTATTGACACTCGCCAGGTCCTTGATCTCACCGAGGCCGCCATGCGCCATTCATAGTCCCCAATAGCTACCGCCAGAGGAATTCGCGAGCGGGAGAGTGCTGGATTGGGAAGCGGCTCGGCCCCGGATTGATGCCTCCACGGGACTGGGGATAGGTTGAGTAGACGAATGGGGCTGGAGCAGGAACAGGAGCAGGAACCGGACGAGCAGCTCCAGGCGGGGAAGGCCGCGCTTGACGAGCCATGTATTGTGTAGACCGCGAGCGAGCGAGAGATGGGTGTTGGTCAAAAAACGGTGGTGGCGGTTTAGGCATTGGGCTGTGCGCGTTGCCGCCGTTCTGGCGCTGATGCTGGCGGACACGGCGTCGACGATCCATCTCGTGTTGGATTTGGACGGCAGTGTACTCGAGGTCCATGTCCTCCAGCGTCCGCGGGTTGAATACGTCGAGCTCGTCCAGGTTGGCCCTCCGGCCGAACGGTGTATCCAGCGTACCAAGCGGCGGCTCCCAGTCGTCAACGTAAGGGGAGCGACCCGGGAAGATGAACGGCGGCGCGTTGTATGAGGGCGGGCGACGCGGAGCCGATGCCGACTGACGCCGCACATGCTCGCGTGCACGTTCACCACTGCGGGCAAACGACGCTTGGGCAGCCTGTGCGGCTTGTTCTTGTGCAGCAAACCAGCTGTCATGGTCGAACCCCTCCATGTTATTGCCACGGGCGTGACCACCGGGTCCCATCCGCTCCGCCGCCATCGGCCCAAACCGCCGCAGGTAGTCGTCGTGGAAGCGAGCCTGTGCGTGCATCTGAACCATTTCCTCCCAAGTCCGGGGTCCGTTTGCCCTGGTCGCAGAGGCTGGGTGGGGGACGGGGGAGGCCTGTTGGAGGTCATACTCGGCGCGTTGCTCGGGGTCGGACAGGATATTGTAGGCGACTGTGGGCCATCATCAGTACCAATACAGGGTCACAGGAGCCGCCGGACGGGTAAAATGATAACAACCACCCACCTGCAATGCACTTGAACCGCTCCGTGGCTGCCTCGCGGTTCTTCTCGTCTACCTTGTCTGGGTGAGACTCGAGTGCGAGCGAGCGGTATGCTTTACGGACTGGGAACTGTCAGGCTATTTTGTGTCTGCTGCTGCCGGCCCTTGCCACTCACTCTCTACTGTTGTTGCCGCAGTGTCCACTCCCAGCACCTCGTAGTGAGACCGTGTTGGGGTCATGGGATCTGGTGGGGGTCTTGATGGCGAGGAGGATGGCGACGGTAGTGGGGGTAGCGGGATGGGTGGATGTGGTGGGATGGCACCCCCAAACGGAGGAAAGAGGGGAGGAGGAGGAGGGCCTCGAAAGAAGAACAAGCTAGGCCCAGGCGGTGTAGGACCTCCTGGAGTGACGATGGGGCGATGGTGGAGGGGGTGGAGCATGTGGTGGTGCGGGGGAGGACCTGTGGGTGGCCGTGGTGGATGCTGCTGCCTCATCATTGTTGTTGTTGGTGCGGTGGAAATGAGACAAAAGCCAAACTGGGTGTGACCTGGTGTGTTTCAGTACAGTCGACGAAGGAGGGTTGACGCCACCACCAACAGCGTCAACGAAGAAGCGAGGCCGCACTGGCCCCCCCGCGGCCCCCGTCGCAGCACCAGGCAAACTTCGGCCACACATCGCAATCTGTGGTCTGTACATACATATCGGGGGAGCAGCTACTGCTTTGCGTGGACGCGACTTGCCGCCAGAGTTGGCAATAGAGTTTACACCAGAAAAAACAATCACAGCGCGACGATAACACTCGGCAACCAAAATGACAACCACAAACCGACAGCCACGACGCGTTCCGGAATGGGCCGCGGTGGGTCGACACTCGGGCTGAGCAGGTGAAGTGTGATGAAAATGCAATGGAATGCAGCAAAGTGGAGCGTAGCAGGGCACAACCCATTGACACTCGCACGATGGCACGATGGACGTTGATGACATCGAGAGAGAGAGGTGTTGAAGTCACCCCCCCATATATGTTTCCGCGCGGGGTGGGTGCGTCATTTGCTGCAACCCCCCCTTGGTCCTCCATTCCACTGTCGACATCCTCATCATCACCCTCCAAGCTCCAAGCATGCCACCCGCCAGCCCCCACATAACCATCCTCTCCCCCCAGACCAACACCTCGGTCCACTCCCATCTCGTCATCATCATCGGACAAGCAAGCCCCGCACCTCCACAGGGCTCGTACGTCACCGTCACAACACCTGCCCAGCTCCGGTACAACTTTCCAGTCCACGCTTCGGGCAGGTTCAAGGTCGTCGCACCTCTTGTCCCCGGTCCCAATGCACTGCACTTTAACGTTGGCGGCGTGACTGCCGACCACATGCTTGCATACGAGCCCCAGCCGAACAACCCCGCCATCGACCTCGTCATTGTCGCCGGCCGCGACTCGCCCCTGCGCTTTGACGATGTGCGCCCTACCACCCTCGACGATGCGGTGCGTCGCTACCGCATGGCTGCATACCTGTGGCAAGCATACACGAGCGAGCAGATGACCCGTCACGGGTTTGGACCGCGTACCTTTCAGTTTACAGAGGAGCGCGGCAACGACACGACGGTCGGTCCGCCAGGCAGCCTAGGCCCACAGGCGAGCGTCGCCAAGATTACGGTCGTGCGGAGCAAGCGTACAATGGCCGAGATCCGTAACACCAATCTTGCACAGCAGAACAAGCATGCCCAGTCAAAGGAGTCGCTCTTTGACATTGCCGGCAACGCTGTCAAGGAGGCTCCCGAGTTCTCGGGTGACAAGCTCAAAGGTCGCCAGTTTGTCGCCCTCATCATCGATGCGACACACACTCGCGATGGCCTCATCACGGGCCATGCTGCGCTGGGTGGAAACATTGGGGGCAACCCCTTTGCCATCTTTGGCTCCCACACCTGCTTCTCGTGGCCAACCTGTGTCGACGAAATTCCCCAGGCGTTCTTGAGCCAACAGCCCGTCGACACGCGGTACTGCGGCATCGACTGCGAAGGTAAAGTGTACGGCATGGCTGCCAACGTCGGCATTGGCGCCATGATGCACGAGGTCGGCCACTCGCTCGGCTCACCACACCAGTCGTCTGGTGTCATGCTCCGCGACTACACCCGGTTGCACAAGAGCTTCCTCGCCGTTGACGCCGACGACAACAACGAGTGCGCGTGGCACCGTCTCGATGCTCTCCGCTACGTCGGCCACCCAGGCTTCGCTTCACCATATGAGCAGTCAAGAGGCATTGACGCAGCCCGACAGCCCATCCTCCTCACTGCCACTCACGACATGCTGCACGTCTACACCCCAACGTCCCGCATTCTGGCCATCGAGTACCGTATGCCCGGCAAGGAGACGGCAGACACGTTCACCGACTTTACGACCCAACAGAACGGGCCGCCCAACTCACACTCGTTCCAGCGCCAGTACCTCGACAGCAAAGGCTTTGACCGCATCACCGTGCTCACCACAGACGGCGGCAGGCTCAACGACGTCCAGCTCAAGGACACCATCGGCATGTACCCAACCCGGCCTGGAGTCGTGCGGACCAACGAGATGGGTCGCCAGAACGGAAACGCAGTTACCATACCCGTCCCGCCCAACCTCAACCGTATCCGAGTCCACGCCGGTATGGCACTGGATGGCGTGGAGCTCTTCCCCGGTGGACTCATCTTTGGCAAACGAGGCGGCCGCCCAGCCGACTTCAACCTCCAAGGCGGAGAGTTTGTCATTGGTTTCAACCTGCGCTACGGCGCTTGGGTGGACGGTATCCAGGTCGTCACTAACCAGCGCGTCAGCCAGTGGTTTGGTAATGGGACCGGCGGTGGACCAGGGGAGGCTCGTGTCCCGGCTGGATACAGATGGTCGGCCATTGTCGGTCACGTTGCCGACTGGTGCCAAGGTATCGGGTTTGAGTTTGAGCCTGCGCAGCACTAGGCTAGCGATAGGACTGGTACGATGTTGTTGCATAGAATGAGCGGTATACAAGGCTACAAAAATGTTCTTCTTTCTTTCCTACTTGGCAACACACATTCTCTCTCTCTCTCTCTCTCTAATTCTAAAGTGGGTGAATCAAATATTCGGCGACAGCCAGTCATACTTGACCCATTTATCAATCGCACTTGCCTCACCCATGACACCGCGCGCCTCGGCCCAGACCCACAGCTTGGCCATAGCCCAGATACTACCGGTCTGCACACCGGCCATGGCTTCACGCGGACCCATCTGCCTACCCAGTTGGCGCAGGATGGGGAGAGCAGACTTGAACAGGTCCATGTCCGGGTCAAGCTGACGTCCAATTCCTTCCAAAAGCAAAATGGAGAGTACAGTGTTGACAAAATCGCCCTCGAGCTTGACGTGGTGCTGACGGACAGCGACTAGGACGTCGGTCAGGATATCCGAGATTTTGATTTTGGCAAGCGAAAAGGTTTTCGACTTCACGCTCAAGACTAAATGTTGGATCTTGAGCGCAAACGTCTCCTCGTCAATGGCCAGGTCGGGACGACGGCAGCGTTCCACCATGAGCTTTCCGGCGCGGTAGCCGTCAAACTCGGCGACGGCCTGGAACAGGTCCAAAAAGTCGCGACGGTTCTTCTCATTGAGCGAGGTGACGAGGCCAGCGTCAATGAACACCAGCTGCGGCGCGTACCCTTCATCGCTGAGCTCGTCGAGGCGTTCAAGCCACTTGTCCTTGTCGTGCGCAATGTCCTTGAGCTCGTGGACCAGCTCGACGGCCGAAATCGATTCCATGGGGATGGGCGATTCCTGCGGGGGCAAGTTTCGATGCAGGCGGTTCAGGAGCGGGCGGATAATGTGGGTGGTACCGGGCTTGATGAAGCGGACCATGATGTTTCCAGGGTGGAGATCGCCGTGGGTCCAGTTGTCCAGCAGCAGCATTTCAAGAAAGGCATCCAGACCATAGTTGGCAATCTTTTCGTCGTACGGTCCGCCGCCGTTGCGCAAAAAGTACTTGAGCGGGAGAGCATCCTCAAATTCTTCGATGAGGACTTCGCGGCTGGCAAACGTCTGGCTGTCGTCGCCAACCTTGATGGGGCGGGGGAAGGTGACAATCTTGCCGCGGTGGGAAAAGTTGCGTTCGAAGCGATACAAGTTGGCGGCCTCGACGCGCAGGTCGAGTTGCTGGTTCATCATTTCGCCAAACACGAGCACCTCCTCGGGCAGAGAGATCCACTCCATACCGGGGAAGGCGTTGACAATGTTGGCGAAGATGGACATGATGGCAATGTCACGGCTGACGAGCTTTTCGACACGCGGGTGGAGAACTTTTACAGCCACAGTGGTCACGAGGCGCTGGTCACCATTTGTCTTTTCGGCAATCTCGAGAGCAAGAGTCTGGGCCTCGGCGTCACTGTGCGCCCAGACAGAGGGACGGAGTTTGGCACGGTACACCTGAGCAATGGCACCACAACCAATGGGTGTCTCGTCAAACTCTTCGAAAATGTCGTCAAAGGACACGCCAAACGACTTTTCGATAACCTTCTTGGTGTACTTGAACGGGTGCGGGTCGTTGTTCGAGTGGAGCTTGGACATTTTCTGACAAAGCGGAGCCGGGAACAGATCGGTACGTGATGCCGCCCATTGAGCGAGCTTGATGAATGACGGGCCAGCGTGTTCCATCTGGGCAACGAGGAAGCCATACCACCACACAGCGCCCCAACCTTCTTCTTGCTCTGCCACCGGTTTGCCAGGGCGGCGCCTGGGTGTAGAGCCCACGAACAGCATCGGGGCCGTAATGATGACGGGGCCGAAGAGGATCGCAAGATGAAGGAAGCGCACGAGAGTGAGGAAGGGCTCGAGGATGTAGGCGTTCAAGACTTGGAGGACGGAATAGTGGGGCTCCTTGGGCGATGAAACCAGAAAAGGCTCGTCAGATGGTGGCTCCTCCTCGTCATCGTGAAGGGGGATTAAGGGGATAAGATCGGGGTCGAGGGACTCGGTGCGGAGCTCATGGCGGCGGAAATAGACGATAGTGCCCAGACCCACGCAAGCAAAGATGAGCAGGCCCTTGCCGCCGCCACCAGCGTGGTGGGAGTCATGGGACATGGATCCGCCAGATACATTGTCGCCGCCAGAGTGACCGCGGCCGTCGCCTTGGCTTGCACCAAACGAGCCAAGAGACTTGGATACGTGGTCTCCAAACCGCGAGGTGACGTTCTGACCCGATGTCAAAAAACTGTGACGCTGGGGTGGTCCACGCGCCTCGAGGTCCTTGATGTCCTGTGCCCGCTGCTCAATTCCAGCCCACACCGCTTGGCGCAGAGGGTCGCCGCGGATACGGTTCAGCTCAACTTCGCGGGTGATCTTGGGACGGCGGGCGGGAGCCGGGGCCTGGGCATTCATCTTGAAGATCAAGTCATTGATAGACTTGACACTTGCGTCGTGGAACTTTTCCTCCCGGGCCTCCCATGTCTCGTCGCGATCTGGAATGGCATGGCGGGGTGGTAATGGGTGCAGACCGTGGGCGGAGAGGACCGAACGGACGAGGTGGCGAGTGTATGAATCAAAGAGCATGGTGCGGAACGACGACAGGTTGGTGTCGACGAGGTTTTGCATCTCGATCCACGGAGGAAGGGCCCCTTGGCGCTTGATAATGCGGTTCCTGGGGCGTCAGTACTGGACCCATCGCACCTGGCACTCACATGAAGACCTCTGCAGGCTCAAGAGTTGGGTTCCTCATCTCTGGGTCGTTGACGAGAGGCTTCCCTCGCCCCTGGACATGTTTGAAGTGTCCGTTATCCATTGCACGCTGGATTCTGTCCTCAACGAGACCAGTCCACGCACGCATCCCGCTCGCGCCGCCCCTTTGGGCGCCAAGAACACTCAAACCCCTCAGCTGGCGGTTGCCGCGGAACGTCGATCCGACATCGTCGTCGTCGTCTTTGCCGCCGTCTGTGAGGTCGCCGTCCTTGACTCCCAAGTGGTAGTCAAGCGCGCCCTCTCTTGCGCCGTCAAGCCTTCCTTGGAGGCGAGCAGTTCGCCTCGCCTGGCGATTCTTTTGGCGTGTAGTGCCATCCGCGTTTGGCGACAGGCGGAGCTCGAGGTCGCTAAACAGGTTCTCGACTTCCTGGGTGGACTCGAACGTGCCCCACTTGACTCTTGGCGCATCGACGACCTCCTGGTTGTCGCCCGTATAAGTCGCGTGCCATGGTCGGTGAAGGTGCGGTGGAATGTTGGTACGGTGGGGGTTGATGCCTTGGCTGTCCGACCGGAGGGGAATAGGAGCGGACCCATCAACCTCATAGCGAGGTTTGACAACCGGCTCCCGCGGGCTCATGTCGAGGTTGACCATCCATTGCGAGATACGTTTGTCGGCCGAATCGGACTTGATTCCTTCACCGGTACGATGTGGCTTGTGTGCATCGACAAGCATGCGCAAGACCGCATCATGTTGAGACTCGTCGCCGGACCAGACGGGGCCTTGGGATGCGACGAGGTGGTCTCTCGACCGGTCCTCGGATGGCAAACGAGCCTCTTCTTCTGCGGCCTCGGCGAGGAGCTTTGCCGCGCCCGTGAGAGCTGCTGGCCTGGGCGTTGTTTTTGTGGTGGTATCGGGAGACCGTGTACCGGTATGGTTTGCCCTTGCTGCTATCCATCTTGAGGAGGCGAGCACAGCCCGACTCCGTAGAGGCAGCATGGTGGAGCCGAATGGGGTGGGCGATATGAAAAGGTGACGGAGAAGAGGACGATCGGATGAGAGGAGGCACATGAGAGGCGGGGCGCGGGTTTGAGAAAACGTCGTCATAACCAATAATTACGTAATCTCTTTAGTGGCCAGCAACAGGTTACGTCAACCGCAAACAACAACAACAACAACAACAGGTCATTGACTGTGTCAACAGCACCATCGCACACACCATCCCGCTTCGTCTTCCTCCTGGTCAAGTATTCCTGCATTACCCCGCATGCAGCGTCTTCCGTCTTCAAATAATACACGACCCTATCTCGAGTCCCTCAGCCACCACAGCCACCACCGGCCTCGTCCTGGCTCTTGGGCTCACACCCTTGTCGCCGCCAGTGCGGCCTTCGACGCCAGACATCTCGGACACGGCCTTGGCGCCTTTGAGGACGCTCTTATTGCGCAAGCGAGTGCTGTAGAGCACGAAATTGAGCGATATGAGGCCCACCTAAAACAGAAGCTAGACTCTGCTCTCCATGGACCCGTCGAGGAGTGTGACCGCTCGATTGCGATATACCCCAAACTGGACCTCACGTCACTCGACATTTGGGACGGCATACCGTATGAGGAGGGCTCTCTCCAGAAATTGATCATCGCCGAGTCGGCCATACTCAACTCGGACGGCAATCCTGACAGCATGAGCGCGTCATCTACACCGGCATCCTTCAGTGTGCCATGCGGCACAACAACTCCCACGTGGTACCGGCAATTACTATCGAGGTCGAGTCGGCTAGGTCGTCGTTTTCCAGGCCGTTGGACGATGCCGACTTTATGTATCGCCTCCGGAAGGCGGCCCTCCTCCTGCACGCAAGCAGAACTGGACCGAACAAGGACTTCACCCCTGAAGCGAACCCGCGGGAATCGCAGCCTCTTCTCGTATGTTACGGTATTGATTCCGAACTAACAGGCGCAGGAAGCTGGAGACGAGGGCCAGGAGTTGAACGATCTGGTCACTGCAGTGCCAGTTGTGGTGGATGTGCTCAATAATATTTGTGACATTCCAGACGTTTTCGCTACGCGGCTGTTGTTCGAGTACAGCAAACCAGGCGACACCGGGTTGTTCCGATGGGATGAGTTCGCCCCTCCTCCTGGCCATCGGCAATCCTGGCTGGACCAGCTGATGCGGATCGACTTGCGTGAAAAAGCAAGGCTGGGCTTGGCGCAGACGCTCATTTATTCTCTGTCCTCGCACGCGGCCTTTGGAGCTCAATTTGGTGTCTTCGTCTGCTGCACTCGTTTCGTACGAGTATTCACCTGCCAAGACACAATCCTTCTCGACCTCTTGCTTCCCGAGGGAGAAATGGGCGTCTCCGACCTCCTCAAACGTTTGGATCTTGCCGATCGACTGCCCCACGACTTCCTCCTTCCCGAAGCGATGCCGAACGCCTGGCGTCGCTTGAACGCGGATTCCATTCAAGTGTATCTCAACGTTTTTGCGGCGTCATTCGCGCTCAACGACCAGATCACATCTGAATGCCTACGAAGGCCAAGCCCCCTCAGCCCCTCCCGCCTATCGGCTCTGTTGAACACGATAACCAAGTTGAATGATGGCTTGGAACCTCATGCGGATCTTGTGGCTGCAGCTCGTGAGGTTCTGGTTCAGGCTCTGGCTCTGGCCGTAGCTGCCGTAGCTCTGGCCCCCGCTCTGGAGGTTCTAAACGCCGTGGTAACCTCCCTCCACATGACGCCTCTCCATCCGGCGCTGGTTCGGGAGACGAAGCCTTAGGTCCACACGACGCCTTAATGGCCGACTTTGGTCTGGACGAAGACTTACCTCTTGGCGCCGAGGCAAGCACATACTCTCTGTGGAATTCCGCTCGCCACCGCCGCGACTTTGAAATTCTGCTTCGGGCACTCAACGCGAACAACCCTCGGATCGTTATCATTTCGCCTGCTCGCATGGACGAGTTCCTGCGCGAGGCAGGCAACGACATGTTCTCCGAGGCAACGGACACGTCAGTCACGGCGCCAGTGTGCGACTCCCTCCACACCACACCAGTGCGCTCGCCCTCAACCTCGACTTGTGGCTCGTCTCCCGTGCTGCAACCACCAGAGCGACCCACAGCCGGTCGCGCAAGCGACCGCCGCGCCAGCTCCAAGCACATGGAGGACAGCACTTTCACCCAGACAAGCCTGGACAGCGTTGTACTGAATGCCTAGGGGGCGCGAGTATGGAGTGGACGGACGTCAGAGAGAAGAGACAGAGAGACAGAGAGACAGAGAGACGAAGCAGTCGGAATATGACCGACACGTTATGTGTGTAGCAGGATGACCCTCAATGCGACTGAACATGTATTTTGTAATCACTGTGCAGTTGTCTTGAGTACAAGGAGGAGATACCGGTGGCCTTCTTTTTCTGTAACCCCCCCCCCCCCCCCCCCCCCCGCCCCGGCCTTGATGGCGTGTTTGTGGGTCCGTGGATCCGTGGTCCAGCCTCCCGGGAGAGGAGTAGGTTTTCACAATTGATGACGACCCCCCGGCATCACTGCGAGGCGACAGACAACGTTGACCAGCCGTTTAGGCCATGACCCGTTTTGGCTTTTGACCGGACACCCCTATCACCGAGATTAACGCTGCCTTTCGTTTCGTGCGCGAAACGTCAACCCTTCTATAGCTGAATGGACGCGATGGTATGCATGTCCCGTTTCCACCTTTCCCATTTCAACACATAATTCCCGAGTGGCACCACTTCTGCACTTCAGATTTGACTCGCTTACACGCCGTCTCTGCTTATTTTATTCCAGCACAACCCTCTAGCCTCTGGCCTCTGGGCTGCTCCCCACAACCCTACCTTACACGCTGGCCTGGTGAACCTCGTCGTCGTCGATGATGTCCACGCGGGCTTTCTTGAACCTCCAGGCCGGGGTGTGCTTCTCGAAGAGAATGTCCAGCTCGGCGTACGTGATGCCCTTGGTCTCGGGCATGCGGAAAGCACACCAGATGATTGTCAGAACCGACACGCCGAACCATACAAACGCCGTCTTGCCCTTGAGGTTGGCAGCGGTGGGGTTGATGAGGTACGGCTCGACAGTATTGCCGACAAGGCTGACAATCATGTAGGCCATACGGGCGAGGGCGACGGTCGCGGAACGCAGCCTGGTCGCCGAGACCTCTGCCGCGAGGCCGAATGACTGCGGGCCGAGTGTGAGGGAGTACAGCCCGAGCCAGATGACGGTGAGGGCTGCCTGGGTCCAGATGGCCGCCTGGGTGTTGACAAAGGCGAGGATGCCGATGAGCAGGAGGCAGGACGTCATGGCAATCAGGCCGTAGAGGATGAGGGGACGGCGGCCGCACCAGATCATGAGGATCCACGAGCCACACGTGGCCACGAAGGCGACGGCGGAGGCCCCAAAGTTCAGCTTGTACGAGTTGGAGGGGCTGAGGCCGGCCTGGGTGAAAAAGTATGTGGAGCCGTACGCAAAGGGCTGGCCGGACAGTGACTGGGCAGCGAGGACCATGCAGGCAATCTCCGTGCGGCGGCGGTTGGTGCCCTTGAAGCAGTCCCAGATGCTGGTCTCGGTCTTCATGGCCGTCTCAATCTTGTCGGTGTGGACCATCATGGCCAGGGTGCCACGGATCTCGGCAGTAGTCGAGCCAGAGGACAGGCGCTGGAGCGACTTCTCCGCCTCAGCAAGGTTGCCCTTGCGGATGCACCACCACGGCGAGTCGGGCGCAAAGTACGCCAAAGCAAAGATGGGGATGGGCCATACCCACTGGATCGCAAAGGGGATGCGGAAGGACCACTCGGTGGGGTTGTCAACGAGGCCGTTGAGCACGCCGCCGGCCACGAGCTGTCCGATGATCCAGCAAATGTTGACAAACGATGTGAGAAAGCCGCGAAGCGCTAGGGGTGCGACCTCGGACGCGTAGGCCGAGCCCAAGATGCCAAAGATGCCCTGTGGGATGCCCGCCAGCGCCATGGCGACAGTCAGGACTTTGACGTTGGGCGCGAAGAAGGTGACAAGGTTGAAGCAGGCGATGCTGACCAGGCCGCCTTGGATGACCATGCGGTGCCCAAACCGGTCCGTGAGAGTGCCCATGAGCAGCAGGCCGACAATGTTACCTGCCTGGCTCACGTCCGTGAGCGCCACCTGCCATTTGGGTGCCACGATCCACCGGTCCATGTCTGGGTGGTACGTGCCGTACTTCTTCTCGAACTGCGGGTATGCGAAGAAGTTGCCGAGCAGGTATGTGTCGTAGCCCTCCATGACAATTGTGAAAGAGATGGCGACGGCCCACCAGAAAGCGCCGGGGTAGAGGCGGAGCGCGGTGCGGAAGGAGAGGGCATGTTCGCGCTCGATGGCTAGGCGCGCCGCCTCGTGGAAACCGGCCGCTTCCTCGATGCGCTCGACGGGGACGGTCGTGACTTCTGAAATATCGACCTCGGTAACAGACCCGTTGGGGTCCTTGTCGTCGGGCTGGTGGCCTTTCTCAGGTGCGGACATGGGAGAGACGCGGCGGGCTGGTAGGTATGTGGCGGAGAGGAGGGCCGAGGCGAGGCGGTGAGAGTCGAGAGTCCTTGGCGAGATGTGGATCGCATTGAGGTGCACCACATTATAAAGGGTGTTCTGCGGGGCCACGACATGGGCAAGGTGAAAAGGTGGGGACCCGAGTTGGAGGAACGAAAGAGAGTGGAGAGCAACAGTGGCCCCGACCTCCGACCGGGCAATTGGCAACGATTAGAAACACGCCACAGCCACAGTCGGTCGCATCCGCGGTCCTGTGGCCTGTGGCCTGGCAGACTGTTCGGTCGTGTGGACGCTTACACCACTTGGTTCTCCCTTCACGCCGGGTGGTGAGCGGCTATGGATCATCCCATCATCTGGATTACCTGGGGCCAGTCGTCCGCGTAGCACGTCGGCGCGCACACGGTCCGGCCGATTGCCAATGTCGGCGCCGTGTGTTGCTGTCGACCAGAGATTATGCATCGGACGGAGGTCGGCGCTATGTGGGGAGTGGATGGGCGCGAGCGAGACGGAAGGGGGAAGAGAGCCATGGGTCTCTGAGTTGCTATCACATGTGCTGCAATACGAGTCCATGAGTGCCTGCGGTGTGGTACTTAATGTGGGGTTTGGTTCTTCGTCGACGACACCACCCTCACCCCTCACCCCCTCTCGCTTAGCCCATCTTCCACGACCACACCTGGGGCCGAAACCGCTCGACACTGGTAGGTTGACATCTGCTCCTTTTGAGGCTGAACGCTAACCGCGTGCTCCTATGGCCTTGTCCTACCCGGCACTCGCATGCGTTGAACCTACGACTGCAGGCCCCCTCATACACCACAATCCACTTACTATGCCATCCTCCGTCGCCACCACCCCGGCCGTGACGCTCCCACCCGACTACCTCGAGCGCACGTACGCTGGGGTGCTTGGCAAGTTGATTGGCGTCTACCTTGGCCGGCCATTTGAGGGCTGGACGCACCAGAGGATCATGGCTGAGCTAGGCCCCATCAAGTACTATGTGCATGAGCAGTTGAATGTGCCGTGTGTCGTGACAGACGACGACGTGTCGGGCACATTTGCGTTTGTGCGCGCGCTGGAAGAGCACGACGCGCACTCACTTGGCAGCCTGGAGATTGGCAAGACGTGGCTCAACCAGGTCGTCGAGCACAAGAGCGTGTTCTGGTGGGGCGGCAGGGGCCTGTCGACCGAGCACACCGCGTTCCTCAACCTCAAGCAGGGCATACCCGCGCCGGACAGCGGCAGCATCAAGACAAACGGCCAGACGGTGGCGGAGCAGATTGGCGCTCAAATCTTCATCGACGGCTGGGCCATGGCCTGCCCCGGCCGCCCCGAGCTCGCAGCTAGCCTTGCCGAGGCCGCAGGCAGGGTCAGTCACGACGGCGAGTCGGTGCACGCCGCCGTGCTCTGGGCTGCCATGGAGGCCGAGGCGTATGTCTCCAGCGACGTCGACCACCTCATCAACACCGGCCTGAAGTTTATCCCTCGCGACTCGCTTATTGCGAGTATTGTCGCCGACGTTCGCGCGTGGGTCAAGGACGACCGCGACTGGGTCGCGACCCGCCAGCGCATCGAAGACACGTACGGCTATGACAAGTTCCCAGGCCACTGCCACGTCGTCCCTAACCACTGCATCATGGTCATGTCCCTTCTCTACGCAGAAAATGACTTTACACGCTCCATGGAGATTGTCAACACGTCCGGTTGGGACACAGACTGCAACTCGGGCAATGTTGGGTGTCTCATGGCCATCATGCTCGGCATGGACGCCTTTGACCGCCCCGGTGCGCCAGACTGGAGGGGTCCCATCGGTGACCGCGCCATTATCTCCAGCGCGGACAACGGCTACTCTATCAACAGCGCCGCGCGTATTGCGACCGACATTGTCAACATGGGCCGCTGCCTCGCTCGCAAGGCCCCCCTCCCGCCGGCCAAGGACGGCGCGCAGTTTCACTTCACCCTGCCCGGCTCAACCCAGGGCTTTCGTGTTCGCAGCTCCAAGGGATCAGCATACCAGGCTGTCGACACCAAGCGCGGACCAGCCCTCTGTCTGGAGCTCGACGGCCCCATCGAGGTCACCACCCCCATTAGCGCACCCAAGGAGTACCTCTCCATGCCGACCACATATTTTCTCTCGTCCTCCCCGCTTGTGTACCCCGGCCAGCGCCTCCGTGTTGCTCTGCGCGCCGGAGCGGACCTCAGCCAGCCTGTCGAGGCGCGCATCCGCCTCCAGGTGTTCTACGCGGACAACAACATTGTCCCGGTCGACAGCGAAGACTTTGTCCTCTTGACTCCCGGCGACGACGAGCTGCACGTGCTCGAATGGACCATCCCTCAGATTGCCCATGGATACCCCATCGCCGAGGCCGGGGTCGTCACCACGGGCAGCAGCGGCACGGTGTGGCTTGACAGCTTTGGCTGGAGCGGCCAGCCGGACCTCACCATCTCCCGCCCCAACAGCGCGCCTCACGCCGCCAGCACCTTCTGGGACCTGCAGTGGGTCCAGAACGTGAGTGGTTTCTTCGCCTTTCCGCCCACGACCCTCCTCATTGCGCAGGACATCGGTGAGGGCCTCGTCAGCTACGGTACGCGTGACTGGACCGACTACCGCGTCACGGTGAGCGACTTTGTCATGAAGCTGGGCAGTCCCGCCGGCGTCACCATTCGCGTACGGGGCCTGCGGCGGTGGTACGCCCTCTTGTTCTCCGAGTCCACCGAGGGCAAGTATGTGTCTCTCGTCAAGGCGCTCGACGAGCAGCGTATCGAGCTTGCCACGGCCGAGTTCCAGTGGACGCTCGATTCCCCTTACGAGATCAGCCTCGCTGCCAATGGGCCGACCATCACCGGAAGCGTCGGTGGTGTCACTCTCACAGCCACCGATGAACAGTACGTCGGCGGAGCGATGGGCTTCGTCGTCACTTCGGGCTCCCTGGCCACGGGAACTATCCGTATCCAGTCTTGCAAGTAGTATTACGCTCATGGATTCGTCATTGAAATGTGCAAGGGCCTGTGTTTGAGCATTACGAAGGGCTTTCACTATCATGAAAAGTGGTGAAAAATGAAATTTAATCCGCCAGTCACGCGATTCCGCACACGACGGCTCCGGTCCCCTCGTCAAGCTCTATTCTTGGCTTACTAAGCTTCCATGCCTTAGCTCATCATTCAATTGGGTTGACAACTTGGCACCTTGTGTCGCCTTGGAACAATATGGTGTGCCGATGTCGGGGATCAATGGAAGCAGCCACTCACAGATCCATGTATGGTCTCCCTCCCCAACTCAAGCAATACAATGGCTCGCACTGGGTTTTATACTCCCTGCATTCTTCAAGAGACACAGTTAACTGCACGAATGCTCCAGGACCATTTTCCAGTCTGATACCCGCGGACGGGCTTGCTCCTCATTCCTCCTGAAAATGTCTAATGAAACCACTTCTGAGCCAAGTCCCAAATGTTCCCGTTCTCGCTGGATTCCATCGGTATGGAGAATTGGTGCTGGCTGGACGATGGCGCGGCCCCGGTCGATTGGAAAGGGGATGTCTCTGCAGGATGTTAGAGCGTAGATAACATTCACGCACCCAGGGGCAAGAACGGGAACGCCGCGCTAGGCTCCACAGCGGGTTGCTGGTCCCTCGATCCGACGGCGCCAAGGATGCTCATCCAGTCTTCCGACGCGAAAATGTCATCTGCGATGGTGAAGTCAAAGTCCAACTCGCCATCCCTGCCGGTGTTGGTCACTTCTGCACCGCCGAGTGATCCAAGAGTCGACGACGCCGCAGGGGGTGAGGGAACGGCAGACACCGATGGCAGTTCTTGTCTGCGCCGCGCTTCGACGACGACGTGGTGAAGGAACTGAGAGAAGTAAAAGTCTGGGACTGAGGGGTCAGCTGGAGTGGCACCTCTCTGCCAATGTGTCGCGCGACTCACAGCGCGCAAGCTGATCCGCCAGCAGCTCCACGTCTTTGGCCACCTCCCGCAGGTCGATAGCCTCAGGCATGAGGCTCGCCATGCGTATAAGTGACCGTGCCGCGCTAGCAATTCCAAGGCCTGTGGTTCGCCGTTCAGCGCCCGAGTTCACAAGTCCGCAGGATACTCACGGACATTACGGTTTCCTTCACGGGGATTAGCTTCTATCAATCTCGATAGTCACGTACCATGGCGCAGCTTGGCATTCTGCAGTCGACATCAGCCTGCATCGACGGCATGCCCACCGGAAGCTCTCACCTCTGTACCACGGGCAGCTCTCGCAACGAGCTCAGCTGCGGCTCTCACCGCCAATACCAAGCCGTCGTGGCGTTCGCTTGATAACTGGCGAATGTCTCGTTTGCTCTTTACTCCCGATACCAGTGCGATATTGACTTGGAGGCTGACATTAGCGCCGACTTGCACTGGATCCCTGTTTGACTCACATGGTGTAGTACTTGATGGTCGCCACTTCAGGTGAGTACTTTGGCGCTGGAAACGACTCACACTCTGTCACCATAAAATCATCGTCTGCCAACCCTATCCTGGCTGCAGCGTCAGCGTATATATATCACGTTTTCCGCACCCACAGTAGTAGTCCAGCCAATAGTTCTCCCACTCTGGTAGCCTTTGCATCACCTCGGAGACCAGGCGGTCCAGCTCCTCGCCCTGCACACCACCGATCATTGCTCGAAACAGAGGCTGCCGCATGGCAAGGACCTCGCACAGTACTAGGCAACGGCTATCCTCCTTTGTCGCCAGTGGGTGTTCCAAGAAAAGACGGCCCAGCTTTATGGACTCGTCATCGGCAGAGCACAATATAGGGCGGCCGTGGTTGAGGCACATCCTTGGTGGGTCAGCTTCCGCCACATGTGTGCGCTGTTGACGTACTCGGTGTGTGTCTTCATCGTCTATTGGGTCAGTAGAACAAAGGAAAAGGCAGTACAGTCTTCCGCGCTCACAGCAAGCCAGATGCGTGCCCCCGCCACCAGCGGCCGTTCGCGTTCAAGCTCCTCGGGAGTCTTGTTACGACCCATTCCCGTGTTGGCGAGGTAAGGCATGCAAAGGTGCAGGTCCATATCGTATCTGTCGGTGTAGCTGTCAGGTGTGGTTCCCCAGTAGACATTATCGACCTACGCCAGGCTGAGTGTGTGGTCTGAGCGGTGAGTGACATGCATTGGTACATGGCTGCTGATACTCACTCCCAGGTCGCCAGGCTGTATCCCCCCAATTGGCAAGAATCACTACATGTTGTGTCAGAACCAGAGTGAATGGCATGGCGGTTGGCGATCTTACCCATGGCTTGTACAGCTTCGATACTCGCGACAGGAGAAAAGACGGTTGTCAACGCTGTTACGAGTGTTAGCGTCCTGGTTGAGAGGACAACGCACCTATCTTCTCGGCGTGCTGAATCAGTTTCTGCCTCAACGCGCTGGCAGCGCTTGATGGGCGAGCTGGGATGGTGTTTAGCACTTTAACTCTACCGTCAAGCACTGACCACTCCCAGCTGCGGCAATCTGCCCGGCCATCATGATTGCGGTAATACAGAACGATGACCTGGCTCGAAGACTGCTCTTGTCAGCCGCAGAGGCCCGGTGACGAGCCTCACCTAGCCCAAGTATCCTTTGTGACATCAAAAACAGGAAGGAAGGCGTGGGCGCCTTGGAAATACCTGGCGATTAGCGACTGGGTGCCACGACCATCTCACAGGTCAAACAGGTGGTGTCCTTCCTCCTCCGTGCAGTATCCCAACTGGACTGGATCTGGAAAATCGTGCAACAGGTCGCCTCGCGGGGTCGGAATGGGCACTCCCAGACGTTTGAAGAGGCGCCCCATCGACTCTGTTGTCCCTCGGCCCTTCCCTTTTGGCGAGGGCTTGGAACCGCCCAAAGGCGATGCCAGACTCTCTTGTCGTAGTCGCTCCTCTTCGTCGCGGTGCATGAAGTGCTTTAGCCCAGCCCCTGCCGCTGCGGCCAACAAGAACTCCTCGTCTTCCTTCTCGTAGTCTTCCCCGGACGCGGCGTTTGAGTCATGGGCCATAACCGGATGTGTCGATGCGAAGAGCGGCACACTTCCGTGGTCATGGTGGGTTACGGCGTGGAGAGCGGTGTGGGGCTCAGTGTCGACAGTATCGCTCGACGCCACTCGATTTAACGGTGATGCAGTCGAGTGAACCCACTCGTTAAGCGTTGCTGGTCTGACCCGCCCAAGTCCTCCCACCGAGTCTGGAGTGTTGGAGCTGCCTTGCTCCACGAGGATCCGTAGCAGGTTCTGCATGTTCCGCATACCCTTCTGGACCTCGTCCATCTGGTTCTCCAGGTGCGCGACGCGACTGACTGTCAGTGCGCTGTCCATTTCCTTAAGTCTGCCCTTGGCCTTACTCCTGATTGCTCTTGATCCGGTAAGATGAGGGGGTCTGCTCGAGCGTGAACGTGCAGTCGATCTTCATCGTGGAGCACCGTCGGCATGGCGGGCTGGCTCGATCGATACATCGGATCTTCATCCGGTGGCACGAGTCCTGCAGGTCAGATCTTGGCTCACTGCTTCCCTCCATCGCAAAGCTCACGCATGCACCTGGGGCAAGGGGTCAGCTTGGAGCCTTCGGCCAGTGTAGGACTCACGACTCGCGCCGGTTGGTCCGCTCACGGTCTTGGGCATGGCAGTGTGTGGGGTATGTACGAGGGGCCAGCAAGCTGAGAGGCTACCTGTCGTTCTAGACAGAGTGGAGGGTGGTGCAGCGATACAGTGTATGGTGGGAGGGGACCGATGGACGATGAAGACCTCAAGAGATGGGCTGAGGTGTGTGTTGGGTAATGGGACGTACTGGAAGACTATCGCTATCCAGTCCCCACTCCCCCGCACACTGAGTAACAGAGCAACATGGTCTCGATCTCCACGCCAATCATTTCACATTCTCGGTCGGAGGCCGGACGGAACGGGGAGATTACACCTACCCCCCTATGGCCCATGGCCTATATCCGGTGCGCTGGCTGACGCTGGCTGACGCTGGCTGACGGCATGTTACAGATCACAGAACTGCAGATAGAGGCATGGCGACACTTGACAAGCAGCACCATGGATTGGAGATACCACAGACACCGGCGCACCGGATACATATCAATGGACTCGCATTTCTCGAGTCCGAGCTGGAACTGTCATGTCTGTACCCAATGTATCCTCTAGCCACCGTCCTTCACCCCCTGCCCAAGTGCGTGCCACTACACCCGGCTCTATCTTGAGTGGCGGCCGTACCTACAGTACATCTGCTTGGGCAACATTCATTACACTACTACGAAAACACTACGGGATAATAATGAAAAGCTAAACTTCGGGGGGACATCATATATACCTTCAAGCATAGTCTTACTTCCTTGTGAGGCGCTTGCATCCTCAACACTGGACATTTCCGTTTGCCAGCTGCCAGACAGGCCTGAATGCGTCAACCAGTGCAATCGCTTGAGTCACCTACCCGGAGAAGGCCCCATCATCCGGGACTGTGCCTTGGTCGTCGGTGAATGCCTGCGGGACCGGCCCACCCGCCTGCGGGTTATCCTCCAACGTCTGGATGTTCATGTTCTGCGGGTCGTCGGGGGCGAAAACAACGGTGACGTCGCTGGGGAGGTTAAAGTTGGAGTACAGGATACAGGTGCGGTGGCCGCTCTTGATGGCGTCGGCATCGTGAAAGTCGAAAACGTAATTGGCACAGGTCCCAGGGCGATTGAGGCATTCCTGGATGCAGTCGCAGACGTTCTTGACGTCAGGGAACGACAGCTCGAGTGTCGTCACGACCCCAGTAATGTCGAAACCTTGGGTGTCTATGGAACGATTCCGGTTGGCGATCAACTTGGCGAAAGGAGCCGAGCTTACAGCGTGTGCACCCGTTGTCCTCGGTCTTAAGACCTTTGCAAAGGATGGGCACTTTCTTGAAGCCTCCAAGGGGCTTGTGGCCGCCATCGTTGAACGAATCAGCGGCTGCTGTGGCGATGAACAATGAAGCGAGGGGAAGTAGTTTGGTAAAGAGCATGGCGATTGATCTCGGAGAGCGGCAGTGGGAACGGTGATGGGCTAAAGGTTGAGATCACGTACGGCGCCGCCACTTATTATGGGGTGGCTACCATGTCTACAATATCTACAGTAGAGTCTGCTGAATAGAACGGGGACTGTCTGGCATGTGACGAACCAATGATCTATACTTAGCCCGTGTCAAAGAGACTTCTTCGGGGAATGGTCAACGGCGAGGTATGTTGCACAGCATTACTGTATTCAACGTGTCTGTATTGCCTACACAGCAACCCATGATTGGGAGATCAAATAGCATGTCGGGTCTGTCGACTCATCAACGTCAACGGGTGCTGCGCTCCAGAACGTCGAGCTCCAATGCAACAACTAGATCCTCTAGATCCTGATTGAGACATGTTTCGGGCCGGTTGAGGCAGTGAGGTGGGGCCCTCGTTGCAACTTTCACATACACACGCCGCCGCACAAACAACTACATCTTCGTTATTTGAAACGAGAGTTTATCCTTTGATCCTTTGATTCTCTTCGCACGTCAGATGGATGGATCTCGCCATCACCGATTTTGCACCTCCGTGGGCTGGTAAACAGCTGTGTTTTCCCCTGGCCTGATCCACCCTTGGCAAAACCCAGTCGTCGAGGACGAGGGTTGCGGGCAACTCGTCGTCCGTCAGCATGAATGGTATAAACGGACCAGGCCGGACCGGCGCTCTTGGTGTTGGATCCAGAGAACGCATCGAGTACATAGTTGCCTTGCGGAGCAATAAATACGTCGATAATGCTTTTTGTAATTGTATTTTTGTCCTCTTCTTGACACGGCGCGCATGACCGGCCTATAGAGATATTTAGAGGTAATCAGCGAGGTCCTGAACATACACATGCGTCTTGCTTCCTGTCAATTGCAACCAGAGTCGAGACTTGTAGCGAAACTGTTGAATTCCAACCGGGTATCCGATGTGGTCATATCTCACAATGGGCTGCCACAACCGATCATTACACAACTACCCGTCTCACACACGATCACACACCATGCTCTCTCCCCCGCCCCCGCTCCCCGCTGCCATTGTGTACATTCAAGTCAAGTCGTGGATGCGTCGTGGATGCACACTGGATAGCGATGCCGCAGTCGTCCGGGGAGATGTATATTCGCCACCCAACGACGACGGAAGCAAATACGCTCACCCAGGGGCGGCCATGATGATATGATGGGGTCTTTCGTCGCGCGTATTTTGTTCCTGTTGGGCTTTTGTTTGCTCACTGGATCACTGTTCATCTCCCAATCCCCACACACCACCATGGTCGCCGACGGCACAACCCCCACACCCGTGGGGACCATGTCGTTCCCCGTCCTCGCCCCGTCCGACATTGACCACGTCGCGGCCACCATCCTCCACCTCTTCCACCCGGCAACGGCCTCCAACCCGACCCTCGCCAAGCAGCTCCAGCAACAGCTGCAAGAACTCCAGGCAAGGCCAGAGGCATGGGGTCTCATTGCCGGTCTCGCCAACCACAGCGACGCCAACGTTCGCTTCTTCTCGGCGCACACTGCACAGGTCAAGATCTCGCGCGACTGGGACACTCTCCCAGCACCGCTCCAGCCGTCGCTCTTGGGTCTTCTCCTCAGCACCCTCTCGTCCGCCATTGACCCCACAAACGCAAACACCTATCAACCTGCAAACGCCGTCGTGGTCCGCAAGCTGTTTGGCTGTCTCGCTTCCCTTCTCCTCCGCCTCCCCTTCTACCAGTTCCCCGACCCCATCTCCACCGTTCTCCAGACTCTGTCCACCGCCCTCGCCCGTGCGACCCAGCTGCCGCCCAGCGCCCCCGTCTCCGGCTACAACACACCGACGCACCACCCTCATCACACCCTTGACGATGAGGCACGTCTGCGGTCACGTATGCGTCTATGGGCGCTCGAATGGTGTGGAATCTGTGTCGAGGAGATTGCCCGCGCCGGCATCAGCGAGCAAAAGCGCAACGCACTGCGCAAGCACATCGAAACGGACATGCCTGCAGTCATGACCACCATCACAGAATCTATGACGGGCCAGCTCGACCAAAAGGCTGCCGAGGCGGCATGCAAGTGCGCCGAGTCATGGATCAACTATGGCCTCGGCGCCGACGAACTCGCCGCCCTCCTTCCACACCTCTACGCCCTCCTTCCACTGCCAGCAGCGTCATCCACACTCGTCGAGGTGCTGTCCGAAAGCATCTTCAAGTATGGCAAGGGCACCAAGATTATCACCGAGCCGCTTCTCGCATGGGTCATCAGTCCCGCAGGACAGTCCCTCCTTAACGACGACGACTCTGAAGAAGTCCTGGCCTTTACCAAGATGCTGGCGGCACTGGTCGAGCACTCGTCTGAATGGCTGGTGGCACGGCTGCAACAGGCCGACGTGCAGGCATTCTTGCGCACCATCCTGCGTATAACGGGATGGAAGGGAAGCGGTGGTGTCGACGAGTCGGTATCGGAGCTCACACTGCCCATCTATCCTTTAATCCAAGAAGCCATCATGGACTCGGACGTGTTCTCAGAGCCGCACGAAACAAGCGCCAGCTGGGCGATCGCAAAGGGCTTTTTCCGCGAGCTCGTCGATGTCACGCGGCGCAAAGTGCGGTGGCCAGGCAGCGGCGAAGAGTCTAGCCTGGGAGGCTTGGACCGCGAGGAACGCGAGGCATTCGACACTTGGCGCCGAGACGCTGGCGAGGTCATTGTCGGTGCCTACTACATTCTCCGCGACGAGATGCTCGCGTCATTGACTCAGACTGCGACGGAGCAGATTGCAGCCGGCGCTCCATGGCAAGACATTGAGGCTACTCTCCACTGCATCCGGTACTCTGGCGAAGGTGTGCCCCTTGGTGAGGACAAGAGCTTGCCGATCATCTTCTCCGAGCAGGTCATCAACCGTCTCTTGCAACGGCCACTCGCTGGCCTGGGTGAGGAGCGACTTCGTTTGACCGTCGTGTGCCTCATCCGCGCGTACGAGGAATGGTTCAAGTTTCACCCCGAACACCTCCTCCCCGTCCTTTCCTACCTCGTCCCCTCGCTCACTACCTCGCACCTCGTATCGCGCTCGGCCGCCGATTCACTCAAGGCGTTGTGTGACATTTGCCGCACAAAACTTGTTCAACATATTGGCGCATTTTCCGAGCTCCACGGCAAGATTGGCGACCTGGGCGGTGACGAGCAGACCAAAGTCATCGAGGCTATCACAAGCGTCATCCAGGCGCTGCAACCCATTGACGCCGTAGGCCCCGTGCAAGGTATCCTTGGGCCCATTGTGGAGCGTCTCGGCCAAGCCGGCCAAGCCGCAGCGACTGCCCCCAATCGAGCCGACGCAACACCCCTCCTGGTTCAATCGATGAACGCGCTCACGGCGTGCTTCAAGGGCCTGTCCCCTTCTGACGACGACATGTTTGACTCGCTGGACGGTGACGATGACGTCAAGGCTGCTGCTATTGCCACGGCCCGCGCAGACCCGGGCATGACGGCGCTGAGGGCCCAGACCGAGCAGGCCATCTCTGGCGTTGTGGCAGTATGGAACGGCGACAGCGAGGTGGCCGACTCTATCTCGTCGTTGCTCAAACAGGCCACTTTGTCGTCGACCGAGACTCTCATCTCTCTGTCCCCCTTGCCACTCCTTTCCCTTGTCTGCGCCGCTTGCGAGCGCTCACCGTCGGCACTGTGGATGTCACTCGCATCGACTCTTACCTTGAGGATCGGTACCGCCACCTCGCCGCTCCAGCTGAAAAAGGACAAGTCGCAAGTTGAAGAGCAGCAAAAGCTTGAAGAGGACCGCGAGCGCTGGAACGTTGTCGCCGACGCGGCGCAGCGTCTGGCGTCCATGGCGGGGCAGATGCTGGGTCCTGACGGCGGCATGCACGATAACCCGGACGTCGTCGAGTCGTGGTTCAAGTTTTCCTCGGCTGTTGCCTCGCGCTACCCCGGTGTCCTCTTGCGCCTGCCCGAGCCCGTCGTCCAAGTCTACATGTCCCTCGGCGTCATGGGTCTTGGCACGCAGGAGCGCTTCTCACTGAAAACGGCCGCCGAATTCTTCATTGCTCTCTTTGCCAACACGCGCTATCCATCACCACTCGAGAGCGCCACCGAGTCTCTGATCAACGTGTTTGGTCCCCGCATCCTACGCGCGCTCTTGCTGTCCGCTGGCTCCGAGGGCCCGCGCTCTGTCATTCCCAACCTGGCTGAACTGTTGGCTTCGCTCGTCACCCGCGTTTCCGGACCCGACATGTCGTCCTGGCTCGACGTGATTTTGGGTGAGCCCAACTTTCCCGATGCTCGGGCCACAACCGAGGCCAAGTCCAGGCTCAAGGGCCACATCCTGCGTTCGCGAACGACGCGCAAGATGCGTGAGGCGCTGCATGAGTTTGCCCTCGTCGCTCGTGGTCTGGCCAACACGACCTATGGTAACGCGACCGCCGTGTGAGTGTTGTGGGGGGATGATCTGTAGAACAAAGACCTAGACGAAAAAACCTAACTACCAATGCATGTATACCCCCTCTGCCTAGATGAACTGGCTTTCGCGCAGCGCGCGCGTAAGCAACATGGTCATCCGCCTTGTCTTCTCCACACTTGTCCACCCTTCAAGACCACATTCGTCGGCGCCTTCCCAGCTCATGAAGCGTGCGTCACCAGCCACACCCTCTGGGACACAGCCGAGCAAAAACTCTTTCAACACGCTCGTGGCCGCCTCAGCAGGCACTGCACCGTCCCATTCGCCCTCCAGAAAGATGGTTTGCGCGTTTGCGTTGGGCAAGATGTGCACGCTGAGGCTGAGCGAGGGGTGGGGGTGCGCGGTGGGCGGGAACGCCAGTGTCGTGAGGATCAGAGGTGTACCTGTCAAGGGTGTCGGTGCTGCTGCCTGGGCCGTAGTGGACGCTGCTGCACGGGCAGACTTGGACAGGCCTAGCACAAAGGGCGACAGCAAGTTGTGTAGTGTGGGCATGACGAGGGTAGCGGGCTTGACGGCGAGGATCTTGTACTTTTCCCTCCGTGGTGCTGGTGGTGCCGCCTGCTTGGCCGCGGGTACTGCTGGTAGTGCAGTCTCGATCGTCGTAGCTGTGGCCGCGTCCCCAGCAGCAGGCTTCTCGCCATCGGTCATGGTCACGTCAACGATCTCAAACCCATCATCCTCAAGCGTGTCCTTGATTTCGATCGCGCCGTCCTTGTCGCCGGTGCCGTTCGCCTTGGGGTCTGCTGGAGCTGCTGCTGGAGTGGGAGTTGGAACTGGGGTAGCACCAGCCGGTGTCGATGTCGCAGGAGCAGCAGCAGGGATACCTCTGTCCTCGAGAAACAGATAGGTCGTGTCGTCCCTGGCGCCCAGTGGGACTGGGACATCGCGGACTGGCGGAATGGGGAGCGAATACGTGATCGTCGTGAGCAAGCGCGGTGCTGGCGGGGTGGCTCCCGCGCCGAGGGCCGCGGATGCCGGTGTGATGGCCTCTGGGAACATTGCGCGAAAGGTGCGCAGCTGGACGCTGGAGCGCATCGGGTGTGTGATGTTGTAGTGCTCGAGGACGCGCGAGAGGACGAGGTCCGAGATGTTTGTGCGTGGGCCCGGCGGGACCGTTGTCGTCCACTGCATGAGAATGGCGTAGCCCATCGTGTGCAGCGAGAATGAGTGGAAAGTGGGTGGACAAAAAGGATGGAGCGGATGAGATCAAAGATGCAGGATTTGTTGTTGTCGAATTGGAAGAAATGGACACCTGGTTGGCGAAGGCGACGGACGGTCGGAGCATCTGCCGCCGGGTCCGTCCCACCACCACCCTTCGCTGACGAGGACAGGACGACAGTCGGGCTCGCCCTCGTGCAACGTCCTACACACTGCTCTCTCACCCAGCACAATCTATAGTAACACCCAAGATGCATGCAAAACACACACACACACACACACAATCTAGTCTGTGCGCTTCTTCTTGCGCTCTCCACCTTGGTCCTCCGCCTTGCGCTTGCCGCCAGTCGACACCTCCAGGTCCCTGGCATCCGCGTCCTCCTTCTCCTCGTCGCCACCACCAGCGTCTCCCTTGCGGGCCTTGCGGGCGTCGCGCTTGAGCTTGTCCTGCTCCTTGCGGAACTTTTTGAGCTCACGGGCGTTCATGTTGCTCGTGTCGACCTCGGGCACTGGAGGAGCCGCGCTCTTACGAGCAGCAGCAGGGGCCTTGGTGGCCCTGGGAGCGGCGACCTTGGCAGTTGCCTGGCGCTTGGCGGGAGGCTCGGGGAGGTCGGGGGACGGCGAGCGTGCGACAGCAGAGGCGACAACAGTGGGCATGGCGGGGGCCTTGGACGGGTCGGCGAGGAGCGAGCCCGTGAGCGAGAGCATGTTGTTGGTCACCTGCATACCAATGACGGTAAAGGCCACGCGCTCACCAGCGCTGCCGAGGATGGCACCGGTGCTCTTGTCCTTCCAGCGGCCGACCTCGTGAACGGCCGACGGGGTCGACAGACCGCCATCGTCGCTCTCATCGTCGCTCGACATGTCGTCCTCGTCGGCTCCCTCGTCCGTGTGCTCAAACTCGTACTTGTCCTGGGGGATGTGGTTGAGCGGAATCGAGACGTTGAAGGTCTTGGAGAAGAGGAGGGACAGGTGGGAAGGAGACGAGAGCGAGTGGGTGCCCGACAGCAGCTGGCCCACTTTGGGAGCCCACACGATCGAGTGGAACTGCACCTCGACGACGCCAAAGGGGCACTCGTTGATGAGCTTGACGGTGTCGTCGGCAAACTCGTGCTCCCAATGGGCCAGGAGGACACCACCGAGCTGGCCAACGTACCTGGTGCGGGTGGTTAGCAAGTGGGATGGGGAAGGAAACAAAACAACAGCTGCCCCCAGTCTCCACAGTCCACTACTCACTGCATGAGCATGCTGTTGAGAGTCTCGCGGACACCCTCGAGCCAGTCCGCAGAGAACTTTGGTGGGACGCTCAGACGCATGTGCTGGACGCGGTGCTCAAAGGGGCCATCGGCGGCGGCGGCAGCAGTCTTCTTACTGCTACTCTTCTTGCTGCTCTTCTTGCTGTCCGCTGCATGCTTTGAAGACTTGGACTTTGAGACCTTTGTGCTTGCGTCGCGGCTGTGCTTGTGGTTGTGCTTCGAGGAGCTTGCCTCTGCGTTTGGGAGGGACATTGTGTGTGTGTGAGAGAGTTGGACGATGGTGGGATGGATGGAGGAGAGGGAAATGGTTAGGTGTGGATGGAATTCACTGTGCCCAAAAAAGTTGCAGCGAGCGGGGCACCCGCGCGCCTCTGCGGCTGTAAAATAACGGACGGGCCATTTCCCTCCACGCCCGTGTCGTGCTCTGCCATGCTCTCGTCGCTGCTTGCTGCTGCATGCAGTCCTGCGTGTGCTATACAATGCATGTTGGTTGAAATGCAGACCTCTTGTGACGCCTCCCCTCGCCTCTATGCAAGTGGGGACATACAAAACGGAAAAACCAAAGAAAGACCTCTGTATCTGAAAAGAGAGTCCTCTCTGCGTCGCTCGTTTCCCCCCGCGCGTCGTCGACCCTGTCTCTCGTCTGTCTCGTTGCTGCTGCTTTGTCGCCAGTCTACTCCTCAGCCACAACGATACCACGCTCGGTGACGGGGGGAGCGGGCGACCAGCGGTGCTGCCACTTGTGAGGAGTGGTGAGGACGCCTCCCTGTGAGCGGGCTGTCAGTCGTCGTCGCTTCCATCTGCAATCTCTCCCCTCTACTTACACGCTCGAGGAGCTTGACCACGGACCGGGTAGGCTCCGCACCGACGGACAGCCAGTAGTTTATCCTCTCGACGTTCCACTCGATGCGCTTCTCCTTGGGGACCTCGAACTTTTGCGGGCCAAAGACGTTTGCCTTGGGAGGCAACGCCGCAAAGGCAGCTGGGGTGCGCGGGATGGGGTCGTACTCGCCGAGCTTTTCGAGCGGGCGTGCGTCGCGACGCTTGGATGCGTTGATGGCGACGACGTGGTAGACGGGGGTGTGGCGCTGGCCGTGGCGGGCGAGACGGATGCGGACGACCATGGTTGTGGTTTGTGAGTTGTCGAGATGGAAAGGAGGAGACGAACGAAACCGAGTTGGTGCGGCGGCGGAAAACGGAGAGAAGGCACGCGCAAGGGAAGGTTGGGTGTGGGTGGGTCGAATGACGAACAAGGCTCGTTTGATGGCCCACAAAGGCCTGTAGACACTGTAGAATTGTGAACACAGTCTGTCACATATGCATACCCCCGACTGTCATCGTCGAGCAGGCCATCGCTATGCATGCTCGGCGTCACGGTCGGCGTCGGCGCCGCCTTAACTGGGCCGGCCGGATAAATTGTGGTCTGCTGACCGTTCCGTTTGTTGTTGTGCGAGTGAGACACACATTGAACTTGCGCGACGGCGGCGACGAGGACGACAACAGGCGATCAACCACTCTCCACTCTTTCAGCAAACAATTTCATTGCCCATTCTCCCACGCCTCTTTAGCAAACGATCACACCCTCGCCACGGGCCAGCACTGCGACACGACGACCCTCCTGCCCAGCACCCGGCACGGCCAGCACCCAACAACCCTCTCTACCAGCCATGAAGATGACCATCACCGCGTACCACCCGGTGGCAGTCTGGAAGTGGGACACCTCCACGGATCCCCACAAGCTGTACCACCATGCACAACGCAGTGGGACAGCCGCTGCTGGCGGCTACGACGACGAGGACGAGGACGAGGACGACGTGTGTGGCATCTGCCGCCTGGCATTTGAGAGCTGCTGCCCAGAGTGCAAAGTGCCAGGAGACGACTGTCCACTGAGTGAGTCAAGACGGGGGAAGGTCAGCTGCTAGCTGCTGGGATGGTGCAGCGGCGCGACCTCTCTGGCCAGCAGCTACGAACAGTGCTGACATGAAACACCCGCAGTCTGGGGCGAGTGCACACACGTCTTCCACATGCACTGCCTGCTCAAGTGGGTCGACACCGAGTCGTCCAAGGGCCAGTGCCCAATGGACCGTAGACCATGGGGTGAGTAGTAGTATCACCCAATACGTTTGGCCGTCTAGCTGACGCTGTGCCATAGCGACCGCGGACCGCAAGCCCGACCGCCTGCCGACCACTGCGGACGGGGCACCTGTCGCCTCTGTGGCGCCTGGGCCATTGACGAGGGACGACGAGTCGTTCAACGACGATGTGGAGCTTGTGGAGGGTGAGGAGTACAGTGGAGGCGAAGAGGACGAGGCCGACGGCGATGAGATTGAGTATGACGAGTAGGCTGGTTCACATGACGGCCACGCCGAGAAGAGAGATGGAAAGACGGCGCACACGCTTGCATGTAGATACCCAGCACACCCACACCCATATGTTCCCCCCCTGCATGCATACACTTGTACACGTTGTTGTGATGTTATTGTTGTGATTGTATGTCCTCGCCATCTCTGAACGCGTCGGCGCGTCGTGGGGGCTACTCGTGATGATTTCGGCCCACGCGTCGCAGCCGCCGCCGCCGCCGTCGTCATGCGCTTCTTTTGGGTGCATCGCATCGCCTTTGGCCATCGCATCTCTTCTTGTCATTTTCAATCTCCCCTCTCCTTGTCTCTTTCATCAACAACCATCCCGCACTTTATCGCTCTCGCTCTCGTCACAACGGACACACCGGCGGCGAGGCACCATGAGCAAAGTGCCCACCATCATCACCACCACGGCGACACCGCCAGCGCGAGACGCTGCGGGCCTCCCTACATCTCCGCAGACAGACGACCCACTCAACCGCAGAATGAGCGACGAGGTCGGCCTTGAGACCATGATGGAGGAAGCCCCGCCAGAGGTGAGTAGTAACGTCACGCGTTGGTGCTTTTGCAGCGCAAAATCGTAATGGGGGCCGAGGAACACGTCGTTGTCACTCCCAGAGACCAGACGTCGCCCGTGCCAAGCACTCTGGCCCTTGTCTTCCACGACACGCAGCTGACAATGTCCCCCAGCCCACAATCCACCAGCTCGCACAGCAGGGTGATGTGCGCGCGCTTGATGCCATGCTGGCGGCCGACCCTAAAGTGGACGTCAACTCTCGCGACGCGCAGGACGTTACACCGCTGCACTGGGCAGCTATCAATGCGCACATCGCCGCGGCGCGGTGGTTGCTCGACCACGGAGCCGACGTTGATGCTATTGGCGGAGAGCTCAAGGCTACGCCTTTGCAATGGGCTGCTCGGTGGGTTGACAGTGCACACGCAGGAAGTGTGAGGTTGTGCTGACACAGCAGCAATGGGCACCTCTACGTGGTGCACCTCCTCATGACACGGGGTGCTGACCCCAACATCCGTGATGCACAGGGCTTCAACACATTGCATTTGGTGACACACTCGAGCGCGGTCATGCCGCTGCTTTACATGGTAAGTGATCCAACACGCCCGTGACACCATAGCTGACTCGTCTTTTCAGCTTCAGCAGCCCGTTGCCGTTGACGAAAAGGACACGGATGGACACACGTCTCTCATGTGGGCAGCGTACCAAGGCGACGGTATTAGCACCGACCTCCTGCTCAAGGCTGGCGCGTCCGTCGCATCGCGCGACAATGCGGGTTTGACGCCTCTGCATTGGGCCGTGGTCAAGGGCTCGCCAGCGTGTATCAAGCACCTCGTCGAGGCCGGCGCGGACATGAACATCAAGGAAGAACAGGGCAAAACTCCGCGCGACATGGCCGACGAGCTCAAGAGCACTGTTCCACTGACAAAGGCGCTCGAACAGGCCAACTGTGATGCCTATGGAAGGACAATCCAGCCTAGGTTCGGCCAGCGTACCACCCTTGCCCTCCTGTTTTTGGTGCCGATCGTCGCCCTTGGTGCCGTCTTTGAGACGTTTGCCCTGTTACCAGCCTACTTGTCCCTGCCACTCACCTTTGCCTACTTTTACGGCATGCACTATGTGAGTGACGAAGCGAGAGTCTCCATAGCTAACTGCAAAGGTGTCTATCAAAGTGCTCCTTCGTCACAGGCCTGCCGGCGAGCGTATGGCTTCGTCACCGTTTTACGCCGCCATCATCACCGCTTCACTCTTCTGGGTGTTTTACTGCTTTGTCACTCGTCTGTTGACCGGCACTCCGGGATACCTATACAGCCAACTGGGCTTCTTTGTGTCGTTTTCCCTCTGCGCGTTCACGTTCTACAAATCGATCCGTACCGACCCCGGGTTCATCCCCAAGCCCGAGAACGACGACGAGTGCAAAGAGGCCATTGAGGAGCTTACCGACCAAGGCCGTTTGAACGGTACCAACTTTTGCATCTTTTGCATGGTTCGCAAGCCCCTCCGCTCCAAGCACTGCCGCGTGTGCAACCGTTGCGTCGGGCGGTTTGACCACCACTGTCCGTGGATCTGGAACTGCGTCGGGTACAACAACCATCGCTATTTCCTCCTGTTCGTTCTTTTCCTCATCGCAGGCATCATCTACTTTCTCCGTCTCACCACCGCCTACATGGTTGAGAATGCGCCCGCCTACGAGATTCCCGAGACGCCCGAGCTGTCACTCTGCGACATTAGCGTTACGCTGTGCCGCGCCACTCGGTATGACTCGTTCGTCGTGGCCGCGGCCTTTTGGTCCATGCTCCAGCTCACTTGGACGTTTGTGTTGGCTCTGTCGCACCTGTGGCAGATTGCCCGCCAAATGACCACCTTTGAAGTCTCCAACCTGGGCAGGTACGGATACATGGGTGGTCGCGGAGGAACGTCACTGCGCGACCAGCACGGGGCGTTGGGCAACACCCAGTTCCGCCCCATGGTCGCCGAGGATGGCACCGATGGTGTCGACTCGTCTGCCCCTTCTGGTCCGGGCCATGGCCACGGCCACGGTGGCCACAACCACGCACACAACCACAACCACCGGTGTGGTGTCGTCGGCAGCGTATGTGGTGCGCTCTGGCACATCATCACCGGTCCTCTGTTCCGCCTCGTTGGCTTTGACACGTTTACGCGCGGTCGTGCAGTCAGCGGGATGGCACGGGCCGGTAGGGACCAGAACCCCTTCGATCTCGGCTTTGTCAAGGTCAGTAATACACAATCTCTATCCGATAGGGGACCATTTGCTGATATTCGTGTTTGTTCAGAACTGCACCGACTTTTGGACTGGCGCGCCTGAACTCGACTATGTCCACCTGTATGAAGTGCCGGCCGAGGGATGGGCGGCGTACCGCGCCCGTCTGGCTAGGACTGGCGGGTATCAGCCTGTTGCCCGCGAGGAGGTGTGAGCTGAGGGTGACAGACACCCGCATAGAATGGGGGAATACATGTATGCATTTTGGAATGCCACCATTTGGAATGCCACCGTCAAGTCTCGGTCATTCTCGTTGCTGTCGTACTGTTCGTTCCGCGTCTCTTCGTCAACCTCCCCATCGTTGTCATTCTCCTCGCCATCCGTGTCCTAGTCCTCATCGTTGGCGGAACTGTCATCGCCGTCACTTGCGGACGAAGCAGCCGAAGACGCGTGCGACCGCGCCGCGGGAGTAAGGGTTTCCTGAGAGACGTAGCCAGCGGCACGAAGCTCGTGTGCAATCTGTTCTTCGACAAGGACACCTACGAGCAACAGTTAGCTCCCTTGCGGAAATGAAAACTCACCAAGAGCAAGGAGTGCGTTACCCTCCATTGACGTGTGCATGTCGATACGCCGGTAACGTCGTCTCTTGTGTCGTCGCTCTGCTCCGTCCGCTTCTTCTCCTTCTCCTTCTGATTGCCATCCCTCACCGGCTGCATGGTCCTCCCCACCATGGCCAACTGCCGTCGCGCGGGTTCGTCGTCCCACACCAGTTGGGCTGTCGACTTCGCTTGCTCGTGATCGTAATGATCTCTTGTTCTCACTGACAAAGGCACCCTCCGCCTCTAGCTCCAGTCTCTTCTTGGTTTTGAACTGTGGGCGAATCCTGAGTGGTGGTGGCACACTCAGGAGGTCGTGTGAGGCAAAGAAACGGGCCGCGTGCGCGTGGAGAGAGATCAACAGGTCCTGTACGACAAGTCAGTAATGCGGCGCAAAAAGGAAGACCAAGACGCACATCCGAGGGCAGGACGGGGCCTATTTGCATGTCTTGCAGAATAGACAGCGCCGGGGTAACCTGGGCGGCTTGGAGGGCCATCCTTGCGAGCCAGCCGGTAGGGCGCCTTACTGGAGCTGCCATGGGTGAGGAATGCGGCTCGGGCTTAACAATGACCTCATCGTCGTCGCCTTCGGCTTCCTCAGCAGCACGCTCCTTGCCCTTGGTCGCAGAACCCGACGGTGGCATCGTAGAGTTGGTCGGGGAAGCAGAGGCCGCGCGCGATCCCACGATCTGCACGCTTGCGCTGGCGCTGCGAGTCCTAGACGGACCGGCTACCGGCTCGGGCTCAGGCTCGTCTTCGAACTCTTGACTGGCAGTTTGATGGTGAGCTAGTACTTGTGATTCGTTCAGTTCCATTGTGGCCGCCTGGGACGAGGGCATCTTGTTCCGCGGGGGGCTGATGGTACGACGATGACTTGGGGAGGGCGGAGGGCTGGACCGAGAGGCGTTCTTCACGACCGCAACAGGCGAGAGCGACACCCGCAGCTCGGCAGGGAGGACAGGTGGGCCCACCACGGGGGCCGGCTGGAGATACGCCGAACCTGGTGCGGGACCGAGGCGACGTTCGGCCTGACGATGACGGCGCCGCTTGGCTGCACGAGGCTGGGCAACATCATTCTCGTCGGCGGCGACGGCGGCAGTAGGTGCCGATGTCGTGTTTGGGGGCGGTGGCTGCGGCGGCCCAAGGGCTGCATGGGCCGAACGTTTCCTTGCTCTCTTGCCCATGACGTGCTGTGGGCGAGCGATCGCGAGGGAGCTCGTTGGATGGAATGGCGAGGACGGGTGTGGCCCGGTGTGGGTGTGGCCCGGTGTGGGTGATGGTGATGGTGTGTTGACAAGTTTCCCAAAACAGGCACCCACAATCACAATCTTTCTTTGCCACCAAAAAAGTCACAAACGGGATGATTTCTCCATTTGGCCAATTCGAATTCCATCCATCACCCATCATCCCATCAAACGGTAACGATGAGCAGCAACGACACAGCAGCCCCAGCACCCACCACGGATGGCGAGCTTCCGGAGGAGTTCCTGGTCCTCGCCAACGCCCTTCTGGCAGCCGCCAAGGTCGGGTCCGCAAGCGACGTTGCGGCACTCCTCAAGCAAGGCGCTCCGGCATGGTACCAGGACGACTCGCTTGGCTGGTCCGCACTCTTCTACGCTGCCGAGCGCCGCGAGCCTGCGTTGATTGGCGCCTTGCTCCGTGGCGGAGCAGTGTGGAACGCCGTCGACCACTGGGGCCGCACTGCCGGCGAAGTATGTCTCTCCCTCGGCGACCAGCAAGGCTGGGAGATGATCCGCAACGAAGGTGTGCGTACCGAGATGCTCCACCATGCTCTGGGAGCCTCGCAGCAGGCTGAGACGGAGGGCGGTATCACTTTGCGCGCAGAGGACAAGACAAGCGCTGGCGACAACCTCGAGTTTCTCAGGAGCGAGCTTACTTGGGACCTTGGGGAGGATGGGAGGGAACGCGTGCTCGACGCCGACGGGAATGGTGTCATGATGGGGTGGGAAGAGCCTCTCAGTGAGTCCCTCTCCGTCAACTGACGCCGATGGCTAACACCTTGAACAGTGAAGGAACATGTCCGTCTCATGACCGACCACCCCTCGGCCGTGGCCAAGGGCGGCGAAGGCATGGCCATTCTGAATGTGGGCTACGGTCTCGGCATTGTCGACCGCCTGTTCCAAGAGACAAAGCCCGTGCAGCACACCATTATCGAGGCGCACCCTCAAGTCCTGAAACACATGCGCGAGCAAGGTGTTGACAAGATCCCTGGCGTCACTATTCTCGAGGGCAGGTGGCAGGACTGGGTGCTCGACCCCGAAAAGCTCGTCACACTGCTCGAGGGCACACCAGGCGGTATGGGCTTCGACGCCATCTTTGTGGACACGTTCGCCGAGGGTTACGAGGGTACGCAGCTGAGAGACTTTTACCATGGCGGTAATGGCTGACAAAGAATAGACCTCAAGGCGTTCTTCGAGGCCCTGCCGGACGTTCTCGAGGCCGAGAACGGCATCTTCTCCTTCTGGAACGGTCTGGGTGCTACCAGTGAGTGAAGCGTGTGTCTGCTCGAGACCCATGGCTAATTAATGTCTCAGACCCCACAATCTACGCCGTTTCGTCATCTCTCGCCGAACTTCACCTCGACGACGTAGGCCTTGATACGGTGTGGCACGACGTCGCGATTCCACAGTCGCTCGCCGAGGAGGTCTGGCGTGGGGTCAGGAGGAGGTACTGGGAGCTCCCCGGCTACCGTCTTCCTATCTCCAAGATGCGTCTCATGTAAGCAAGGCGAGAGGGGAACCTGCAGTATGGGCCGGGCGCTTGTAGATAGAGAGTCAGAGAGAGCGGTAATGCATGTGCATAGTGTGCGTCAACCTTGGAGCAGACGATTCATGTTGCAGTGTACAATTTAATATATACACCAGAGACCCATGCAGAGAGATGGTTTAGACAGAGGTTACACCGCGCACCTGGTCGTTGAGTACCGCAAGCTTGTCCCACACGGTCGACCCATCGAGGTAACAGCCCTTCAGCCAGCGTGTCGGCTCCCCGGGGACAATGACGGTTCCATCAGCCTTGACTTCTTGGTCGGTCTTGTCCCTGAAAGCCGTACGAGCATGCAGTACACGCTGGTTATCAAACAGCACAATGTCGCCTTCTTGCATCGTAAACTCATACCGGAACTCGGGCGAGTCGAGTGCCCGCTGGAACTCGCTGAGGGCCAAGTAAAACGTCTCCTCGGCCAGGGCGGCGGCAGCAGGGTCGACTGGGTACTGGCCGTTGGCGTCCTTGGTGGGACGCACGTTGGGCGCCTGGAACGGCGGGCTCCAGTTGATGTGCTGGTGCAGGTCGGAACCACCCAGTTCACCTGCAGGGAGAACGGGGTGCTGGAAAGTCATGTAGTGGTTGTCATTGTCGTACTCGTACTCCAAGGGATTGGCCTGGAGGGACGCGTACAGGTGGGGCTGTTCGCGCCTGAGCTTGTCGGCAGCTGCAAAGCTGTCCACAAAGTATGAGGCGCCGCCAATGACGCGGTTACGGAGTGAGTGCAGGAACTGGAAGCGTGGGGGAAGAGCAAAGTAGCTGTATAGGTATTAGCGATGCGCTGGCCGTCATAAGGAAAGGCGAGTCCACTGCAACCAAAGTCTTTGCGATACTCACAGAAGGTCCATGTGCAAGCCCAGATTAAGGTTTGTATAGGCCACATTTTTGCTGTTAACGACGCTCTTGACGTCCCATGTCTCGCCGTAGAAGGTGTTTCGCAGACCACCAATGGTCTCTGCAAACTCGCGCAGACGACAGTCGGTGTTGTCGGTGCGGTCTGTGGGGAGGCCGCGAACTACTGCCACACCATACAGCTGGAGCTGCTCGAGGAGACGTAGATGCACCTCTGGTCGGAGTTGGAAGGGCTCACCATCAGCAGCTCCGTTGAGTTCGCTGAAATCAATCCACAAGTCCTTGCCATCCTTGAGCAACGACTCGCGGTCCCAGAGCTTGCGCCTCAAAGTGTCGTTCAAGTAGGTGTGGCCACGGACACGACCCGATGCCAGCCGTTGCAGGAGCGAGATGGGGTAAAAGGACGGATGTGGGTGACCGTCAATCGCCACGGGCCAGTGCACTTCGATTCCATGCTCGCCCTCGGCATTGGTGGCCGGGTGCACCGTGCGCCCATCCAGGACTTCGTTTCCGAGCTCAAACGTCTCGCGGAACGCTTCACCGGATGTGTGCGTCTTTTGCCTTGTGGAAGGGTGGATGCACCGTGGGCAAGGGCAGCAGTCTCGCAGTCGTGAGTAGGTGATTGCACTGGATACACTCTCAATGCCAGTCTTGTCACTGGCAGGAGAGGGTCCAGCGTACGACACGTATCCAGGGCCGACAGTGACGGTGCCTTCGTCATTGGAGATGAGCGTGCGGGGTTGGCCCGCAGCGGTGGTAAAGCAACGACGGGCGTTGAAATTGAAAGGGGTCCTGCTCATGTACGAACTGGCATTGACGGTGTGAGAGGTGTGGAGAGTGCGAGCAGTGGTCGTGCGCGGGAGGCCGGACGAAAGCGGGGCGACGGACGCGGCGAGTTGGCGACGAGGAAAGGCGCCGACGACGCGCTGTATGGGGCGCATGGTCGTGGTGCGTTTAGAGTGCGATGCGTGGTATGACTACAGACAGATAGCTGCAATGGCGATGTGGTAGATGCGCGAGTGCGAGAGAGAGATGAGAAGAGATGTGACGATACGAAGGCAGCCAACGGGCCAACGGGCCACCCCAACGGGCGCGACAGACAATAGACAGAAAGCCGATTGACCGGACGGACCGGAGCCCCGGATAATATCGGGTATAAAGTTTTACCGGGGGGGTTGAGTTACGTAAGTGTGCGGACATTGGAACCCAACCTCCGTGAATTTTCCACGCGACGCGTCTGATTCCGATGAAATTGACTTTCCCACGGGTGTGCTCCCAACCCCCCGCGCTCCGCGTGTCCGAGATCTGCGGACCGCATGCGACGGAGCACCAGGGGGAGCATATCGTTCGAACACATCGCCTTTGACAGCGGTACAGCGAGAGCAAGCAGAGGCCAAACACAAACACTCTTCTCTCCATCTCTCTGAGACGGCCGTGAAGAATGTCGGCCCATCAAGACCAGCTCCAGGAGAGGTGAATACTATCGGCGCGCACTTTGCCGCAGACTTCACAAGCTGACCACCCAGGCTGCGTGCGTTCCAGACGCTGCTTGATGGCTCCCGTGAAGCCCTCGAGCCCCGGGTAGAGACGAACACTCTTAGAAGGCTATGTGCAAGAGGTGCGTAGAAGAGAAGACTTGGCCCCGACGACACGCTGTGCTCACTTACCGCGCCCTCAGGCATCCCCGACCAGCCCTCGCACCTCCGCCCGCTCGCCTATTCCTTGCTGCTCAACACATTGCCTCAGGATAAGAAGGCATGGAAGACTTCCGCCAGGCAACAACGCGACAGGTACTACGACCTTGTTCGCTCCTTTATGGACGAGCTCGACATTGCACCGCCGGTACGCGATACCCGCTCTCACCCTTTGACCACAGCACTGACTCCGCACCACAGCCCGAGGATCCATTGAGCGCCGTCGATGCACTTGCGCTCCGTATCGCAAAGGACATTGACCGTCTCGACTTGCCGGTGCTCCATGCCCGCACTGCGCCGTCCCACCTCTCTCCGCTTTCCCCTCCGGGCCCCATCAGCGGAACAGACTCGAGCGAAGCGACCTCCTCGTCTTCATCGGGCGACGAACAGCAGCAGCACGACGAGAGTGAGGACCGCGCCACCCCACGCCGCCCGGCCCGTCAGCGCACTCGACTGCCTCCGATTCCTACACGCCGAGCACTCTTCAGCCGCGTGGACGCGCTTATGGCCCAGCTGCACCAGCAGCCCACTGCCAAGGGCAAGCGACGAGAGAGCGTGTCAACGCCCCGTATCGTGCTTTCGGGCGACAGGGCTCCACGCGAACGAAACCCAGCCCCCACACCGTCTTTGCAACTTACAATTCCCGAAGACAGCGCTAGCCGCCCATCATCACCCATCACACTCCTCTCTCCCCAAGTCCCAGCCGACGGATCTGAGCCACCCTCGCCCGTGTCCCCCACATCGGCAGCGGCGCTCCCAGACACTCATGCCGAGGCGCTTATGCGTCTCATGTACGTGTTCTGCCGTGCCAACCCGCGGTGGAGCTACGGACCCGCCTTTGTGGAGATTGCCGTCCCTCTCTACCTGGTCTTTTGCGAGGCCAACATCGCCAAGGCCCAGCGTGCTGGTCGCGCCAGGCATGCCGAAGAGGAGACCTACTGGGCGTTCTGGTCGCTCATGAGCGAGTTTGGTGACCTCGTATCGGGAGTCCCTGGCGATGTCGCTGTGACTTCGGCGCTGAGGCGACTTGGGAACCGTGTTCGTTGGGCGGACGAGCCACTGTGGGCGGTGCTGAAAGAGCGAAACCTCGACCCGGCGCTACCACTCTACACCTTCCGGTGGCTCACAACCTTGCTCGCCCACGACCGCGCACACTTGATTCCCATCTGGGACTTTTTGTTTGCGCAGCCCCCGACCATGGCCGACCAAATGGCGCCCAAGCTGGACCTTCTCATCGACATGTGTGTGGCACTTGTTGTCATGGTGAAGAACCAGGTCGTGTACCCGCCCCAAAAGACGCACCCTCAGTCACCCAAGCCCAACTTGTGGACCGGGGCTGAGGACACGGACATTCCAGGCGACCCTGAGGACCCCGACGAGGCATTTGTGCGCTGTCTGCAGCTCTTCCGCAACTACCCGCTCGACCAGGTTGGCGGTGTGTGGATGCTCCTCAATACTACGTTTGAGCTCAACCAAGCCCGCCGCGCGGCACTTGTCGCGGGAGAGGATCCCGACACTGTAGCATGGGCAGAGGCGCGCGACGCAGCGGCCAACCGTAAAGGTTGGGCAACAGCCAGGCTCCGTCAAGCCGCGCAGGGCGCGTCGGCGTCGACTGGCCGTTTCTTCTCGTCGTACGCACAGTCCGACACTGTCGCACAGCTCTCCAAAGCCTCGACCAACTTTACTGCCAACGCCATGGCTAGGTGGCAGGCTGTTCCGCCTGTGAAAGCGCCCGAGATGAAGAGCCCCGACTGGAAGGGTCCCGACTGGAAGGGTTTGGGCTCAGCGGCTGGCCGCTGGTTCAAGAAGAAGGACGACGACGACGCATCCATATCCGGTGAAGAGTACGAGTTTAACCACTCGTTGCCGTCTACTCCTGGCCACCTCGAATCGCCGGGCCGTCAGCACAAGGCCCCCACACCAGAAAACAACAAGCGTTTCTCATACCCTGTTGGCCTCTCGACGTCCATGGCAGCAAGGCGGTCCCGCAGCGACAGTGTCGCGTCCACCTCGGCCTTGTCCGTCACCAGCCTGCAAGACAAACTCTCTGGTCTTGCGTCCAGTCTGACTGTAGCGCCGCGCCCTACCGAGACGACCCCGCGCGTCACCTCCGGACCCCGGCCCTTGCTGCTGTCGACCTCGGCCCGTCGTGCGTCTAACTCGCACATCCCCCCATCTCGGTCGAGGTCTCCCACTCCTGGCCTCGCTTCCCCTCCCCAGCGCGACAGTCCTCTGTACCGCATTGGCAGCCGCAACAGCATGGGCCCCCGTCCCCGTTCCCCCGTGCCTAACAAGCGTGGCAACATGGGAGACTCTATCGGTTCGACGGCGGCGTTCATGGCCGCCAGCCGCTCTTCGCGCAACAACAGCATGTCGGACTCGGACTTCAGGCACAACGACCCTTACACACCGTACGAAAGTGACGCGAGCACCGTCCGCTCTTCAGAGGGAGGCAACGGTCTTGGCCGTGGGCTTGCTCTGTCGCCCATCGAGGCCGAAACACCCGCCATGCCAAGCCTCGCGGCAGCAATGGCGCAGACTCAGTCTGCACCTGCTGTCGCAGAGCCGGCTCCTGCACCCGAGCCGGAGGAGCCCCTCGAACTGCCGACTCCGCAGATTGCCCATCTCACCGAGGAAGACTATGACCACGTCTACGAGCCAGCCGAGGACAGTTTCATCCTCCTCGACGCCCTCGAGGCTGACGCTCGCGTCATCCGCGCCGCCAAGCCCGCCCTCTGTGTCGAGATTGGCTCTGGTTCAGGTATTGCGTCCACGTTTATCGGTACCATGCTCGGCCCTGCCTCGGCGGTAATGATGTCTACGGACATCAACCCGTACGCGACCGACGCAACGCGCCGTACAGGCGACGCCAACGGTGTTCCGCTGAACCCCGTCCTGGCCAACCTCCTCGCCCCGTTATCGCAGCGCATGGAGGGAAGCGTCGATCTGCTCATTTTCAACCCGCCGTACGTCGAGACTGAAGAAGCGGAGATGACTGCTACCCAGCAAGGTCGCGACATTGGCGGTGCATGGGCCGGGGGAAACTTTGGCATGAGCGTGACCAACCTCGTGCTAGAACGTCTCCCCACACTCCTCGCACCAGGCGGCAGGTTCTACCTCGTGGCCATCCATCAGAACAAGCCGGACGAGATTATTGCCCGCATGCGTGCCGAGGGTCTTGAGTGCAAGACGGTCATCAAGCGACGGGCCGGTCGCGAGTTGCTTTCCGTCATCCGCATGGTCCGTCCCGCAGCCGCGCCAGTCGCTTCGGGCATCCTCACTCCGCGCAAGACAGTGATGCCCGTGATCGAAGAGTCGAGTGTTGTGGAGCCCGCTCGCCCCACCGCAGTCGCTGGTGCGGTGAACGCCACGTCGCTCCAGCCGAAGTCGCCCCAGCGATCGCCCGGACGCCGTCGTAAGGTCGATGGGGGTGAGGCAGATGATGAGGGAGAGGAGGACTATGGCTCGTTACTCGATGCCTATGGGGACGCCTAGAGGGAGGTATTAGTTTTCGTTTTTGGTCCCTTTATGGACTTGGGGTATCTCGGGTGTCATGTCAGGCGTGTCTTGCAGCATGACGCGTTTCCGCAAGGAGAATGTTTCTAGAATCTCTCAAATCAAGGCAAAGGTCCACAGCACGCGTCTACAGGCTGGCGCAAGCTCTGCCGTCTGCAACACGTTCTTCAAGAGCTTCGTAACGAACTACGCCGCCATGGCTAGGCTTCAAAAGCCCTACGCAGACGAGGAAAAGGTGTCAACCATCATTGGCGCCCTACCTGTTACCTACAAGATCCTCATTGAGACGACCTGGCGCGCGCAGAGCGACAAGACTTGGGACAACTTTACCTCTGTGTTCTACGACTTCATCAATGATCTCAAAAATACCGAGCGTATCCCTGCCGTCGAGAGCAACGCGTCTCTCACGATCACCAAAGGCGGCAAGACTGGTCAGCCAAATGCAGCAAGGACCAAAAAGGGCAAGGACAGCAAAGTCGCTAAACACTGCGATAACCACCCTAACAGTACGTCGCACGACACATCTGAATGCGTCAGAGGCCCGCCGAAGAAGAACGACAAGAAGAAGGTCCAGAAACAAGTCGACAAGGCGCCCACGCCCGCACCTACGAGCAGCGCGTCGATCGTCGAGATTGAAGACGCCTATTACGATGGCTCTAGCAGCAGCATGGCCGTCAAGCACGTCTTGTTCTCGCCCTCCGCGCGCGTCTGCGCGTATCACCCTCACAGCGCGCCGCACGCCGTTTCTGAGTGCGTTAGAGGATTGCAGACGAGCCTTTGCGACGCCGTCACTACTAAGCGCCAGCCTGTCAATCGCGTCGCTAGCAACAGTAACATGACCGTCGAGTGTTTCTCATCCTCGTCTTCCTCCTCCTTCAAGTTCCTCGTCGACACCGGCTGCACAGAGCACATTGTCAGCGATCAATCAATTCTCTTTGGCGTCAAGCCAGTTCCGGTTCCTTTGCGCGTACGCCTCGGTGGCTCGCGTTTCCATCTTATCCTCTCTACTGTCGGCTCTATGCGCATCGCGCAAGACGACAACACCACCGTTATTCATGACGTTTACTATTCTGCGGACACGACCGATTTGACGATTTCAACCAAGGCTCTACGCCGTCACGGTTGGACCGTCGATCTTCACAATTTCCGCATCTACAAGGGCAAGGTCGTCTTCAAGACGGACGACAGCTACGAGGGCGGCCGGCCAGCGGTCGATTTCCAGGTTACCTCGTCGTCCTACGCCGCCATGACCACCAGACGCCCACCATCTACATCTGCGCGCGTTAAACCTTCAAACGCGCCCACAACGCAGTCGATTCCCACGCTCGACGCTACGCAGACGAGCGCGCAAACGCCGCAAACGCCGGTCGTGGCGCCACGCTCAACTCGCTCTAGCCGCTAGCATGCTAGAGCAGATCCCCACTCATTTTTATATCTGCACGCAGAGCACCAGCGCGCACACTGATGTAGGGTCTGGAGGCAGCAAATGAGAGCAGAGGACGGCCACTGTGAAAAATACACGTCGCGCCCCACGCGTTACCGACATGCAGAATGTGCTGGGCCTTACTGCATACACCTGCGCTACGGACTGACGGCTGAACTGCCAACAACTGGCGACATGTACGCTGCTCATGAGCTTGTTGTGGTTGGATACTGCTCGCCCTCAGGTGGATGACTTGTCAACCTCCTTACCATCAGACAGAAGAGATCAGAGAACACCACTTTACGTCGACCCCGCGCGACAAGCTCTCGTTCACTTGGGACTACAGGACCTTCAACTTTCGTGAGAACATTGGACGTGCTGCAGCCGACCTCCTGCATTCGACTCCCGTCATGAATGTCCGCCTCTTCACCCCTACCCCCAAGATTGAGCGTCCTTACCCCGACCTGTCGTTCCTCCAGTTCTCAGTCGCTTTTGACACAAAGCTTGTTCATGGCTCGGCCATGATCAACGCTGTTCTCACCAAGGAGGGCTGGAAGCTTTGGACCGTGCACACCGCGGCCGAGGACTTGATCAACTTCCCCGAGCTCCCCCCTGCCGATGGGCACATGACCGGCGACATCAGCTGGGAAAGCCAGCGTGCCAAGGATGTCGACGAGATCCAGCCCGACGTCCTGATCGTTGGTGGTGGCCAAAAGTGAGTCCACCTTGTCAACGTGTTACTGACATTGTCAGCGGTATCGCCCTTGCTCCCCGCCTCAAGGCTCTTGGCGTCTCACACCTAATCATTGAGCGTGGTGACACCATTGGTGAGGTCTGCAGGAAGGTCGCCCCTCGTCCGGCAAGGGAGCAACAGCGTCTTGTACCTTAGGGATATACAATACGAATAAGTCCAGCACCGAAGAACTGCGGTTGCTGAAGTTCAGCTCCGAGAATAAACACCAACAATGGCAGCTTTGCAGCGGATATCACATGGGCATGGGGTTATATTTTCCCAACATGCAACCGATCGGCAATGATGATACCACTCATGGCTCCGTGCTCCGTGCCCCAGCAGCTCCAGCAACCAGCCCCGAGACGCCGCATTCCACAGCCGGGGATTTTGTGATTACAGCGGCCAATAACCATAACCCCCGTTCGGCCCGTTCGATGGCCTTTGCCGCCGGCTACCGACACCATGGTCGGCTGCATGACCCTGCCTCTAGGTGAGGGGCAGACGAGACTGTGCCGAAGAGTGCAAATCGGTGGCCAGGGCAGTACTGCCGGTGTACCAGCTGTGCGTCGTCGGCAAATGTAACACACGGTTTCGGACGCTCATGGCAGGCTTGCAATAGCTTGCAAGTCCTGGAGGAAAAGACCGCGAGCCGGTAGACGAGTCGCGAGTGATGGCATGTGCTGGCTATTTCAAGTTCGCTGTCGCTCATCCCTGGAGCAGACCATCAAGGCGCCGAGCGACCCGGAATGGTACAGCAGACAAAGCGTGCGAGGGCTAGGGGGTTAGGAGTTAGCTCTCTGCCAGTCACATGTGGATGACAAGGGAGAAGACGGCTGCTGGCCCAAAGGATGGGGAGCGTCAGCTGTAGATGGGTGATTGTCTGTAGTGGTGATGTAAAAGCTGCTTGAGCCACTTCAACATCCGAACCCGGCTTCTGCCGACAAGCTTGGGTTTCTTAGTGTTCCTCCGTATTGTTCTCGTCCTCGGAAAGCTGTTGAATCACGCAACTCGAGGACGACCACAACTGCGCCAAGCTCAGCTGGAGCATGGGCAGCGGAGCGGATTCGCGAGACCGCAGGCATCATAGCAGAGGCAGCAGCACGCAGGCCGTACCAATCGTCATCGACAAGTCGCCGCGGCGCTACTCATGCAGGCGTGGAATTGGGCCGCAGCCGCCAACGAGGGCATCCGCACCCGCGGCTCAACGTCCCCAACGCACTCACCCACCGCAGTGACGTCTCCGTCCAAGAACAAGAACACCCCCCAGCTCCGCTCCGCCAGCGACTGGCGCGGGGACTCTCATCCGCTGGGCGCCTCAGCTCCGGCCTCATCACAGCGATTGGTAATGCATATGCCGGCGGCGCCTACCTGCCGCCTGTCTGTCGCACGCCGATGCACTAGTGTCGTGCAGCGTATCGAATCGTGCGCAGATGGGAAATGCCGCCCGGAGCTGAGTTATCTCGGAGCTGGCGGCGCGGGTCTCCGGCGGGGCGGGCGTGCGGGGTTCCGTGGCTGGTGTGGCACAACGACGCCAGTGCCATAGTCTGGTAAATGGGCGGCTGGACATGCTGGACAGCTGGGCGGCTTGCTGGCATCATGCATGCATGTGGGAGGTAGGCTTCAGCGCGTCGGGTTATAAGCCTGCGTGGACGTGCTTCTTCCCCTAAGCTACCTTCCCTCCCCCATTAAGTTCCCCCCTCCCACTATGGTCGAGACGTCGTTCAAGTCCAGCATCGCCTTCAAACGCACCGAGCCAGCCCCCGCGGCGCCGGGGCTGTTCACGCGCCCGCCCTCTCCGCCGCCCAGCACGGCAGAGACCGCGTCGACGGTGTCGCATGACGTCGCAGACAACGCCAAGGCCCGCATCCCCACCGAGGACTGGGACGGCGGGTACACGTTCGCGCCGATCAAGGAGTGGCAGGTGGCGCGGGCCATGACGAAGCGGTACGGGGACGACCTGTACCGCACAGCCGTGAGCGACGTGGTGATTGTCGGTGCGGGCTCTGCGGGGCTCACGTGCGCGTGGGCGCTGGGGACCGCGCGGCCCGACCTCGCGATCACGATCATTGAGGCGGGCGTCGCTCCCGGCGGCGGCGCCTGGCTCGGCGGGCAACTCATGAGCGCCATGGTTGTGCGCAAGCCCGCGCACGCCATCCTCGTGGACATTGGCGTGCCGTTCGAGGACGAGGGCGACTTTGTGGTCGTCAAGCACGCCGCGCTGTTCACCAGCACCGTGCTCAGCAAGGTGCTTGCCCTGCCGAATGTCAAGCGTGCGTACGTGCTGGGGTGATGCGAGCTGACAACGCAAGTGTACAACGCCACGGCGGTCGAGGACCTCATCACGCGCCCCGACCCGCTCGGCGGCGGGCTTCGCGTCGCGGGCGTCGTGTCTAACTGGTGAGCGGCGTGGTGCTGGGACCGGAAACACCTGCTGATGCCACAGGACCCTCGTGACCCTCGCGCACGGTTTGCAGAGCTGTAAGGTGATCCCTCGGGGCAGCACTCACACCCCCCAGGCATGGACCCGCAGACTATCACTGCGCCGCTGGTGTGCTCGTTTGCGGGACACGACGGCCCGTTCGGTGCGTTCAGCGTCAAGCGCCTCGTTGCCACTGGCATGGTGGAGCAGCTCAAGAACATGCGTGCGGTGGGTTGGCTCTGTGTTCTCACCGCTCACACACCCAGCTCAACATGACCTCGGCGGAGGACTACATTGTCAACAACACGCGCGAGGTGGTCCCGGGCCTTATCACGGGCGGAATGGAGCTGTCCGAGCTGGACGGCGCGAACCGGATGGGCGCGACGTTTGGAGGCATGCTCGCGAGCGGCGTCAAGGTGGGCAAGCGTCCTCAGCCAGTCAGGCAGTGCTCATACTCCAGGCCGCCAAGGAAGCCATCAAGATCCTCGACGCGCAGAAGATTGTCGACGGGGAAGTCGTTGGTCACAAGGTAGCTGCGTAGGGTGATGGAGGCAAAGGCCAACGGGTGAAGAGCAGACAGACAGACAGCAATGAGTGACTGACTGAATGAATCAATGAATCAATGAATGTAGGATGGTCGTTAATTAGACCCAACCGTTTTCTGCTATTCCACGCTTAGACGGGCACCCGACTTACCGTACAGTGGGCGCCGACGGTCGCCCTCAAGACCATATCCATCTCCGTCTCCTTTATCTCTCTCAATACCATGTAAGACATCCCAAATTCCACATTAACACATTGCCCCTGGATGTCACACATGCCCAAATCAACGCGCAGACGGGTAGACCTGACTTCAGTGGGTGAAGGGCACGCACAGCACACAGCCTATGGGACGAGTGAAGATATATAACTACAGAAATTACAATTTAAATACTAGATGTGAGGGTGTATTTGACTAGCGGCCTACACGGGGTGATGCGACTCTCATCACACCTGCGTGCGCGTGTGCACGTGCCCAGCCAGAGGAGTGTCAGCAATAGGTGACTCAAGAGCAGTGTGAGCGACACCAGGGTTAGGGGGTTAGGGGGTTAGGGGGTAGGGGGCTTAGGGGGTTAGGGGGTAGGGGGTTAGGGGGTTAGGGGGTTAGGGGGTTAGGGGGTAGGGGGTTAGGGGGTTAGGGG